CATACAACTTGCCAGAAGGCCGTCTAAAACTGCAAAAACATGTTCATTATCAAGCTGATACCAACAAAAACAAGAAATTTGAACTCCGTGAACACGTAAATCACCTAGGGTGAAAGTTGCCTTGTGTTGAAGCAGAGTCAGGATGCGACGAAACAAAAACATGTTCAGTAATATATAAAAGTAACAATTTAGTAGCCGAGCAGTTGATATATGGGGAGCTACTAACAAGACTAAATAGTTGGTGTTCTATCTGGAGAATATCTTAGAATTGACCGATTTGCTGATTCACATATTCCTACAGAGAAATCTACATCTAGATCGCCCCAGGTTTCCCAATATTGTTCCTATTGAGATGGAAAAAAAATCTCGAGAATCGATACACCTTCCGCCTGTGTGTCGTAACATCACCTTTTCTTAAATGTGATCTTGATTAAAATGCGTACTCCTGATTCTGGCCGTTTCTTAGTCTCTACTGCTGGCATTCCAGCTCGCTGATTAATTGGAAACATAGACAGTGTATAATGATTATCAGAAGTCTCCAGTATGTACAGCAGTCTGTTGAGATGAGCCCTGTTGTGCGAATTACTCTGTACCGTGCTACAAGAAGAATCCCAAGTCACCATCGACTTCATTCCGTACGTTCGTTTAAGTCTGCTTTGACTGAAAACTAATGACTTGGAGACATAACTCGAGCTCTCAACTGGATCAATCCAGACCTGCCGTAAACTGTTCCTCTCTGCCGCCAATGCGAGCTGGAATGAAATGCCAAACCGAGTTTTAGTATATATTCAGCATCATTTGTTGACTCATTGAAGTTTTTCAAGCCGTGTCTATGAAGTTTCACATACTTGTGCCAATCATGTGAAACACCCCCGCCTATCACAAGATGATAAATGAGATATAGAGAACGTAGTCACTTACAACTCACTTCTAGCTACACCACGTTCCGATAGGAGCACACAAATGAAAGAGATTCTAGATCAGTAGACAATATCTACAAGACGGACATCTCGTCTACGACCAAGTCGGTTCCTCTCCTCATCATGCGAGAAATGGGCCAGGATGACCTACCAGGTGGGGTGTGCCTTCAACAGCGCCAGGTTTCGGAAATCCTCTCCTATCACAGGTGTACAACTTTTTTCAGGCTGGATCAGATCTGGATTTTGGTGTCCAGATCAAAGCATGTGCCATGCAAAAAAGGGAAAGGAGAGATCGGGGACTCAATGTCGTGGATGTCGATTGTTGTTGAAAAAGGTGGAGATGTCCAAGATTGTGCTCGCCGGTAACGAAATAATCGATAATGAGCAACTCAAGTTGCCTAAAGAGCGAAACCACGGCTCCAGGATATATCCCAAACCGAGCCGAACGCATCGGAAGACCCTTTTGTCCCCACAATCAAGGACTGAGGCCATTCGGCAGTACCGCGGAAACTGCTCCAAGACTCGCTCTGTCGCGACTGGTCCGATTGAGAACTGCAATAGCTACCAGATACGGCATCCCTCCAAGATACCGCTGTATTTCTTTCGACGATCAAACAATCTACTGTGATGAATATTCCAAGTGACATCATCTGCTTCACGGAGATTGAGATGCCCCAGTTGGATAGATATAAATACCAGTTGTTACTCCAACCAAGACAACACCATTGTCTAGCCCCTACACCTCATCTCAGCAATGTTCACAACATGACCAGTTTTGTTCTCTACGCCACCCCAGATTATCCATTCGTGGACATTTTCCACGAAACAGTCAGCAGTACACCGAGCTGAGAGACAGGGCTCGGTCGTGTGTCGACCATTATAGAGGCCAGGCTACTACCTGGCTCACACCTACAGAAGCGGCCTTGACGACTTTGAAGTCATGAGCCAGGCCACCGATCCAATTTTCCGAGATTGAGGATCAGCCATCCTAAACACGGACAGGTTGGGCAGGTGTCAATGAGATGTCTATCGACTACACCACATCCTTGCCAGCTCTTGTTGTTGCGTATGCCGACAGAATCTCAACCAGTTGGTCGGAACCTGTAAGGCCAACAATTCTCAACCCTTGACCCATACTTCTAGCTACATCTCAAAGGACACTAGCATTGTCGGAGAGGATGGACTCGGGAACACCATTGGAGGAGATCCAGTTGTAGAAAGCCAACCGAAAATCAATGGCAGAAGAGGTTCTTGTAGGGTAAAAAGCTGTAAACCCAGAGAACATATCAACAAATACACAAACGTACCATTTGGACTTGAGGAAGATGAAAGGTCCAGCCCAATCAACTTCAATTCGCTGGTGAGGTTTGAGGACCTTGGACGAGGCAGGAGGTGGTGGTGGTTGGACCGTGTAGTCTTGTTTTGAAGCTTGGCAAACGAGATAGTGCTGCACGTAGTGAAGGCACGTTCAGTGCTTTCAGCAGTCGGTCGAACCAACGACTATGTCTCTCAACTCCCCCGATGATGCAACCTCCATCGCTGCTTACGCACTCTCACAGCTCCTTAACATCCATCGTCTGCTCAAGGCCCAACAGCGGACCCTGACCTCTCCTGTATCCCTCAGGATGTTCCCGCTGGTGACCCCAAGTACATTCGTCGCCAGGGGATCCTCTTCCGTGTCAAGTCGAGTGCTGGTGCGTGCGCCACTCCCCAAGCCTCTCCTCTGCCTTCCGGCGTCCCTGAAGAATCTGGCGTTTCAACTCGCTCATGACGATCAGGCCGCTGGCCACCCCGGTAGGTGGCTGAAACCGTGGTAGATTCTCAGAATGAGGTTTGTTTGGTACAACAAAAGACCATACTCGTCTTAGTGGTTAAGAGACAACAATGCAGAAGATGATCCTCACGCAGTGGATCTAGGGGAGCGTACAGCCAGCCAAGTGTGCGCTAAGTAGCTACAAGTAAGAGATGACAACCCCAACGGAGCAACCACGTGACCACAAAAACCACGTGACCGGACCCCCCCTATTTAGTCACGTCACGTGACTTCCTTCAACTATGTCACGTGACCCCCCTCCCCCCCCCCTTCCTCCTCTTCAGTCAAAATTCCACTCCAGTACGAAATTGTTCCGTGGTTCCAAACAAAGTTATTCATTTTTCAGCACATTCCGGAAACATCAGAGTTTGCCAATATTCGGATATTAAAACCTTGTCCAGCCTAAACAAGGACATGACTCCCCAGAGCTCCAGAGTGAAGCGATGGACCCAGGGGTAATGATGTCGATCTGGTGGAAATTGCGTGATTCAAAAAAGCAGCGCCAAGTGAAACGAGGGCGTTTACGTAAGCAGTGGGGGGGGGATGATGTGGATGACCGGTTGTGTTCTCCCTGCTATGCGGTGGGTCCTCCGTAATGCGGCATTATGTCTGTCTCTGACGTTCTCTTACTTGCTGCTCCGCCTTGAGTCATGTGAGGCGGCGGAGTCGAGCCATTTTTTTGGAGATCCTCACCATCTCTAGGGTTAGGGTTCGGTAACGGGCGGCGACTGAATTGCAGGGTGTATTGGAGGCAGTTTATGGTGCTTACCACGTGGGTTTCTGGGTGATATCATGGGCTATGCTTTATGGTGTGGTGACAAGTTATCTGATTTGGGTCGTTTCTGCATAATACAAGGACTAGGCCAGTTGACGCATGTCACTATGCACAGTGGAGCGCCCTGGATGTATGGTTCGGGTGGTTATAACGTCATTTGGTATGTATGTGTCAAGATGAGGCGCGAGGCTGAGTTGTAGCGGGAAAAAAAAAGAAGTAAAAACGGGGAAAATAAAGTACCAAAATTGGGGAGTTTTCGCTAAAACTGTCAGGGGAGCACGTTAGGCCATCCAGCCTCGCCTGTGGGCTGTGCAAAGGGACATGATGACCAGAAACAGGACGATATGTACATATGTCGTCGGACATACAGTACAAAATAAAGTGGCAATGTAAGTAGACACCCGATGCAGGATGACAGGGATTGAGGGTGAAAAATCGACGAAAAAACGAGCCAATGTGATGGGAGGTTTTTGCAATCGGGTCACCAGGGCCGAATTGACGCGCGGCTCGAAAAAAACAACCACGTGACCCCCTCAGACGAGCTCATTCTGAGACCCTACAAATTCGGATAGAGTTGCAGTCAAACGTCAGTTTAAAGCAAACATAGATAAGTGTCCGGGAAAGGATTAGCTGGTGGTGGGGGGTACGTATCGACGAGAAAGGATATTGTGGAGATAGACACAACTCTGGAAAATGTCCACGATCTTTCCGAAATGAATTCGCCTATCTGGATCAAAAGTTGTGTACAATGTGGAAATTTCTTAAGGTTCGGTTATTTTCCAGGCGTATGAGAGATAAGACATGGGATTATGGGGGCATGTTTCGTGCTCGGAATCAATGGGATTTTTCTGAAAATACAACCCATCAAGTAAAGGAGTCTCATCTTCTCAGAATTCTTCCCTTTTTTCCCGCTTTTTCTCGCCCCCATTGCCCCGTTATCGCCCCCTCCCTTCAGGCCCCACTGTTTATTTTTTTTTTAATGTCGCCAGTTTTTTTTTTAAGGTTGATGAGGTGCACCACGTGGGACAGATAAGACGGCCATTGGGAGAGACGAAAACGGGAGCGAAAACGCAGCTGCGGACCCTAAAGGGACCGTTACGTAAGCGGATTTGGCTGTCAGTAGGGGTTGTCACGTGACCGCTGCAATTGTGGCCGGGCCGCGCCCTCCAATTTGCTGTCTAGCGTCGGTGGCAATCTCAGGGACTTTTTGTATGGCGCTGTTTTAAGCCTTGCTCGATTCCAACTTTGTTTGTTTATTTGGGTTTGTGCGAGAAATGTAGGTTCCAAAGAGGACGTGTCTAGACTGGTGGATAATGGTTCAGTCGCCACCGGAGTAGCGACATTGGATTTTTCCAATTTTTCCGAGTCGATTGATACCCACATTTCTCCTCCATTACCCGTATCAGTGCGGTTAACCCCCTCTCCCTCCATCAGCAGTGGTAAACCTTGCTGCTCAGTACATAAATCGTCTTGTGCGCCACTCGAGCTCCTCATGACAGCTCTCTCATACTCGCAAATCATCCGGTTGACGCTGGAGGCCATTTTCCAGGTTTTTGTCGTCTGCGTGTTTGGCTACATTGCCGCACGGTGTCGGATTCTCACACCCCAGGCCCAGAAACATATCGCCAATCTCAATGTCTTTCTCTTCACGCCCTGTCTGATTTTCTCCAAGCTGGCGTCGTCGCTGTCGCTGCAAAAGATGATCGAGGTGGCCATCATTCCGCTGCTGTTTGTGCTCATGACCGTCGTGTCCCTGAGCTGCGCTAACCTCATGGGCTGGATGCTGAAGCTGAACAAGAACCAGGCCAACTTCGTCAAGGCCATGGCCGTGTTTGGAAACAGCAACTCGCTGCCCGTTTCGCTGACAATGGCTCTCAGCTACACGCTGCCCAACCTCTCCTGGGACCAGATTCCAAACGACAACCCCGACCAGGTGGCATCTCGTGGTATCCTCTACCTCCTCATCTTCCAGCAACTGGGCCAGATCGTCCGATGGTCCTGGGGATACAACACCCTCCTCAGATACGCCGACGAAGAGGAGGACGAGACCAACGTGGTCGCAGTGGTGGAGGAGGACGAGGAAATCGTCATTGAGTCACATGACACCTCCGAACAGTCGCCCCTGCTCATCAAAGACACCCGCGAGGAAACGGGAATCCTGCTCAACAGCGATGAAGAGGTGTCCGGAGGAACCGCATCCACCTATGGCAGCCACGTGACCCACTCCAACGACGGCAGCGACTCGGATCACGTGTCCGGTGACAATACCTGTAGCGACAACCACCACGTGACTGGCTCCGGTCACACGACCGCCTGTCATTCTGCCGACACCTCCACCAACAATTCCACCATTGATCTCCATTCATATCAGTCGTCTCCCGCGGTGGAGGAGATTGCTCGAAAACCTCGACGTAAAAACCACAAGAAGAAGCATGGACACAAACACCGACACCGGCGCCGTCCCCATGTGGTTATTCGGGTTGCCAAGGCCGTTCTTAACTTCATGAATCCTCCTCTTTGGGCCATGCTTGTAGCCATCATTGTGGCTTCCGTTCCCATTTTAAAGTACGAGTTTTTCGAGAGCAACGATATCATTCAGGCCACCATCACCAAGGCTATTCAGCAGCTGGGCTCGGTGGCCATTCCATTGATTCTGGTTGTTCTGGGTTCGAATCTCTCTCCCGACAGTGGGGCTCCTCCTGCTTGCAAAAACTACAAGAAGATGGTTTTTGGCGCCATCATGGCTCGAATGATTCTTCCTGCCTTTGTTCTGCTGCCTCTGATTGCATGGGGAGTCAAGTACTCGGAGGTGAGCATTTTGGACGACCCCATCTTTCTGCTGGTGTCGTTCATTCTAACCATTGCTCCTCCAGCCATCCAGCTGTCTCAGATTTGCCAGCTCAACGGGTTCTACGAGAAGGAAATGGCCGGCGTGCTGTTTTGGGGATACGTGGTCTTGACCTTGCCTACCACGTTATTTATTGTCGTGTCGAGTTTGGAGGTGTTGGATTGGGCCGGAAAGTTGGTGAGTTAGGCGATTCAGCAACCAAGGCGTAGTCTTAGTGGATGCTTTGAGCGCGCTAACCTGAAGCACAGTCATTTCGTCTCACGCAATTGCAATCGCAGTGGCTCTCTTTGGCTCTCGCTTTAGTGTATATATTTATTGATCATGTTCGATGTATTGTATCTGTAGCTGTGCAGTCGAAGGCAGAGTACAATAGTCGCAGTTTAGTTGTAGTCGTAGGTCCAGGAGGTGTTTACTTGCTGGTGTGATTTTATTGGTCTGAGCCATGGTCATCATCAACCTCCGGAGGTTTTCAACCGTATGAGTGTACTACTGTACGGGTGACTTGTATCTCGAGATGATGTTGCTGTTGAACCACTCCCTGAACCTCAGAGGTCCTAGACAACATTCGAGGCCGCAATCGAATTCACAACTGATCCATGAGACTTGTTCGAGAACTCGTGACCCACCCCAGTTAACATGTCCGAAGCCCTTGAACATTCTGACCCACTGAAGATACCCGGATCACTTCATTCAGTGGTTTGGGTGTCTCGTTATCCATTGGATCCTGGTGCCACTGAAGCTGAATCGGCGGCGAAACCGACATATCTGTGATGAAGGTCGACTGTGAGATTCCTGGCATCTTCATGGAAACCCGCACACCCTCCATTCTTTCGAATACAATGTGTACCCGTCTCAGAAGACAAGTGCTTCCTGAACCACGTCCAGCCAGAGCTTCACAGATCTGCTCCACGAGCCCTTCACCGTTCGGTCGGGTCTTCTCCTGGAATCACAGCTCTCATTCACAGTCGTTATCGTTCTCTCGCGAGTCCATATCCGGGACTCTTCCAGTCAAGTTCATTAGTTGCCCAGTCAGCTTCTCAATCCACGTCGTCGACCTTTGTTATTCATGGGGAACAGTCTCCAACCACGTTCTGGCCATTAGCGTATCTTACGATTGACATCTACCACATATCCGTTAGGAATCGGTTCCAGGACTGCCAGCACAGGTTCAGATGGTGCAATTGTTGTATTACACCAAGTTGTGATGGTCTCGAATGTCCAACCGTCGAGAAACCTCAAACCCATACCCATAACGAGCAGACTGACCATCCTGACAGTCTCCTACAAGTACAGTATGTGCTGTAGGGACAATCGAGTGGGTATGACAATGAGCAGTTTGAGAGGCATTTTTTTTGTGCTACCACGTGACATAATGGCACAACTTTGACGACTCAGCCACGGGATAAATTTCAGCAAATTTCACCAAACCAAACCACCTTTTTTTTTTTTTTTACCACCAAATCTTTCAAAAAAAAAAAAAAAAACTCAAAAAACGGTGCCATACCCAAGAGCAGTGCCAAAAGTCACGTGTGGCACATGAAGGGGTAATTTGATCACATTGTTGGAGAAAATCCCTGTCACATGATCCTGTGATTCTGTTTAGCTGTTGTCAGCAAGTCCGCAATGTGATATATCACTGGTTTCTTATACTCAATTTTCACTACAAGTTTACTTGGATTTACTTGGTTTTTAGTTGAAAATTTAGCAACCCATCAGTCTCAGTCAACACACCCAGTTTGACAACCATGGGGCTCGAACCGGATCATACATGGTGTCATTTCTCACTTTAAAGGTTCGTTCGTGTCCATATATGGATCATTGTGTCTCTTTTTGTAGTTCTGTGGACACTGATCAAAAAGAGGCACAAGTCTACACTATTTGTCAAGTATGTTCCCAACTAAACCCCCATTGTTTTGACCATCTTTTGACAAAAAGGACTACTGTACTTGTAGTATAGTCACCTGAACTTGTGGTGTCTGTACGTGTGAAAGCGCTTATAACAAACGAAAGGCCACCCTGTCGGTCAAATTTCAACGACTACATGAATCATCAGGCCTTGATCGCACAATGGTACATCTTTCTACGTTCTTACTGTCAATCTGTACGTGAAAGAGTGTACGCGAAAGAGGGTACGCGAAAATGAGGATCCGCGTCAGATATCAATCGCTAGGACTGGACTGAAGATGACTAAAGACTACGTTACGTTACGTACTACGAGCTTGGGGTGTATAGAGAGACTCGGTTGGCCAATTCCCCAGATCCACGATACCTCGCTAAAGCTCCTTCCTCCTGCCTATTCCTTCACTCTGAAGCTCTCGCAACTGACGTTCTCACAACTGCGACTCTCTCGATATTCTATCCATCCCTGAACCACCCCACGGACATTCTTTCTACAGTAATTATTGACAGATTTGAGTTCCATTTGGGGGTAAAAAAAAGTCGGCAGAAATACACAGTCTGCGACTATCACCCACCACTCGGCGGCTATCACACACTGCGGCGGCAATTCTTCCCCAATCGAGACATTGACATCCCACTCATCATTGAAATCCCACTCGTTATATTTATCACGTGTCTCCGTCCACTCCACCGAAATCACATGACTTGAAATCAATTTTTTCCTGCCCGTCCTGTCGTTGTCTGATATAGAGACCCCCACTCTCGCACGTTTTTGTCAAACTCAAAACTAAAGAGGAGAGAGCTTTCAGTAGACGTCTGAGAGGAGCTTTTGAGCCCGAAAAAAGCGCAAAAAAGCGCAAAACAAAACGCCAACCCCATCTGGATCACTTGAAATATATATTTCCATGTTATAAATCTCTCTAACTCCTTCACAGCCGCCTCCAACACACGCCATGCATCCTGCTCTCAATCGTGCGCTTAAGATTATCGATACTTTATCTTTAAACCCGCATATTATGCGACAAGTGCGTCATCACCACTTTTGACTCTCTACAAGTACAGCTCAATCCACTCATTTTCCAGCCAGAAAAATCACCATGAAACATCTCAAGTCTGTGGCTATCATTGGAGGAGGTCCCAGCGCGGCTCCGTGCATCAAGGCGCTTTTGGCCGAGAATTACTTTGGCAAAATCACCGCCTACGAACAGCAACCGGCACCTGGAGCAGGAGTATGGAATTACAACGGCCTGACCCGGCCGACACCGAACCTGCCATGCACTCGTGACATGCCCGCAGAGCCCATTGAGCACAAAAAGGACGGCTCCATCATCTACTACAACCCCATGTACAGAGATCTCAACACTAACTTGCCCCACATGTTGATGGCGTACAAGGATTTCCCCTTCCCCGAGGGCGTGGATTTGTTTCCCAAACGACAGGTTGTCAAACAGTACGTGCAGGACTACGCCCGGCATGTCGTGGACCATTTCAAGTTTGAAACCATGGTCACCGGCTTGAAAAAGACGGGAGACGTGTGGATGGTGGAGTCCAAGTACGTCGGACCCCATGCCAAGGAAAACGTCCAGCCCGAGCTCGAAACATATGATTACGTCATCGTATGCACCGGCCACTATTCCCATCCGTTTGTGCCTGACGTTCCGGGTCTGAAGGCGTACTCAGACAAGCATGAGGTTCTGCATGCCAAGTACTTTGACAACCCGGATTCGTATGTTGGAAAGACCGTTTTGGTGGTTGGAAACTCGTCTTCCGGCATTGATATCGCCAACCAGGCGGCAAAAACCGCCAAAAAGGTCATTGTCTCTGCCAGATCGCCTTCCAATGCCCCCACCAAGGGAAACATTGAGACTGTTGGTGTGATTACTAAGTTCCACGGTGATGATATTGATGTCGAGGGAGCTCCAGGAGTGGAGGGTTCGTCTCCCCAAACTCTCTCTGACGTTGATGTGGTCATCTATTGCACTGGATACTTGTATTCGTTCCCTTTTCTGCACTCCTACGTGCACCATTCAGACGATGACCTCATCACCGATGGAGTTCGGATTCGAAACCTCTACAGACAGCTGTTTTACATCAACGACCCATCCATTGCGTTCATCGGAATGCCCAAAAACGTGGTGCCCTTCCCTCTGGCTGAAACCCAAGCAGCTGTTGTGGCTCGAGTGTGGTCTGGAAGATTGAAATTGCCTTCTAAGGAGACCCAATTTGAGTCTCTGCGGAAAGAAGAGAAGGAAAGAGGCACTGGATCTGCCCATCATACACTGAAACACCCCCTGGATGCCGAGTACCAGCAGGCTCTCACTGACTGGCTCAAGGCCGATACCTACCCCGATCCAGACAAGGGCTTCTTTGGAGTGGAGTGGGATGAAGAGCGGTATAATTGGAGACGAAATGTCAAGAAGCCGCAGTTGGGAGATTTGAGTCTGTGACATCACCGCGGATCGGTGATCGGTTCGGATGTTCTACTGTAATACTGCTCTTGCTACTGGAGGATACTTCTGAAGCAAGATTGCTGGTATTATGACACTACAACAGCTGCTCTTGTTACTCGGAGATATCAGACGCTGACCTTACTGTGGCAACTTCAGATAAAACTTGTCATGTCAAGATACCAGGCTTATTGTATAGAATTCGTTCAGCAAGACTCTAAGAATTTCCTACATAGAATGACTAGAATACAACTCTTCATCTTCAAACATGTGAAGCCCCTGGGAAATGCAATTGGCAGAAACAATCTACTCGCACCAAATGCCAAACTTGCAATGAAGGACTGGAATCCCCTTCCACTTCTCTTACCCTAGCGTCAAAACATTGGGATATCGGATGGGATAAAAACTGATGCTTGTAGCTAGAGGTTGAACATTGCCACTGTAAATGAAACAGACGTACCAAGAGAGACGCCCACTCTGAAGTAGTGCCACTAAGCGCTGGAGTTGAATGTTAGTACAACAGCAAGAGGCTCTAAGAGTAACTCTCGATCTGACACTCCGCAAGCAAACGACCTCGTTCGAACAATGGCTATCAATTACAATTACAATCACAATCACAATACTGATCTCCCATGCACCAAGGCAAAGACTGTCTCCAGCTGACCATGCCCAATCCCAAACCCCCTCCCCCCACAAAAGGTACATACTTTACTGTACTGTGCTGCCAAAAGCAAGTCCACCCCGTTTGTCAGGTGGGTACCAAAACAAACAGGAATTCTTCACCTGATACGTGTCTCCAAAATCTCAAGTATTCTACCCGTAACTTCGTGTAATCTACAGCCTGCCACCCACTATTTGGCGCCCCACAAAAGAACACTTTTACTCGACTGACTGCACTGAAAAACTTTGATCTACTTAGAGTTCAAAGACCCCATATTTGGGCAGTCTCAAAAGGAGTTTGAAAGAGCCCCAAAAGGTGATTTCTTTGGCTGATTAAGTCATCACGTGAGTCCGATAATACTGTCTCTTTTTCAGCCGAAAACAATCACTCCAAACACTAAAATTGCCACTCACTCTTCAATATCTCCAACATACTTGCACTTGTACAGTTGCATGTTCTAAATGGGACAGCGATACCGACCAGAGAGAGAAAAACCAACGAGAAATATCCCCGAACAATTCAAGCCTAAAACGTTTGCTGTACTGTAGTACAAGTATGTACTTGTATGTCCATGAAACATCCCTTCTCTCCTTATCTCCTTTGGTTGAACATATCCTCAACTCGTGTTCACACAGCCAGCCAGTCACACATCCGCTTACTGATCTGCCTGTACATGTCCACTCCACCCACTAATTCAAACGTTTATTAATACATAATACGGCTTTTACTCTAATCCCCACTCTACATTCCAAAAGCCTTGCCCATCTGAGCAATATCACCCTCCTGGGCAAGAATCTCAAAATAATTGTTCATGGAAGTCACGGCGACAATCATGGGTGCGGCAGAGGCTCCAAGACCGCCAAAAATGTCGCAGAAGGCCACAATGGCGCCCACAACAGCTCCACCAACAGCAGCAGCCACGGGGATGACCTTGGCCAGCTCTCGGGGAGCAGACTGGGCTCGCTGGCCGACAATCACAATGGACTGGGCCTGGAACTGCTTGGCCACGTCCTTGGGGGCGGAGCCGGAAATCTCAGCCCAGTACTTGGAAAAGAGAGTGCAGCCCACAATGGTGTAAACAGAGTAGAGCACCATCTTGATGACATCGTATCCAAAGTTGTTGGGACTGATGTAATAGGCAATGCCGCCCACGGGAGAGCCGTCAGCTCCCCAGCTACCAAGAACCTGCACCATGAGGTTGTCAGGGAACTGCACGTAAAGAGACTGCGAGTAGATGAGAACGTTCTGGGAGAAGGCAGACAGCAGGAAGAGGCACATAGAGCCAGTGTAAAGCAGCTTGACGGGGAATGCGGTGGCAAGAGATCGCACTCGCGACGACTTGATGGGGATGTCCACCCGGAAAGTGTTCAGGTAGATGGTCAGCATGAACACGGCCACAGACATGTACAGCTGCAGCAGGTTGGGCAGGTTCTGTCGGAAGAAGGAGTTCTCAATAACGTATCGGTAAGAGCCGCCAAAGTTGAACAGTCCGTTCTTCCACAGACCCATGAGCAGGGCAGGGATGGATCCTACAAACTCCTGGTGCACCTTGAGCAGGGCAAGGTTCTGCCACATGAAGTTTTGGGAGACGGACAGAGCGGTGAAGAGACCAGAACCAGAGCCGAAAGAGTAGCCCTTGTCGACAATCTCGCCGAGCAGAATGAGCACGAGACCAGCGGCGGTCAGCTGGGCAACAATTAGAACCGCAGCTCCGAGAGAGAGCTCTGAAACAGCAGAGTCGGTTGAAATGGTACCGTAAGTCTGAGCGAAGAAGACGAGGAAGATGGCATGGAAGAAGGTGAGCAGAAGAGCAAAGATCTTCTGGCCGCTCTGGAAGAGCTCTCGGTCGGCTCGAATGTCAAAATTGACATTAAGGGCCTGGAAACCTCCCAGGATCTGGAAGATGATTCCAGAGGTGACCATGGGACCCACACCGAGCTCCATCAGAGTGCCGTGAGAAGAGGCGGAGATGGCTCGGGTAAACGAGTAGGGGTCTGAGGTGGAGGCGTGGGCGCCGTAGAGCGGGATGCCGGCCATGATGAAAAAAGTGATGGCGATTCCGACAGTGTAGGCGATTTTGTCGTAAAAAGGGAGCTGGGTTAGTATGTAGAAACCGAGAGCAGGGTAGCAGTTAAGCAACTTAGCGAGACAATCTGACTGACGTGAACCAAGTTGATCACAGAAATACAATAGAATCGTTTACCTGGAAGTAGCTTTGAGAGGAGCTACAGCACTGAGTTGATCTGCAGTGGCAACGTCTGATGATGAGATCCTAACACAACCATTGAGGTCGTTTGGATCGGCAACACCATCGCTGATCACCTATAGTGCGCTAGCGTCAGCACATCGGGTATCATTCCGGTCGCATTTGCCATGTTGTTGATTCAAAATGGACATGTTGAGGGGTTACACATGTTGGGCAGGGGTTGATCATCGTCAATCAGTACCATCAGAGACTAAGATCTCTTGAATTCGTCCGTGCATCCTGTCATTTCTCTCTCTCAATGTCCTCAATGTCCTCCACTTGTCATCGTCGTCTCTCGATCAACAATACTCACCTTTCGAGCAGGAACAACAATCTCAGGCAGAATGGCCTGGAATGGTTTCACCAGATCGAGCATACGTACTGTGTTAGTCAGGGCTCAAGCAGCGTTGGAATCGGCTTTTGAGGAGTGTGTGTCGGATGTTATTTTTTGGATCCTTGATGTTTGTGTCGTTCTGTTTGTGTGATCCTGTGTTGTTGGTTTTGTGTCGCATCGTTTCAACACATAAATAGACCGCTTCCCCCTCTTTTCCTTTTTCCCTCTTTACCTTCTCTCTTCTCTCTGTCACTCACGTCCACTCATTTTTAAATGTGTTTTTGAAGCCCCCGAGTCGTGAATCAACAGTAGTGGCTCTAGAGACGATGGTTTTGGGCACAAGTGAGTTAGTGCGTGTGGGTTGGCAAAGGTTGATTCAAACTCTAATTTGAGCTGTCACCTTGTTTTTTTTTGGGCTGGTCGATACACACTGTCAAAGAGCCAGTATAAGAGGAGGCTCGTTTTTCATGGGCCAGTTTATGGCGCACTTTTGAAGACCCCAAAGCCGAAATTAAAAGCATAAACCCCAACAAAAACTACTAACAGAAGTCACGTGACAATCTGTGCGCGTCGCTTGTCTTACCAACCCCAACCCCCCACTCCAACAGAGACTCCCTCCAATACCGCCCCTCCTCCCTTCTCCAGCCTTCTCGCTACTCCAAACGAAATTTAAAAAAGTTCGCTTTCCTCGTATATATGACAAACCTTACTTTGCGCCGCCGTGGACTGAACACATGGACCTGGGAGTGGGAGGAGATGGGTCACGTGAGCCCTAGGAGTGAGAGGAGATGGGTCACGTGAGCCCTAGGAAGTCGAGCCGGCCCGGGCCCGCGCTGATCTGGGGGTCACGAGACTCCCAGAAGGAGCCGCTTCTCTCGGGACCTCCCCCCCAAAAAAAAACAAAAAAAAAACAAAAAAAAACAACAAAAACGCGGGTCCAACCAATCACGTTCATTATCAGATCAAGTTGCGGATTGGAGATAAGGGTACTTGTAGGAGGTCTGTAAGGGAAGGGGGCGTGTGTTGTCATGTGACAGGATCACGTGACCATGCCGATTGGGTATTTTTCCGTGGGTCGTTCTCGTCTGTACTTGTACTAGATTTGACAGCTTTGTACGTGCAGGTTATGACAGGGTTAGATGCTTAGGTAATGGGTTTATCCAGATGAAACTGCGGTTCAAGGTGCGATGTATGACACATCACGTGACCCATAATTCACCGCGCTACAAGTATATTGGTACATTGGTGTACCATACACTAGATAGTAAGGTGTTCTCTTCCCTGGCATGTCAATTGTATGTTGTATCCTTCTCTTTTCTTCTGATCCATGTTAACATTGGCGGTTTGAAACCCGCGGATGTTCTTTTGGGTCCATTTCACATTCATCTATGGTTGCACCAGTGTTGCGGGACCCTGTCTTTCTCCCAGCCAGATGTTGGTGAGACTTGGTGAGACTACCACTGGTAGCAAGCACAGTGGGTGATTCGACCAGAGGACATCAATGGGAGGTGAAAATTATAGAGTTCGACAGCAGGCAGGAACGAGTGGGGTTAGAAAACGGCGAAAAGTGGCCGAAATGCAAAGTGGACGACACGGTTGTATTACCAGTCTCTCGGGGATTACGACTATGTAATTTATTCCAAGATTGCGTCTATAAATAGTCCAGCAAAAGGTCTTATCTCAGTCGAGCCCTCCCAACTGAAAAAAATTAAGTTGTCCAAGATGGGTGTGGAAGGAGATCGATCTGGGATTTAGACAAGGCTGGAAAATTGAGATAACGAGGGATATCTGCCATTATTGAGACATTGCAAGTGTAGGGAAGTTTCGTCTCTCTTGTTGCGACTTTCCAATCGTGAGATATCACGCCGTTGGCTTGGAGGTAATAAGCTTTCTGCAAGGTTACCCTGATGTAAAAAATCAGTGCGGTCCCAGACCACCTAAAAATTTCCTCCACATACATACAACACCACACACCGATTGCAATATGTCCCGATTTTTTGCTGGTGGCTCCGACAGCGACGACTCGTCTTCGGACGAGGATCTGTACGGCTCTGGCTCCGAGTCCGGCTCCGACTTTTCCCAGGACGAGCAGGACGGAGGAGATGATAACGACGATGACATGAGTGACGATTCCATGTTTGCTGACGACTCTGACGACGACAGCGACGACGACGAGGACCTGGGCGGCAAGGGCGCATCTTACTTCCTCAAGTCGTCCACCGTGGCCGACTCGGACGATGAGGAGGATACCGGTAAGAAGACGGTGCTGTCTGCCAAGGACAAGCTGCTTGCCGAGCTGGCCAACTGCTCCAAGCTGATTGACAACGGCAAGCGAATCAACGACTGGGTGTTGATCCAGGGCGAGTTTGACAAGCTCAACAAGGCCATGGAGCGGTTCACCAAGCAGCGACATGGCCTGCCCCCCAAGGTCTACATCCAGTGCATTGTTGAGCTGGAGGAGTTCCTCAACACCCAGCTGGAGGACAAGGCTGGAATCAAGAAGATGAACGCGTCCAATTCGCGAGCATTCAACACCGTCAAGCAGCGGGTGCGAAAGAACAACAAGGAGTACGAGGCTGCCATCGCAAAGTACAGCAGTGGTGGTGACGTGGCAGAGGAAGAGGAGGAAGAGAACAAGGAGGACAAGCCCAAACCCCGGGCCAAGGATGAGTTTGTGCTCACCGCTCCCTCCCAGGCTTCCAATGAGGAGTTCACCACCGTTGGCAAGGCTGGAAAGGCTCTTGTGTCCCCCACCGACATGTTCAAGACTCTCAAGACCGTTCTGGAGAGCCGAGGTAAGAAGAACACCGACCGGGAAGACCAGGTGCGACAGCTGGAGAACCTGCTGCCATCTGCCTCTACCGTCTACCAGAAGATCTCTGTCTACACCATGCTTGTGTCTACTCGTCTGGATCTGTCTTCTGCGTCTGCTGCTCTTGCTCCCGAGAACTGGCTCAAGGTTGTGGGCGACCTCAACGACCTGCTGTCTATTCTCGAGGAGAACATTGATACCTATCACGTGATTGAGACTGCCCCCGAGATTGAGGACGTTGAGAAGGGCCCCGTTGCCCGGGAAGACGGCGTCAAGCTCATTCCCGGCTCTGTGGCTTCTCTGGTTGAGCGTGTGGACGACGAGTTCACCAAGGCCCTCCAGTTCATGGACCCTCACACTACCGAGTACGTGGACCGTCTGAGAGACGAGACCAAGCTGTACCAGACTCTCCTCCGAGTGCAGATGTACATTGAGCATGTCTCCGACGAGAAGGACACTCTTGGCCTCGCTCGAATCCTGGTTCGACGAGTCGACCATCTCTACTTCAAGCCCAACAATGTCATCAACATGACTGAGCAGATTGCCTGGGGTGGAGTCAAGGGCGATTCCAAGGCCACTCCTCGACCTACAGAGAAGGACCTCACCTCATCCACTTACCCCACCACGCTCATTTCGAACATGTGCTCCGTTCTGTACAAGCAAAGCAACACTGTGTTCCGAACAAAGGCCATGCTGGCTCACGTCTACCACTACGCTCTGAACGACGAGTACTACAAGGCACGAGATATGTTCCTCATGTCCCATCTGCAGTCGTCCATTGCCTCTGCTGAGCCCCAGCTGCAGGTGCTATTCAACCGAACCCTGGTGCAGCTTGGTCTGTGTGCTTTCCGAAGCGGACTCATTGCCGAGGCCCAGCAGTCGCTCCAGGAGGTCTGCTCTTCTCCTCGACTAAAGGAGCTGCTCGGACAGGGTCTGGCGAAGTACGCCCAGGCCGGAGTTGTCGACAAGCAGCGAGTGCTGCCCTTCCACACCCACATCAACCTCGAGCTGCTGGAGTGCGTGTTCCTGTGCTCGTCGTTGCTTATGGAGATCCCCTTTATGGCTGCCCACAACACGTCTATCGACGCTAAAAAGAAGGTCATTTCCAAGCTGTTCCGACGAATGCTCGACTACCACGAGCGACAGGTCTTCTGTGGCCCTCCCGAAAACACCCGAGACCACATTATGCAGGCTGCCAAGGCTCTGCAGCGAGGCGACTGGGAGGCTGCACGAGATCTGGTCTGTGCCATCAAGATCTGGAGCCTGCTCCCCAACCCCGAGGCTATCAAGGCTATGCTCACTGACAAGCTCCAGATTGAGGGTCTGAGAACCTATCTGTTCACCTACTGGAACCACTACTCAACGCTGTCTCTGAGCACTCTGGCCGACATGTTCCAGCTGCCCGTTAAGGATGTGGCTGCCATTGTCGCCAAGATGATTGCCCAGGAGGAGCTTCCTGGATCTCTTGACCAGAAGACCAACTCGGTCGTGTTCACACAGGCTGTCCAGCAGACCAAGCTGCAGCAGCTCGCCGTGGCACTGTCTGACAAGGTCATCCAGCTGGCCGAGCGAAACGAGCGGCTCGTGGCTGGCGGGTACCAGTTTGACAAGATGACCCAGCCCCAGAAGAGAAAGACGCAGAGAGCTCGATAGGCGAGGGAGTTATCTGAAAACACGAGCGCAAGTGAGTGTGCAAAAATGACAGCAAGAGAGTGCTGAATAGTTGAATAGAGCATGTTATAGGAGTTCCAAAGTTCTGAGTGAGTGCTTTGATGGACATTTAGTAGACTTTGGGAAAAGTTGAGCTCATTGTAGTGGCATGAGAGGTGATTGTAAAGAGAATGTAGAACTAAAAGAATGGTTAGGGAGACGACTACAGGTAGTAATTGTGGAAGTTCAGAAGGATACTGGAAGAAACTATCAAGTGATGACTGGAGCAAATAAAATGATGTTCTGACTGTCCTCACTAGTCCTCACTAGTATAGTATATGCAGTAATTTAGTATATCTGATTCATTTCAGCTGGCTGAAAGACGTTCAATGAGAGAGGGGCGGGTTCACCAGATGTTGGGGAATTAGAGCTGCGAGGTTCTAGTGCAGTGATTATGAAAGTGAATTGCTCTCTTGGACCAAGTCCATGTTGAGTATGGCGTTTTTCTTGCAGTCTCCAAGAGATGGTCTTCAGCAGCGACACATATAGTCCTCCAGCCACTCCATTGTGGGCATTAGTGGGCCAAACAGGATAGAGCGGGCCCCAAAACGACACTTTCTGGGTGGTTGATGAGACAAAGTATGAAGACGTTTGACACGAGTCAACAGCAGCTGTGCTTGTGTAGTCAACTTCTATACTCATTGAGCCAACCGGGTTATTCGCACAGGCACGAAAAGAAGTTTTTTCCCCCGCACTACAGCAATACTGTACATACTTCGAACGCCTGTCTTACATATACACAGGAACCAATGATGCGGTATGCTTGTAATATGAATTACATGTACCGATCAAGCAGGGAACGATACTTTTGATGTTTCTACAAGCAGCTAGAACCCGGTTTTGAGAGGTTTCGCTTAGCGGCTTGGCACTCATCTCATATGCATACGATGACAGAGATCACTGACACATGGACTCTCACTCTCATGGACCAGACGGAACATGTTAAAAACAGAGAGTTTGCAAGAAAAAGATGGACGGAGATTCTAGGGAGAGGTCCTGGGAGGGAACGGAATAAGACATGTCAGCACACTCCTGCTTCTGATCACTACGCTGAGCTCTACGTACTGAGTTGGACTTTCTCATCAACTTGTGTTGTGACCCCACTATCTGACACAGTGAACAAGAAAGCCTGGGTTTTCTGATACGGGGCTCTGCGGAAATTGCTAACTCTTCATCCCGAGCGGCATGACACAACTATGGGGCTCGTTACCTAGGGAAGTCAACGTTGGCAATAATGTCAGCAGATCTTCCAGACCATCTCCAGTTTTGCCTATATATATATCCTGCAAAGTCCGCATCTACTTTTTTTTTTTTCTGCATATACATTCATTTAATTATAACTTTGCTGTGAAAGAATAACCTTTGAAATGAATGTACGCTTACACGAATATTACTAATTAAACACGTTTAGTGTCATGGTCCATCTACTACACATGCTCATCCCAAACTTTTATTCAAAGTCCAACAAACTTATCAACTACATTCCAGTGTTTACTCCTCAACAGATCTATTACCAACTAATCCCAACTAAGCCCCAAGTTGCTCTTGTTGTTCCTGTAGTACCCCTGCCACTGACAAACTTGGAAAATGAGATCACTAATGTCGAACTGGTACTTGAAGTGTCGCATGAGAAATCTGGCCGAGTCGCAAGGCGTCTCTTTCATGTGGTTCAAGACATATGTAGCCACATACTGTTCATGTTCGTCAGTCCAACCCGTAGGCATCTTGAGAGTATCGTCAAAGAGAGTGTGTGCCGATAATGAGTCAATGGGTAGATATATATACCTATGGAAGCGGCATTGCAGCCTCAACTCATCGTAGCCTCCATTCACCTTGCCTCAATTCACCTTGCGTCAGTTCACCGTTGACATTATCTCCATAGCGGTTGTCTCAGTTGTTTGAGGCTGTAGGTACATTGGTCATTTTGGCGCTTGAAATGTCCTGAAAACAGAAATATATGGACATAAAAGTATATAAAAAGAAAAAAATGAGCATAAAATCCATATCACAATTGCCAAGAAAAGGACGGAGTTATTGATTAGTACTGTAGCTGCGTTTTGATATTACGAGTTGGTGAGTGGAGGGTAGACTGAGAACAAGAACGCTACAGAATATTCTAGAGAAACTATGGCGAGATGAAAAGTTGATTTATTGAATTACAGTATTGAGAACTGTCTGATCATACCAATTTCAAATCATTTAGCCACATACCAGCGGTTCTAAGAACTTGTACGGACCACTCGACTAAGTGTCAACTAAATGTTAACTAGGCCTCAACACGAAGTGGAGACAACACTTTTACGACCAAAGATGGAAGGAGGCTCTTTTTTACAACCGTGTTATGTCCTAGAATCAATCAAACACTACAATGTGCAAATATAGAACCAGCACCCCCATCCTGGTCATCCTAGAACCACAAAACAACCACCCACAATTATTACTTGTTCCCTACTAAATTTCACCGAACTACATCTTAACAAATCACCGAACTATATCTTAACAAATCACCTAACCGTATCTCAACAATGCTCAGAGGTGGCTCTCCAAACACATGTCCAGAACATGGTAAAACTCCTACCGGACGTTGAAATTGAACACGCCAGAGGCGATCTTTCCGTCAAAAAGGAGGTGAGAACAAATTCCGGCGCACTTGGTATCTTCCCCAGGTCACAGTTGGTTCTTCAGCTGTGTTATCGGATGAGACGAGTGGGGGTTGTAGATATATATGATTGTAGCTGTTGCATATGATTGTAGCTGTTGTATGTTAGAACGGCAAATGTGCGTTTTTCGAGGCCATATCTTCAACAGTGCCCAAACATTTCCGATATTTTCCCTCAATGGGAAATCTGTTCCGGTATCGTGGGGTCTCAGTTGGAGCTGAAAAGTTGGAAAGAGAAGATTTGTTGTCACAATGAGATCAGGTCTTTGGGGACTCCAGCTGCTCTGACTGTGTATTCGGGGAAGCTGTGTCCTGGATCGACTAACCATGGTAACTAGTTAGTGGTATCATTACATTTTGGAGTGGGTTGAGGTCGAGTTGGGACGCCAGACAGGAGGAAGGATCTCGTATTGCAACAACGCAACCAAGACATTAATAGGACTCTATTGGCAGGGACGAGGACCTGCTTATGATGCGCTGATTAGGGCTGGGCCGGTACCTGAACATCAGCGAGCAGTACCGGCCCAGCCCTTGAAGACGTAGTGTCCCCTCACAATATCCAAGACGGTTGAATATACATTTCCAACACATTATCTGTCAGTAAATGCACAAAGACCTTTTGGTCTCTTCATGGTTGGATTCTTCATCGTTAGACTCTTCATTGTTGGACTCTTCAATTTGGTCTCTCCATCGTTGGACTCTTCAATTTGGTCTCTCCATCGTTGGACTCTTCACGGTTGGACTCTTGGCTCCATCAGTTCTACACTGTCCTGCCCCTGGCTCCAAGTAGCCTTTCCGAGTCGATATTACCAGAATAAAACCTCGAAATGACCCCGAAATCTTCAATGTGGTTGCAAAAACTGTCGACTTCTCAGGACACTCCCCCAGTAAACGTCCACATGGCTGGAGACATCGATATGTTGATTTCCCCAAGATGCCATGATTGTAGTAATTGAGGAGGACGTCATCTTGTGTTATCGAAAGGTCTATGTGGTTAATAAGAAGAATTCTCATCACTTTTCAGCTCCAATTTTCAAAAACGTGAAAGACTGTTCTCCACATGGCGGCAGGCGGTTGACTGGAGACAGGCGAGACTGAGCAAATGCGACGGTGGTAGTGCGATGGCGTATCTTATTGGTACGAGTATTTGGACTTTAGATGTACAGAAGGGCTGTTACTGGATCATTTCAGCTGCAAGATCAGTTGGCCATCTCGGACCGCTACTAATTGACGACAATTACTTGATCCATTTGTTGAGTTTAGTTGAGTTTAGTTGAGTACTTTGAACAGAAAAATCGGATATTCAAGTGTACATGTACTGCACCGCACATATACCTAGACTCCCCCTCAACTGATCAACTGATTCAATGGCATCATTTCAACCCCAAACCTGGAAAAGGAGTACATGCTAGTGTCACGTGATCTCATGAACCAACAGTGGCTGAGTAGACTGTCTCTGTACGATCTTGTACCGTTTCAAACACCGTTGACAAAGCTGTCAGTCTGAACAACTCCTGTTCATCTACATAACCACAACGTAGGATCTGCCATCTAGTCACTTTTAACGTCTACGGGAAAAACTTAAGAGGTAGTGCCATCATCACCCTGGAAGAGACGTACATTGTAGTACAATTCCGACTTGTTCTGCCGTGTTGGTGGCATCTACTTGGTTCTAAAGTCCATCATCTCTACTTCAATGATGACTTTACCAACTCGTCAGACGAGTAGGACTCATTCCTGAAAGACTTGCCATCTGCGGTAACCCAACTGAAACCGTCGCCAACGTTGAAGATCCATCATGTTGAAGATATGTAACACGTGAAAGACAAGCGTTTTCGCAGTACAGGGTCCAAAAAGGGATCGAGGGTTGATTATCAGATGAATACATGTAAGAGCTTTAGAATGGTGACACGTTTTCTTCATTCAAGGCTCGATATACATCTCTAGCTACAACTTCAGTTGGTATGGTGACGCAGGGACCAAACGACCATCAGTCCAGGATATGAAAAATGAGAAGTGACGCTACAGGAATATTTACAACAGACATGTTCAATAAAATACCTCCAATACAGTGGCATAACAGGCAACGTTGAAGTTGCACAACTCTCAAAGCCATATCTCAAAGCCATTGCGTCTTCATCAGACCTCGTGGGGGGGGGGGGGGGAAGGGGGGGCTCAACTTTGTATCGTGATTCAGGAATGAAACGACTACTTGACCAAACGAGTTCAGTGGAGACAATACGAGTCTGTAATCAGTTTTTTAGGGGAAAAAGACATTATACAGCTATCAGTACATCAATTAGAATCTATAAATATTTCTTCATCGTCCAACAATCTCCTGCTCAACAGTTGATGGTCTTGGTGATGGTCTTGGACTGCACCTTGGTGATGTTCTTGGTGACGGTGATATGTTTGGGCTTGGGGCACTTCTCGTCAGGGCACTTCTTCTTCATGAGTTGGTGAATGTCCTCGGGGTTCTCGGCCGAGTCGGCGGGGGTGAAAGCCATGGTAGTGGCGGGACTAGGAGCAGCCTGCTGGGCAGCGGCCAGAGAGAAGAGAGAGACGATAGCAAGGGTCTTGAGCTGCATGATGAAGTTAACTGGATAACGAGCTTTCGAGGTACGGACGGGTATTATATATTGATTTTGGCATAGAATATGAATCAATATCGAATCGAATGTGTTAATCTATGCAACCAGATATAACTGTGGTTGACTGCCGAAATGAATTGTATGCCGTGAACATGGCCAATGGAGTACACTGCAAGTAATCTCACCGGAGGAGGGAAGGTGAAAGTGAAACGGGCGACACTACAACGTGGAATGAGATCAATTATGAATAGCATCCATGGAATGAGAGACACCAGTGGTTGAAGCAACAACTAGCAGGGATTGGTGTTCGTCAAGGAGTTCTGGAATGTCGCCTTTGAATCTCAACTTGAAGTTCGAATTGAAGTTCGAATTGAATCTCGACTTGTCCACTTGTCTCGACTTTGTGTGGACAATACCCACTTCACATACTCACTGACTGAACATTACAGGTACTGTAGCACAGAGTCGGGACAGTACAAGTACAGTAAAGTACATGCAGTACACTCCAAAGACAATGTCAGTTGCTTTGATTCTTCTTTCTCCAGTTGTTCACGACACTCCAACTGGAACTGAACTGCGCGCGCGTCTTCAGTCCAATTTTCCCCTCCATCTCAATCTCTCCTCCTCTTCTTTATCGGATAGAAATAGCCGCTCAAGTCTCTCTTCCACCGCTTCCACTCCTGACAGTCCTCACACTGGTTCTTCCACGACACGAAATGTCTCCTGACGAACTGGTCGAGCTTGGTGAGGAAGGGACGACTATATTTCCAACATTGAGTCTTTCCCTCGTGTCTACCAACCAGTAGAATGCTCCCCTTGTGCTTTAGATAAGTCCTTTCGCTTCCCTCCTTCACCACAACTCCATACTTGTCTGATAGATACGACTTGGGTAAGTTATTTGTCTGGGCAACATGGTACCACGCGACTTGACGATTCGAAACTCGTGGAAACAGCTTCACAACTCTCAGACTCGATCTGGAGGTGAAAAACACACATCCAGTGTACTGACAGACATGAAGAGCTATCTGGTCACTCATGAGCTTTGTCTGGAACAGTAGAAACGATTTGGCCCGTTCCCAATCAAGGAGAAACCACGCTGAATGTGTTTCCGAATCCAATCTACAATAGCTGTAGCGGGAATTGACTTGGATCTGAAGTCGTTGAACACCAATAGGAGGGAGAGAATATCCAATTGGCAACATGATCCACGAGATGGCGTGTCTCGATCCAGAATCACAAGCCTCCGCATCATTTAAAACTGTTGCGTTCACTTTTTTCAACCACAATTCCTCCTGATAAATCTCCGTATCACTTGTCATAGACTGAACACCCAACAGCGACCTCACCATTTGAACCTGCCGTTCCGTGTTGTTGACTGCAGTTCCACCAGCTTCGGTCTTCTGATCCAGGCTTCTCCTTCCCTTGACTCTCAAAATCCCATCTCTCAAACTCAAGGCATAGACCGTTATCCAATTCTCCTCCGTCACTAGCCAGGTGATGGTATCGCCGTCAAGCGTCGCTGGGTTGGTGAAATTGCACAGGGAGTTGTCTAATTGGGTCTCTGGCGCAAGCAAAGCGTTGCTATGAACCTCGTAATGATCGCTGAAGGGCGGAAGAATCGACTCTAAATCATTTTCCGCCCTCAACTCTTCTATCGCAGCTTCGACATCGACCTTGTCTCCCAGAGAAGCAACGAAAGTCAGTTGTTGCTCAATTGTGGGTTTGTACTCTGCAGACCTTTCTTTCGTCTGGGCAAAGAAGACCTCCTCAAACGCTGCCTTGTAAAGCATGGCATTCGACTGGACTGCTGCTCTCAGGTACGGAGATACAAGACTCAACGCTACCAGAGACCTGGGGTCGCAGAAGGAGAAGACGGTGGAAAGTTGTTCAGCTGGCAGGTTGAGGAGCATGTCCAAGGTATCTAGTCTTGTTGGTTCATTCTCATAGGCTACGGGCGTTTCAGTCTTATATCTTGAAGATGGCGACTGCACAGTAGAGTCAAGAGTCGGCATGTCGGTCGGCCATAATAACCACCGAAAGGTCATCAATCATTTGCTACTGGTAGCTTCCGTTTGGCGGTTCCGGAGTCAACTTGTCCTAGAAAGATAGTAACAAAGAAACAGCCACCTTCTCCTGTCTCATGGGTGCATTCCGAGATGAATTTCGGTACAGTGCTGTGCAAGACAACTATTCCGCTCAAACGCTCCGAAACTCTTTCCGTACCTTTCGGTACGGTACAGCTTACATCTTCTCTGTACAGGTAGAGGCCAACATCATCTCGGGTCGACAGTAACCCCCTGCCAGCATTGTAGTTAGTGCGATCCTGTAGCAGAGAACTAGAGAACTAGCTGAATAGCTGAACTAGCTGAATCCTTTCACCATCTGCCGAAAAACTGTATAGTTGTTCCGTCGTCTCAGATCTTCCTTGACGCTTGCACTGCTTCCGATCCGCCAAGGTGCATCAGACCTGACACGACCCAGGTTCGACACGATCCAGGTTCGATTCCGGTGTTTCCATATGACAAATACGTCTCCGAGTCACATCACTTTGCGCAACTTCCAAATGTCTACTTGCTAATGGCGATAGCAGAAACAGCTTGCCTCGATGGCACCCAATCTGGACCCCAATCTATATTGCTGTTTAGACCCCCTTTTTGGGCAAGCGGCTAAACTTAGGATCCGAGGACTACAAGGTTTGCCGTCGGAGTCCTAAAGGTGCATCTCCAGACGTGTCGGCGTCTTCGGTGCGTGATTCGGAATCCGATGGTCTTGTCAGGCGGAATGACAACCGTGTCGAGGCACAGTTCCCCGTTTCACTGCCCAAAATATGACGACAAGTATCGTATGTATTATTCAGCGTCAAGTAATAACTCTTGTCTACCAGAGAGACTCATGAGGAGAGTCTCCGCACCCTAGTGGAGGATTGGAGTGAGCACGCCACAGGTTGACAAATCCAGCTGAGTGTTTTTGCCGCCCAGACATGGAAACTAGCGGTTCGTCACCTTTTCCATTCAACACCAACAAGATATCCCCCTAGAAGTTCTCGGCAAGCACAGTTGTTCAACCTTGGTCAACAACTACATCCACAGTGGAGAGAGGAACTGTTGAAACCTGTCGAAACCTGTTGAAACCTGTTGAAACCTCTTAACAAAAGGAGTTGTTTGTGGTGTACAAGTACACTGTATGTAGACTTGTGTCCTTCTTCGTCGACAAGCCCAAGTCAACAGACCACATAGCAGAATGTAGCTCCCTACTTTCTACAGAGGTGATCAGAAAGCTATAGATATACTATCGTGTGTCACCGTATATACAGTACCGCTCATTGTCTGACAACTGCTTGTGCTCCCTCTGGTCTAGCTCGCAGCAACCAATATTAGTTTCACCTAAACACTACATAATAACATGATGCATTCCAAAACTAGCTGATAATACACTCTTCTCCACAGAAGAAACCCCATCAAACGTCTTCCAACACCTCGGCTACCCTTCTTTTGTCCTGACACTCACTTTGCCCATACCTTAGACAAAGTAGGGCTTCCACAAAACACCCTCCAGGTCGGCCAACTGATCCTCGGTGAACTTCTTCGAATCAATATGCCACGTATCCTGTCGCGTCTTCTTGAAATCGCCCAAAATCTCCTTGACAGACCGCCCAACAAACTCCGAATCGGAGCCGGCCTTCGTAGCCAGCGTCACCAGAATCTCAGGTGCCCAATCAGGAGGAGGGGACACATACGGGAACGCATTGATGATAGTTCCTAGTCCCAGAACAGCAGTGTGCCGGGTGGCAGCGAGAAGATCACGTGTCGTCTTGTCTTCGCGTGAGACAGCCTTGACTCGCTTGGCCGGGTTCTTCACGAGCAGTTCACGGAAGGTGACGTGCAAGTGGTGCACCTGGGAGTCTCTTTCCTGTTCGGGCAAGCATCGCAGAATACCCGACAATGCTTTGGCGGCTGCAGATCGAATCTCAACCTCCTTGTCGTGCATGAGCTCGGTGACGGTGGCCAGAACACGTGATCGGTGTTTCTGTGTCATCACAAACTGGTGTCTGAAGAAAAAGACTTGTAAGAACTGAATCAGGGCGAGTTTCTGTTTTCGGTGAGAAGCCGAGGAGACAATAGACTCGACGGCAGACACAACGTGATCCATCTGAGACGACTCGAGAGCAACATCACCAAGTGAAACTACCGTGGCAGACGCTTCAATGAGCAGCTCGGGGTCATCTCTAACAAGACACATGCTCATCAGACACTCGAGAAGCTGCTGAATAAGCGGCACAAGATCTCGGCCTGAAGAGGACGACAGACGACGCATGATGAATGCAACCAGAGTCTTGGCAGTATTGGTGATAGACTTCTTGTTGATATCCGATGACGTAATCAGAGACATGCAGTTGATGAGAGGCGATTTGAGTCGCTCAGGAAGAGTGTAGACTCCCAGACCGAGTCCTGTATCATTGGCACACTCATTCTTCTGCAGGAAATCACCCACATCAACAAACCTGTCTGTCTCCTCATACTGTACTCTGTACAACTCACCGAGAGTCACGGCAAGAGCAGCTCTGACGTTGGAGTATTCATGGGCCACGTGACTCCACAGCTGGCCAAGCTGCACATCTGTATCAAGATGCCACTCGGAGTAGTAAACAACTCGCCTGAAGAACTCAAGTTTGGCAACCTGCTTGAACGCCATATGAGATGACTCGTCGATGGTAAACTTGCTAATGAAATCAGCAATAGGTCCCCACAGGCGGGGGTCAATCTGATGAGTAGTCCACGAAATCAGTGCCCACCAGTACTTGACATTCTCAGGAGTCAGGTGAGTCTTGATGACCGAGGTAAAGGTATCAAGAATGGTTTTGTTGACCAAATCACGGGTCTCACGGGAAGACAGGAACTTCAGACTCAGCAGACAACCTCCAAAGTACTCAGTTAGCGTTCGGTGAGATTGCTTGTCAGTAGGATCAAATGACTTAAGAACCAGGTTCAACAGATCCTCAATAGTCCACGTGACCAATTTGAGCTGGTAGAGACGCAAAAGAGATGCGACAAACCCACATGACTCCACAGAAAAGTCAGATTCATCATCAGCATCGTTGGTGTTGTCATGGATGAGTTTCCTGATCATTTCCAGAGTGATAATCTCAGAGAACACAGACATGGCCGATTGGTCGTGCTCTGATAGTGTGAAAGGGGCCGAGTCTCGATGACCACTTGTTAGCGTACCACCCAAATCAATCACTTCCAACTTCTTGGGCCACAAAAGCCATCCAAAAGCGCAGGGCACGTCTAAGATCCATCCAGTCTCTTCTCGCTGACGTAGAATGGTGACAAGACGGCCACCAAAGTCTTTGTCGGTCTCAATCAGAGTGTAACCAGCCTTCTCAACCTGGTCACTGGTCACATGACTCATATCATAGCCATTCACAGCCAAAGTGAGCACCTTTCCAATAAGGCCCTCAAAAGACGAGAAGTACATCTGGGCAACCATCGGATGCTGGTTAGTGAGACCCCTGGCAATAACAGACCACGTTTCACGAGACGTCTTCATCTCAAAGCTTCGATTGAGGGACACCTGGATGGAACAGCACAACAGTACCACCTTCCAGTTGCCCGAAGACATCTGGATACGGTTCATAAGCTCATCGACTGACCACGTGACCTTGACGGCTTCGGCTCGTTTGGTAGTCTTTTCAGCACGCATCTTCTCAATCTTGGCATCAACCTCGCCTCTAGATGACTCAGCAGGTTCAATTCCAGCAATATGCGAATCGTCAAACTTGAAATAGCTGCTGGGAAGTCGAAAACCGTCATTGAGAAGAGTCATGAGCAAACTCTGGGCTTGTCGGTTGAGCATCAACGAATCAGCTTCCAGGGCTCTTGTCATAACCTGAATGAACAGCGGCACGTGGCGAATGTTTCGTTTGAGACAAGTGTTCATCACACTCATCTCCAAAACAAGGCAGGCCGAAATAGCCTTCTCCCACTGCTGTTGACCAATAGCCTCGTCACAAGACCGCAGAATGAAAGGAAGAATCAGAGGTCTGCACTTCATAATCGTCTTGATCGCACTTTCCAGACAGCTCTGCGCATTACGTCGAATGTCAGGATAAATAGAAAGACATGATTTCAGAATATCCATAAGGAGGGACTTCTCAAAAGGAGTCATGTGACGAGCTCCAAATTTGTGCAGCAGACGCTCATGGTGGTGGGCCAGAGCTCGACGAATCAGAACAGCTCGGGGGTAGTCTTTTCGCAGTCCCAGAGTGTTGCATTTTCGCACCTCATATGAGTAAGCCGCGATCTGGATGATCACCGACTTGGACGTCTTCTCAATGCCAACATCAGACAAGTACACCTTCAGAGCAAAGAGCAGAGCCTTGAAGGAGGAGATGTCCGTCGAACGATGAGTGAGAAGAGAGTTGTGCAGATTGTGAAGCACGTGACCGATTGAGAGTCGGAGCTTGTGCAAGTGTACATAAGTTGAGTCGAAGAAAGACGATTCAACAACAGCGGCGTCGTTAGACGCATTTCCGGCTCCATCATTCACAGTGATATCACGCGACTCATCGTCCGTTCCACGTGACTCACCCAACAATCTCGCACTCTTCTCGTTCTGCCTGGCAAAAAGGTACCCAGAAGGATACTCACGCAACTTCTTGAGTTCCACAAAATCGCCAAACATGTCAGCGTCGTCACAAATGGGCTCCTGCTCAAACTCAATGTCACCAGGCTCCGCTGAGTCAGCATCGACGTCGGAGGACTCTGACATACCATCATCAGACACAGAGTCGGTCGAATCCGCAGCGGAGTAGGCCAAGTCGTAGCACGGGTCAAAGAGGATGGAAATACCGGCCAGCGAGGTTCGAAGATAAGTCACGTGGCGGGTGATGAAGTCAGACAGCTCAGTTACTCCATCTCCGTTGCTCTGGCCGTTCGAATCGCCTCCGTTCAGTTTGGCAATGACACCGTTAAGAGCCTCAAGACTCAGTCCAACCTGCTCATCAAACAACTGGACGGCAAATCCGACCTCCGCCTCGCCAGGAACATACCACTTGATGACCAGCTGCTTGGGGTCTACTCGTTGGCCCCACTGGATGACGTTATCAATGCCTGGGCTGCAGTCCACCACTGCCAGATTCGTCAGAGACATGAGAATGTGGTGGACGGTGTTTGCCGAGTGGAAAATGATATTTCCCCGACATTTCTCGCGCAAGAACGACGTGAGCTCCATCAGCTCATCTTGGTAATCCATCAGCGTCTTGTTGGCATGAGCAACACACAAATTGAGCACAGAAAGATGCCAAATGAGCGCTCGGTCACGTGGGAGAATTTCTGAGCTCACGTGACGAGTACTACCGGCACCGTTGCTCATAATCTGATTTCGGATACCGTGGAACACTACCGGGAAAAGATATTTGCAAGCAACGGAAGAGTTCACACGAACCATAGCGCCGCTCATATTGGCAATGGCGTCGGTAGCCGTGTGGATCACGTGACCAGAAATGAAATCGGCCATTCGTGCACAGCACTTTTCGAACATGTCCTTAGAAACACCTCCTAGAACAGCCATAAGCATTGGCGTCAAAATGGATACGACTTGAGCCTCGGGGAAATCACGTTCTTTGGAAGCACGTGACACGTCAGGCAGGTTCTCCAGCAAGTTGAAAAGCCGTTCAAACAACGTGTCTACTAAAAGAGGAAAGCCTGTCGTGGTAGCAACACAAATATCGTTGCACAGAGCGGCTGGAAGAGGAGGGAGAGTGCCAGTCTCCTCCAGCATTTCCACGTCATGTGTAATGTAAAACGCGGGGTCGGATGGGGGATGGTACGACTCGGGGTCATACTCCAGTGTCTGGTCACGTGAGTTGTCTTGTGATTCTGAAGACTCAGTAAACGGTACATTCAATGCCGCCACATGAATCACCGACAACGCCTGAAACGTCTTGTCCACATCGTTGGCATCAATACCAGGCAACGCCAGCGATAACAGTGTGGTCACGTGGATGCGGTATCTCGATTGCTGACTAATAATCCTCACGAGCGCCACTAGTGTCTGAAGAGTGGTCAGAGTTCGATGGGTCTCGACCAGTCCCTGAAGTGACGGGTACGCTTCCTTGAGAAACTGAGGGATGATCACGTGAGGCTCCAGGAACGCGAGGCCCTGCAGGCAGTTGATTGCCATGCGAGAGAGGAGCCTGTTCTTAGAGTAGATACCAAAGAAGACGACATTTCTGAGCACATTGACGAACTTGCGCTTCGTGTCGGCTGACAGGAACCGCGAGGGGTCCACGGAGAACACCTGGCCTTCCTGTTCTTGGTTCCATCGGAGGAGAAAGTACTCGACGAGGAGGTTGATGAGTTCAAAGAGTCCCTTGGACCACTTGCCTTGGTTGGAGGGGTGGAAAAAGGACTCGAGCGAGGTAATCAACGTGAGAAGAGTGTCGAGGACATCTGGTGAAGCTGTTTCACTTGTCTCAGGCTTTGTCGTTCCTCCAAGACAACTAATAATGAGTCTTGCAGCTGCTCTAGATGGCTTAGCCTTTCTGACCTCCACATGGTCAATTCTTCTCGTCTCATTATTCACATGATAGGGCTCAGGACAGCTGACAACAGTAACTCCAGACAACGACAGAATAACCGAGAAAAGGAAATTCATCTGCTCCTCGTTGAAGATGCCGTATCTTCCACTGCCGTGCCAGATCACTTGATCGTTCTGTAGCCCGTCGGATGCCAGGCGCGACATGTAGTCGAGCATTTGAAAGTCAAAGTGTTTGGACACTCGCAGCGTCTTCCAGAGGTGGAAGAGAGAGGGGAGATATGTCTGGGGGTTGCACGAAGGGGGTGTAAAGTACATAAGAAGGGAGACGACCGGATGCGATTGTTGGGAAGAGAGGGGGGAGAACTGTGTTAGTAGGGGAACAATGGAATGAAGTTTGAGAGAACGTGAGTGGAAAGCAGCAGGCGGAAAAAACGCGCCAAGCTGTTTGTATCAGTAGTGCAAGTCTGGGCCCTGTTGTTTGTGGGAGAAGGTCAGGATGTGTATCCTGTTGCACTGGTTGCGAGGTGAATGGATCAATAGTAGTTGATGTCATTCCCTTCCTTGGAATCACAGAACTCGCCACTCAGGACCTCCTTCATAGTCTATCCATGGATGCAGCATATGCAAAACTATCTATCCAAGTCGTTCGTAACTGCTTGATTCTCAACCAGTCACAATCCATAAGCAGTGATGACCCACAACCAGCTATATTATACAGCCAGCAGAAATTCACAACCAATCACAGATCGTAGCCAACAGTTAAGTCATAGCAGTCCACTGCAGATATTTTGTCGGTGCGCTTTCGTTAGCTGCAACATTTTGTACTCACGCTTGGCAACAAATCCTCCATAACATCATCAATACAGCCCGGCTCAAAGAAAACCCTCGCCGACTGCACCAACCTCACCAAGGCACTCTTGTCCTGCTGACTGGGCTCTACAAACGGAGGAGCAGGCAAAAAGGCATACTTCAGCAGCTTGTAGAGCGGTTTGTAGTCGAGTTTCAGGCCCTCCTTGAGCAGTAAGACATGCTCACGTGCCAGTAGACAAAACATGGACACAAACTTGTCAAACGGCACATCGTCCCCACCAGGAATGACCGTGTTGGAAGCTGCAGAAACCACAGTCGCGAGAGACAGGTCGTAATAGACCCGAATGAGCGCCAATCGTGCACTCAGGGGCAAATCGAACTTGAGCCGGACCCAGGACTTGAGCTCCCGAGTCCAATGACAGATCGAAGCCGCAGTGACAGAACCCCCGCCAGGAGATAGATCGTCGGCCCGAATGGCGGCGTACAGCTTGGATATCACGTGACTCAGGTGGTTGAGCTGGTCGTCGCGCGACTCGACAGGGTACGGAAGCGAGGCCGTGTAGGGGTAGGTTCGGGGGATGAGTCTGTTGTCGGTGGTGGCTGTAGCAACGTCCTGGAGACAGGTGTTGAGCGCGGCGAGCGAGTCACGCGGGTTGTCACATGACTTATCACGTGACTCGGGTCCTTCCTGCGCCCGTCTTTCGGCCACGTCGACAGTCACTAACGTCATTGTCGATGGCTTTGTATATGGCAGTGTGGGTTGTAGCTAGATCAAGGTTGGGAGATGAGACTGGTGGCGGGAATAATCTTAGTCAGCACTCGGGGGGAGTTGGGGAGGGAGATTTGGGAGATTGGCCTGTGGTTTATACAAGTGGGTGGAGCTGGAAGGGAGACTGTGGCTGTGGGCGAGGCCTATTTCGGATTACTAAGGAGTCTGGGGTGGCGGAGACTCGGTGGTCGGGGTTAGAGAGTAAGGTAAGGTTTAGTGTGGTGCTATAAGTATATTTTGTTGAGGTTAGTTGGGAATATGAGTTGAGAGAAATGTCAGTGTAATGGGTCCGATTTGGGCGGAAGAAACGCGAAAATTGGATAATCGTGGTAAGGAAGACCGGTTTGGCGGTTTCTGTTTGTGTATCTTGATTGGAAGGAGGTACGAGGGTGTTTCGTGTAGATGGCTCCGAGGAATTAGCCGAGAGTCTAATTTCGAGATGATGTCATAATGAAGAGAAATACGAGGGATGACGAAGGAGGGAATAACGAGGGGAATAGCAAAGGGGATAAAGAAGGGAATAAAGAAGGGAATAAAGAAGGGAATAAAGAAGGGAGTAACGAAGGAGTAACGACGACGAAGGGAGAAAAGTATATAGTTGTCTGTTATAACTGTGGACGGTTGTAGTTGTGGTCTGTAGTCCTGGAAGTCAGAGACCATGTTGAGATCAGGTTCTTCAATGTTCCCGTCGGTGGCTTGGAAATGAGTATGGAGGATTGAAGTATGTACAGTACATCTCCAACAAACTTATCCAGGTGACTTGCTTCAACCTCACCAAGAGACCAGCCTCTTCCCAAAGAAACCCAACTACAATGTACAACTCTGTGCAGGCGCAGCAGTCTTCACATGAAGAAGGGAAGAAGGAACCTCATAACCAATATAACCATTGATTCCCCACATCTATTCGGTGCCTGGGTGACTGCGAGTCCGATTTTGCCCAAATAGGAGCTTCAAAACTCATTGACAAGACGTATTTATGCCTTCTGGACTCTTGAGGTTTTTTACAAACTTTAGTAGAGGAAGGGTGCTTACATGTATGTATGTACTGAACATACTGTACAAGACTCGTTCGCTTACGGATACAAAATGGATGTCATATGACGAGAACACAAATCGGGATTTACTCAGTTGCTGACTAATACCAGACACAAAGGCCCGTCGTGCAAGTCTGCGTTTCCGCCAATTATCGATATGGCAGTAGACTGAAAAATTGACCGGTCAAGTAGGTTGTTCACTCCACTTGCCCAATATGGGGCGGTGCATATAGCGGAGATAGCAGATAAGACGGTGTTGGAGTGGTAAGAAATAGCTGAAAATTGAACGTCCGGGAGAAGACCCAAATATAAATACTCTGCTCAAAAATCAGCTTTTTTTGACCACCACAACGTGCTCTACATCGACCTCCTTCTCTTGCCGACATCCCCCCCAAACCTAAAAAATACACCTCCGTCAGTTATCATCACCAACCAGCATACTACAGTACAGTGTGAAAGCGTCAGCTGGCGACATGAGACGCGTGGATTTCAGTCCGTACGTGGCCGAGCTGCGTGCGAGCGCGCCACATCCGCCCAAAATCGCACACGTGACCTCCGGGGTCTCGTTCCACAAGCTCCACGCCGCGCTCAACCAGTTTGCCAAAACGTACCATTATGTGTTTGATGCTTCCAAGCCGCGGCGCAAGGACGACATGGAGTGTGTGGTGATGAAGTGCTGTCGCAGAAGGTGCAGGTACAGGCTTTCGGTGTTTTCCGAGGCTTCCAACGCTGTCGACGGCGCTCTATCGTGGCTGGAGTATGATTCGGATGACATGGTGGAACATAATCACGAGCTGGACGGCTCCGATTTGACCGACGAGGATCGCAAACGGATGAAGAGAGTGGAATTTAAACGAAAGAGGAATGCCAAGCGGGTGCAGCAAGTAGAAGACAGTGATACCCGAACTAAAGAGAGCCATAGTGGTGATCTGAGACATGGCTGTGACGATGAACTCAACGGGTTCAACGACCTCAACGGTTTTGTCGATCCCAAAGGATCTAACAGTTACGACTGCGACAATGGCGACGACATTATGGAAGAGGAATTTCACTCCGACGAAGAACCTCTGTTTCTCTGCAGTGAGGCAGAGGATTCCGAGACTTCTCCTGCTCCTGAGGTGGCTGAACAACCGCAACAGTCTCCAGTTCAACGTCTGGACAAATATCATTCTCTGTTTTTGCATAGTGAGGAAGATGACGATGAGGTTCAGGAGATCGTCGCGACCAACAAGACCAACAAAACCAAGTCTAAGCCAAAGAAGAAGAAAAAGATTGAAATTATTTCACTTGATTCTGATTCCGAGGAGGCGGAAGAAGAGCGAGCTCAGAGTTCTGCGAAGACCATTTCCCCACAACCCAAGTCGGAATCCTCGCCAGCAACTGCTTCCGGCGCCCAGAAAAAACGCGCCAAGTCGCAAACAAAGCCGTTTTCGTCTTCAACAACCTCTTCAGAACTGTCAAAGACTTATTCTCATGAAGTTCTTGATACTCTCAAGGCGCAGAAACGCAATCACCGTGTGTCTAAGCATCAGAAGGAGCGCGCAAGAGTAGACGAAATCACGGCCAAAGTGCGAGAGAACGAAAAGTTGGCCTTGGAGAATAAAAAGACGGAGCTCGAACAACAGGTCGAAGCCACCTTGAGCAAGCGTGAGATGGTGCTGAAAACTTATTTGAGGTTGGAAAAGGGACTCAGAGGCGCGCAATTGGCGGATTCGTTGTCTAGGATGATGAGGGTTATAAAAACGCAGGTTCAGGATGAGCTTAGGGGTGTGCATGAGGAGGAAAATGAGCCTGTGATGTTAGCTGAGTCATCCTTCATTGTGGACGACAAGGACGACAAAGACGAAGACGGGGAGTACCTCGAGGAAGAGTTGGTGAAGAAGGACGGACGCAGGAAGACTTCTGGAACAAAAAACAAGGCTCTGGAAAAGGCTCAACGGAAGAAGGAACGCAAACACGAACGGCAGGCAGCCCTGATGAAACTTCTAGATCGGCGAGTGATGAAAGAATGGCGGGCTTGTCCGTTTTGCAAACGGCGTTTTTACCCCAGAGAGATAGGCAAGAAGACTAATTCGGCCGAAGCGGAGCTCATGACCCACATTCAGCTAGTTCATCCCGATGAGGTTGTTTACCTGGATGATCTGGAGGAGGAGGAGGAGGAGGGGGAGGACGCAGTTCAGTCCGACCACGGTTATGGCGACTCTTTGAATTCTTCTTCCGACTCGGAGGAGGAGATCGTGGCCGTGCCGAGGTCGAGACTGAGACCGAGACCCAAGGTTGTGGTAGACGAGGACAGTGGAAATGAAGAAGAGCCTGCTGTTGACCCCGAAGTCGAGCCAGGCACCACAGTTGAGTCTCCTGATGGGCCAGAGTTAGCGGAGGAAGACGCGGAGGAAGAAGCGGAGGAAGAAGTGGAGGAAGAAGCGGAGGAAGAAGCGGAGGAAGAAGCGGAGGAAGAAGCGGAGGAAGAAGCGGAGGAAAAAGCGGGGGAAGTGGATGGCCCGGAAGTGGGCGAGCTAGAACCTGTCGATGATGTGGAGGTTGAAGTTGAAGCGGAGTCAGTGGCTGCTGATGAGATAACCTCAGAATCACCTCAACCAGTGGCTAGATCTCCCAAAGGAAAGTCTCCCGAGCCAGCTTCTCCTGTGGGTGAGCCTATTGAAGAACCCACGATCAAGACCACCCCTGCTGCTGAATCAGTTGATATTGTCAGAACATTGGCTGCAACTGAGAAGGCAGCTCCTGTTACTGCAGCTTCTCCGGTCAATACTGGGTCTCCAGTAACCGCTGCATCTCCAGCCAAGGCTACTGCTCATACCGCAACTCCTCAAGTCAAAACATCACAGACAGAACCTACAGCTACCCCAGCTGCTACGGTCGTTCCAGCTGTGACGTCGCCGGTTGAAGCTTCTTCTTTGGCTACCCAGCTTGCTGCTTCCGCCGACTCCGCACCAACGCAACCACCCTCCAGCGCGAACCCCTTCTCAACGCCAACTAAGAGCCCTGCCAAAGCTATGGTTGTCATCAATCTCGACGATGGTGATAACGAAGATGACGTAGTTGTTGTGGCATCTACTAGAAGTGCGTCTTCTGCTATAGCCGCCCCTGGACCATCTCATTCCAATACAGCTCCTGACGGCTCGGATCTCGCGGCGCAACAAACGGCCAAACGGAGACATAGCTCTTCCCTGCTACCTAATGTTCCGTTTCGCTACTCGCGGGACCCCGATCCACCTTACAAACGACAGAAGCAGGTTGCAGAGTTGCCCACTGGCGGTTTGACTATCCAAGCTCCTGCCTATGCACATCGTGACGTCACTGCCAACTCCACTAGGCCTACAACATTTTCCAGCGACGTTACTCCCTTTGCATCAAGTGCAGATCCCAATTCCACTGGACAGGGATCTGTCAATCCCCCACACTTACCAAGCCTAGGCACTAGTCCCGCTGGTCATGGCCCGACGGGACAAAACTTCACAATGGCCAGTAGTGAAAGTGTCATTTCGACGTCTGCTGCTGCTCCCAACACTCAAGGGACCCACAGGAACGAACCGGCAGTCTCTAGCTCATTTGCTTTTGGTGTCTCAGCTCTTCCTGTGTCGGGTCATACAAGTGCTCCTGACCAGCCTAAAGGAATATACCAAGCTGGTGCCTCGGATTCTCTGTTTAAATCCTTGTTAGAACACGAAGACACATCCATCGAGTCCGAAAGCTCTGTTTCTGAAGGTCCTGCTCCTGCTCCGGGTCCTGCTCCTGAACCTGCGTACTGCTCCAACGCGTTGACCCTCAGTCTTGCAGGGTACTTTCGCAACAACCGCCAGTGGTACAGCTCGATTTTCACAGAACAGAATTCCCAGCACAAGCTCAGAGCATCTTTGATCTGCTATGCTCACGTAATTGGCGTCAAACTGGCCAAGTTGTACCCGGAAGTCCTCATGGTGGACATGCAAAAGTCAATGGTTGAGATTGGAGGAGTCGATGCTACAGGACAGCATTTCCCCATCGCGTTTGGACACATTTTGGGCCACACGAAGGGCGTTCATTACACTATTCGGTGGCTCAAGGAAGTGGTCTATTCTGCCAACGGCATTATTGATCCCGGTGTGATTGTTTCCACCTGTGAACTGCCTCAGGAGGCCTACGATGTGTTTCCCAAGGTCAAGGTGATGAGAAACAGATGTCAGCTGGACTCTCTGGTCTTGACACGAACCCAGAGACAGGATTCTCGACTCTCAGACATGTGGATGTATATCATGGGTCTGCGGTCCAAGAGCCTGGTGAAGAACGTCAATGGTCTGTTGTCTCGAGTTGATTTGGTTCCTTTCACAGACTTTGATCGGTGGTTTGCCAAGAACAAGAAAACCCTGTGCCCGGCTTTCTTCGACCGCTATCCGCATTTCTCTGAGGTCAAAGTCATACCTGGAGCGCTTCAGGGCACCGCTACACGTGCCGACGACCCAGTGTTTACGTTCGAAGCTCTCTCAAGGAACATTATTCCTCGATACAAGTTCATCGTCGACAATCAGAACTGGGAAAGAAAGGTGTTTGCTTCTGAGAGACCTGAAGATGCCTTATTGAATGGCCGCATCTCCCACAAAGCCATGGATCTCATCAATTTCCAGAGAACGGCGGCTGTGGAGAAATGTGGAGGACAAGACACCATTCATAGATGGGACCGGTGTGTCTCGCGGGTTCTCGGCATCCCCTGTAGACACAGTTTGGATTATGTCAACAGACGGGCCATGGGGTTGACCGTCACCGAGATCCATCCTCATTGGCACCTCATGAACCCCGAATTGCTCTACAGGGAGGACTTTGCTCCCACACTCAACACCATTGTCTATCCAGAGACAGCTGTACAAAGTAACCAAGTGAGCGAGGAGGCCATTAGGAGCATGTTTGGCCAGAGTGGATTTGGCCCAGGCAGATTTGGAGGTGTGTAGCATTATGCATTATGAACTATGACATGACAAATAGACCTATAAACAGCGGCGGTCTTCATCAACCAGCTGTGGCGGTTCGTGTATGTTCCGTCTAACTTAGTTGAACATTGGTCGTGATATAGTCAAAGAAGAGATGTGTCTCCAGAATATGTCAGCGAAAAGCTGGGGAAGGGATATTTCGCATTACTTGTTGTCGATAGCTTGTTAATTTTATTACATCCATATTTTCGTATATTTGAGACGTTGTTTTTTGGGTGACTATTTGTATCCAGCAGGATCAATAGGGAAAGGGTACTTCTTGGCCCAGGACTCGACCTCGTTTCGGAGCTCCTTGACCTCGGCATCAGCATCGACGTAGGGCCGGAACTGGGAGATCTTCTTGACGCCCTCGGAAACAGCCTTCTGCTTGAGTCGCTTGGCAATATCGACGGCCTTGACAATGTACTTGGCAACCTGCTCGAACTCAGACTGATCAAAACCTCTGGTGGTCATGGCGGGAGTACCGATTCGGATACCACCGGGCACAAGAGCAGACTTGTCGCCGGGCACGGTGTTCTTGTTAGCGGCAATGTTCATACCGTCAAGAACCATCTCGGTTCGAGCACCGTCAATGGAAAAGGGTTTCAGATCAATGAGGATCAGATGGGTGTCGGTTCCGTCAGAAACAAGCTTGAAGCCGGCGTCAGACAGAGCCTTGGAGAAGGCCTGGGCGTTGTCGACAACCTTCTGCTGGTACTCCTTGAACTCGGGAGACTTGGCCTGGCCAAGCGCAACGGCCAGAGCGGTGATGGTGTGGTTATGGGGACCTCCCTGGTGGCCGGGGAAGACGGAGAAGTTGATCTTCTCCTCGAGGTTTCGGTCACCGTCCTTTCGGTAGAAGATCATGGCACCTCGGGGGCCTCGAAGAGACTTGTGGGTGGTGGTGGTCACAATGTCCGAGTACTCAAAAGGCGAGGGGATGACGCCAGCGGCAACCATACCGGAAATGTGGGCCATGTCAGACATGAGAATGGCGCCCACAGAGTCGGCGATCTCTCGCATTCGCTTGTAGTCGATCAGACGAGAGTAGGCGGAAGCTCCAGCAACCAGCACCTTGGGTCGGAAAAGAAGAATGTTCTTGGCGAGCGTGTCATAGTCAATGAGACCGGTTGACTCGTCCAGTCGGTAGGGCATGGTGTTGAAGTACTTGGAGATGTAGGAGATCTTCTTGGAGGGGATCTGGTAGCCGTGGGAGAGATGGCCTCCATGGGGCAGGTCCAGGCCCATCAGTCGGTCACCGGCCTCCATGACAGCGGAGTAAGCGTAGAGGTTTGCGGGGGCACCAGACAGGGGCTGGACGTTGACTCCCCAGACCTTGGGGTCCAGGTTGAACGCCTCCAGGGCTCGCTTCTGGCACAGAGACTCGGCCTGATCAATGAACTCGTTACCACCGTAGTATCGGGCGCCAGGGTAGCCCTCAGAGTACTTGTTCTGCATGACGGAGCCCAGGGCGTTCATGACGGCCTGCGAGGTGAAGTTTTCCGACGGGATCAGGGTGATGGAGCCGATCTGCCGGTCGGTTTCCTTCTTGATGATGTCTGCGATCTCGGGATCGGACGCGTACAAGGTCTGCTGAGTCATCTGGGTATCGGGCGACGCCTTGGTGGCGTAGGCTCGAAGCAGGCCTCGGTTGAGAGGCCGGGAAAGTCGAGTGAATCGCTGCATTTGGGGGTGGAGACTTGTGTCGTGGGATCAGAAAGTGGTTACACCGGGAGGTGGATTTTTCCGTAAACTGAGTTTAGCGAAAGTTAATTTGGGGGGTGGGGATGGGGCAAAGAGTCGGGGTTGGAGACACGACAGAGACTGGACGAGTAGATTGAAGGTATGGGGGCGACTGTCGGGTTGGAATGGCGGTTTCGGATTCCCGATCGGTTGCGTATTGGTGGAGTTAGTAGGAAGTGGTGAGGTTAGTACAATGAACACACTGGAGGCTGCTGGGTGGTGCAAGGGACTGACCAAGAGGAGGTAGCGCAAAGGGAAAAAGACAGGTGGATTCAAGAGAGACAGAGGGAGCCGGGACCACCGTGGTATTTATGTTAGATGCCGTTTTGAACCCCACAAACGCCCCGACAAGGACAAAACACGGGCCGACTCGCTTATCCGCAAATTTCAAACTTTATTGTTGAGTCACTGAGTAAAGTGGGAGGGGGGAGCGACAAGAGTGCTGGATAATGGAGTGTTTTGGTATGGCACGGGGTCGGTTTTCACCGGTAAATCTAGAGGTTAGGATGAGTGAATGTGATTGGTCCATTTTACAAGGGCGGTTTTCACACATGAATCGGCAGTAATGGCCGCTGTTTGTTGCGATTGGTGTTTGTAGAGTCACTGGCATGTACCATGCGAGTAAATTGTCTGTTGAGACGTTAAGTCAGCAGACATGTGTGAAAAGACCCCCGAACTCGGTGTGGAACGCCTTGGATATTGCAATTGAGGGCCGCTCTGAATTTTTGCAATTTATTTCTGGTTTTCTGGGGACAATAACGGATATTGAAAACACGCGGCCAAAAATATCTTTATCGTTATCTCACACCAGGCAGCAAACTTTGTCATCGAGCAGCAACAGTCGGTAGCGGGGGGTTGTAGACAAGCAAAAAAGGCGAAAATAATGAATGCGAAACCACCGGTCACGTGACAAATAATGGGGCTAAACTGGCTCTTTTTTGGCGTCATTCAGTCACGAGGTTGAATCACTAGTTGGGGAGTCGTGAATCACTGAGTTGAGCCGTGAATCACTGAGTAACGGAGTTGAATCACCGAGTAACCGAGTTGGGAAGTCGGTGAATCACTGAGTTGAAACGAAAGGGTGTCACTGAGTAAGAAAAGGGGTGTGGAATGATAAGTGATTGCGGCAGTCAAAGGGACTCAGCTTGAAAAGTGATCAAGCCATTGTTTACTATCAATGAGTACAATGTACGTTACTGTAGACAAGATCAGCAAAAGATATCGTAGAAAATAACGGAAAAGTGCATCTTGTTTATAGAGTCTTTGGATCCAAATATACCTCTAAATCCCCCACCTGAAACACTCTTAGGGTCACCCCGCTCCCCGATCCAGCTTTATGAAGCGTGCGTTATGATGCGTGCGGCTTCCTCGGCCCCAAGTGTGGGGTAAATATGCAACTTTTTTTTAAAAAAATACAAAAAATACAAATAATTCACCCGAAACTTATACGGCGGTTATCGGTGGGACCCCGGAGATTGAGGTCGACCAGGAGCAGGAAAGAAACCGCAAATAAACAATTTCGTTTCCAGACTTTTTTTTTTTTTTTTTTTTTTTTTTTTTCGAACGGCGGACATTTGTATCTCGACCGGTAGTGTCAATGTCTAGGTGTTACCTAGCTACCAAGTTGTCTAGAGTGAGAACAGGGCTTTTCAACAGATGTAGAACAAGAATCTGAGACTGGTTGTAGAATTCATTCTACCTCAGTGACTAGCCCATCTTCCATACGACCATGTACACGTGCACTGGATGTACGTCTGTTCGTCTGGCTCTGGTGATGTCGGCGTCATCGGCTAGAGGGGAGTCACACAGTTGCGATTGTTGTGCGTGTTTCAACGTCTGTTAGGAGTCCCATCAGATCCCTTCTGTTCCACGTCAGAAACTCTCCCGCTTTGATGACATACTCATCCAACTCTTGCCAAAAAGATCCCCCGTGGTCCACTCCCTGGTCACCGGTCGCCGTCCACGCGCATCGTCCTCACTCAAGCTCACCGCCCGCTGTTTCAACACCGCCCGCAGCTCAACAGGCAGCTCGGCTCCATGCTGGCTCTTGTACTTTTCAGCCAGATATTTCATGGTGTACCTCCAACACCCCACAGTTCCATGGCTCAGACCAACCATCAACAAATGATCTTCGGGCTCGTTAGCTCCGTTGTAGTCGGCGAAAATGTCGCTGGAGATCTGCGACAGGATGCTCTTCTGTCGCTTCTTCAAATCGACAATGCCAGTAACTAGACCCGTGGACTTGTATATCAAACAGTACTGCGAATGCTTCTCGTCCTGGTACACTCTGTGGAACTTGTCTGGGGGTCTGTTTCTGTCGGACGTGATCCTGTGAGTGACTCTGGTGACCGAACACCGGTATCGTCCGTCCATATCGACATTGTAGACATTTCCATCGTAAAGAACCATGCCGGCAGGAGGCTGTCGCCGTTGAGCGTGTAGCATCTCTGAACACCGTGTAGGAGTGATCAAGTACAGGACTGAGGTATGATCGTGTCTTCCAAATACATAGACACAGTCTCCGATCACCTGCAGCCGCAAGGGAGGCTTGCAGTTCATTTTGATCGACTCAGGAGCCTTGTTGGGGTACTTGACCGTCAACATCAAATGGCCCTGATGCACAGATATTGCTGCAATGGCCCGGGACGTGTGTCTGGCCTGAATCATCCGTCCCTCGACCGTCACCCCAAACCCGTGGTATTTGATGGTTGTTCCTGCATCTCCAAAGCTCACCCCGTAGTTGCAAGGCACAGCAAAGTCCGTGTTCAGATCGCTGAGGTCCAGCTGCTTCTCGTTGAAGCAAATGCCCCGGTTGTTGTAGTCCCACGAAAATGTGCGTTCCACGTCGGTACACAGGCACTCAAAGTCGCGCGGCAGAGGCGAGTCAGTGTGGAAGGAGCATTCCACAAGGTCAATGAACACGTCAATGTGTCTGTCGCGCACGTAATGGGCGCCGCCGGTCCTCCAGCTCCCGTGCTGGCTGTATTCAAGGCGGTAGTAGGGGCACTGCTGCATCAGCTTGTCCCGCACCAGCGACTCGGAGATGGACTGGCGGTAGTGGCGGTTGGTCTTTCGCAGCGCAACAATGTCTGCCAGCTCGAGATAACTGCAGATTCGTTCAATCAGCTCGGGCAACATTGGGTGTTGTTATGGACGGCTTCTCCACCTCCCCCCCAACGGTAAATCTTGCTCATGTTACCCTGGGGGTTTTTTTTTTTTTATCTCTTAGTGCCATTTCCGAACCACTTGCGGACTAGGCGGAAGAAAGGGCAACCGAAAAGAGACTGATAGCCCTCAGTTATCGGCCTCCCTGCAGGACCATTTGTGGACAGGTGTCCCCTGTTGCATAATCGGCCAAATATATACGAGCATGGGGGAAAAAAGAGGTGGGTCGTCTGTTGATAGGCTGGACATAGATTCGTGTAGAGAGTCGAAGATACGACACTATCGACGGCTAGAGGAGCTCGTAAACAGAGCCCTACAACTAGTTGGGTGGTGTAGAGAACAGCTAAGGCCACACCATGGACCGTTTAGGAGCAGTCTAGAACCACCGATACCGAAGCTAGTGGAACAGGCTAAGTTTCACGGCGATTATCGACGCTTGTGGAGCCACTCGACGCTAGTTCTAGACTTGTTGCCATGTGGATAAAGCGATCCATAGTCGTTTTAGCGCTGTTTTATCTGGCGAGTGCTTTCGTCAAGTGTAACCGGGCAATGTTGAAGTTGCAATGGTGAAGTTGCAATGTGGAAGTTGGAGAATGTCAGTCTGAGGTGTGAGAGACTCCGCAGTCTCGAAGGGTAGGAGCACTAGGACTGTGCAAATAAATAAATGAATAAATAAATGAATAAATAAATGAATAAAAAATAAAAAAATAAAAAAAATAAAAAATAAAAATAAAAATAAAAATAAAAAATAAATACAGAAAAAAAGTATTAAAAACAAAAAAATCTTTTTAGAACAAAAAAAAAAAAAAAAAAAAAAAAAAAGAGCGAAAGAACAGCGTTAAAAAATACTGTCTTGAAAAAGAAAAAAAAAAGACTTTTTAGGAAAAAAATTAGCAAAAAAACAGTGTTAAAATACCGTTCAGTTACTTGACAACCCCTCCAACTACCAAGTTACTTGAAATCTACCGCTCAGTAGCCACCAATATGTGACTACCAAAACACCACTGAAATTAAACACCAAAATAAACACCTCAAACACAAAACAGTCACTAGAATCGAACTCACATCTCCGAACCACCCTGGGTACAGTACTATCATCACCACTAACCCTAACCCGCACATGCATACTGCAAGTCTAAAAGATATTTTTTTTCGAGAGGTTGAAACAGACATCTACGAAATTTCAGAAACGGTCCAACATGGTTCTTAAAACTGGAACCGAGTCGGGTAAAAACCACCGAGTGAGTATGGGCGACATGGAGGGCACATGAGCTGTTGGACCGCCTCTAGAGCGATTGTGAGAGGAGTGGAGCGCCATTCCATGTGGATCTGCAAACAGTAGCCGAAGACGGATCTGGGTGGCAATTTGGAGATCGATTCGAGCTACAAGTATCGTAGACGGTTTTCATGGGTCTGTACGAGCATACTGATGTCACTAGCTGTGCTTACTGGGCGATCGCCACCGCCAGGATCATAGCTCCAGGAGATACGTTAGACCTACCGGATCAGCTGTTGGGCTGAGACATTCAATTCCATACTAATGCAGTTCAAATCGTTCCGAGAACGTCTTGATGCCATCAAGATCGATCCGCTGAAACGGCAGAAGAAAAAGCTGTCGCGGGACACGGACACGTCGCATTTCATTGCATGTTACACGACCCATGTTGAGCTGAACTTGTCCACCAGCTTCACTCGTTTTATGGAAAAATGTGGAAAGTACGCCGTGTCGCTGCCCATGGTGCTGTTCCACAAGGAGGAGATTTTCGATGGTTTGGAGGAGTGTCTGGAGGATGGAAATGAACACAGTGTGGAGGCCCTGCTAGAGTGAGTATGAGAAATGGAGGATGGAGAGGAAGTCCCCGATACAGAACTAACCCAGTCTACTCACCAACTTTGTCCGCGACCTGGGCGAGGAGTTCGAGCCATACTTCCCCCGAACTCTCGCACTTCTCATCAATCTCACCTACCACTTCAATCTCGAGGTGGTCGAGCACACTTTCAACGCAATGGTGTACATTTTCAAGTACCTGGCTCGTCTATTGACTAGCAACCTGGTGCCCCTGTACGACAGCGTCAGTGTACTTTTGTCCCGAGGAGATGAAGATGTGCAGATGATTGAGAACGGAGAAGAAGACGAGGAGGAGATCCCGGAGGAAGACTCTGACGACGAGGAGGATGACAAGCCCAAGCCTAAGAAAATCAGACCGTTTGTGCGAAGATTTGCCTCGGAAACACTGGCCTTTCTGATCCGAAAGTGCTCCCAAGACGGTCTGGACGTGATCGTGCCGCACGTGATGAGCACGCTGGAGGGCTCGTCACGAGATTACGTCTCTGCCGTCTCCGCCATGTTTGCTGCGTCTATCAAACACACCAAGGGAGCTCTTCATTCAAAGACGGACTTGATTCTTCAAGTGTTATTTGCATGTGCGGCTTGTGACGACAACACAATCACCGAGGCCGACCGAGTACACGTGACCATGATTTCAGAGACTTTGGCCGTTGTGCTGGAGCATATTGAGGACCCTGTCATGGGCCAGGCCGTGTTTGATACCTTTTACCAGTATGCCCAAGGCAACGGTAACTACGATACTGTGACCTATCTGACTACTATAACCGCCATCCGAAAGGGTTCCCGAGTTCCTGATTGGGCTCGAGTCTTCCAGGAGGCCAAGGCTTTCTGCTCCACTCTCTCCGACAAGGCCATTGTCGAGTTCGCGCTCCTGGTGGTCTCGCTCATCCAGAACGGCGCCCAGAGCAATGTGCTGGCCAACCATACGTCCTTGCTCACCACTCTGTCGTCCAAATCACGTGAGCAATACTTTGTGGCGTTCCAAATTCTTGCCAAGGTCCAGAGTCAACGGTTCACCGATATCTGTGTCAAGTACATTCCTCAGTTGATCAGCATGTTCTCTGATGATCTTTCGCAGATTGCACTCTTTGTCGACAGTCTGGAGAAGATCAAGTGTCTGGATGCCTGCAAGGTTCTGAAGAAGGAGATTGTAGCGTTTGGCAAGAAGAACATGTCCACTGAAACAGTCTTCAACCTCTATTGGCGAATCAGAATGTTCACCAAACTTTCTAATGTCGATATGAAGAAGGAGATGACCGAGTTTGCCATTGAGCTACTCCCCAAGCTCTCCGCTGACGACGTGTATACTGGAGCTCTTTACGGAGTCACTCTGAGTCTGATTGGGTCATTGGGAGACGATAAGCAGCTGGTGGAACGAGCCCTGGGCCGCCTGGAACACTTTTCACAAATCGAAGGCTACATTACCGGTCTGCTGGCCATTTGTGACTCTTCAACCAAGCTGGATGACTCGTCACTGGTGCTGCTGACCCAGAACCTGACCTCCGCAAACACCCACGTGCGGGACGTGACGCTGAGCCTCATTTCGAAGCTGTCACGTGGCCAGAACGCGCTCGTCAATGAGTGCAAGGTCATTTCATCCATTCCGTTTGATTATACCACGTTGCGGTCTCTTGTTCAGCGAATCGAGAAGCTCGGAGAAACCTTCTCCCTGTCTGGGTCAGATACGATTGCTGATTCAGCAGTGCCTCATTTCCTGTTTGGACTTCTTACTGTTCATTTTACGCCAGCTCACGAGGCTGCCATCAAGGCCCTCAAGAATGTTGCCGAACGATTTCCGGAGCTGGTGTGGAAGTTGTCCTACAACGTTTTGCAGGCACGTGACCTGGTCAAGGTTGATGACGACTGGGTGCCCGAGCCACGTCATGTTCTGGACAGCCCCTTCACCGACTCCATGTCTCCCGACTATAACTTGAATGGTTTGTTTGAGACGTACAATGAGCTTGTTTCTCGCGATAGCAACGGAGCTCTGTTTGAGGACTTTTCCGAGTCGGCTTTCCCTGCTGAGGAGCCCTTTTACCTGCGAAACAATGTGCTGAAGGTGCTCAAGGCTGTTCCTCGGGTGTCTGAGAACCATGTGATGGAGCTGGTTCCCTATCTTCTTTGGACTGAGGGTGTTTCTCGAGATAAGCAGGCTGTTGAGTCTTCCGAGTATGGACTTGCCGACTCGTGGACCCTCAAGGACAAGATTGTGTTGCTGGACATTTTTGCTCTGTTTCACAACACCAAGAACTGTCCTCGAGCCGAGGAAATTTATCAGAGATACCTGCTGCTTCTGACCAACAAAATGAACTCTGTTCAGAAGGCAGCTCTTCAGTGCATCCTATCCTGGAAGAACAAGGTGGTTCGCAAGTACAAGGACAATCTGTTCAACTTGCTGGAGGACTCGCAATTCAAGGACGAGATGCTGAGCTTCCTCAAGCCCTCAAAGGACCGAGTTTTGCATGAAGACGACGAGCATGTCATCTTCCCTCTGGCGCTCCGGATTCTCTACGGACGATCTCGAGTGGTCAGCAAGAGTGGACCGCGGTACGGAAAGCGGTTCGCGGTGCTTTCCACTCTTCTGGCTCTACCCGAAAAGTACACTCGCATGTTTGTTTCTCTGGCAATCGACCAGCTGGAGATTCCCAAGGACTTTGACATTCTCGGTGATGACCACGTGATCGAGCCCAATCCTCGCGACCTGGAGACCCTGTCGGGCAACTGCGAGACTCGAACTGCGGCGTCTCAGATCTTCTTTCTGGAGCTGGCCATGGATCTGGGTAAGCAGATTGGAGCCAAGTTACATTCGTCCATGGACATTCTGCTCAACTCGGTGCTGTATTGTATGCATTATTCGTGTCTGATTCCAGACAACACCTCAGCTCGTCGAATGTCTCGGTACGGCTTCAAGGTGCTGACTCAGCTCTTCCTCAAGATAAAGGACTTTGAATGGCAGCCCTACCTGACCCCGATCTACTACCCTTGTATAGAATCTAAGCTGCCGACTTTTGTTGCTGGAAACACCAAGCGACCCAGTGCTCTGCTCCAGATCACGTTTCTGTGGGGATCACGTGCGCAGGCCTTTCCCCTGTTTGTGTTTGAGGAGGTGGCTTTGCTGAAGCAGGTGGTGGCTCTGTTGAAGGTGTCTGATCTGCCCGACTCGACCATCAAGGACTGCATTCTGCTGTGGTCTTCGATTTTCGCCATTGAGGATCAAGTGAATGCTGGCGAGTTTGATCACGTGGTCGACTCGACGATTCCTCTGTTGTTGCCCCGCATTCCCGCCCTGCTGGACGAGCACAGGCGCAACTTTGACGTCGTGACCACCATTGCAAAGCTGCTGGTGATCACGTGTCAGAAGGGCTATGCACGTGATCAAAAGGTCAAGAGCGATCTGATTGCTGTTGTGACCGATCTGGTGGTGAACAACAAGGTATCGTGGTCCATTCAGGTGTCTCTTTTGAACGCTCTCACCGAGCTGGTTCCGGTGACCACCCTCGCCAAGGAGCACGTGACTGAAATGTATCTGAACCTGTCCACTCTTTTCCAGACCATCAAGTTGCAGAGTGCACGTGACGCGCTGGTGAACGCCTTTTGTGTTGTCTGCACCAAGCTTGGAGGTGTCGATCGCACGGCTGAACTTGTCAGCCAGCTTAACTCGGTTGGCAAGCGGCTTAATGAGCCCGACTGGGACACTCGAATGGCCGCCTACAACGATATTACTCAGCGGGAGTTCTCGTCTTTCTCTGCCATGGAGTGGACTCCTCTAATTAGTAACATGTTGCATTTCATCCGTCTTGACGATCTGCCGATCCGACAGAACTCCACTCTGGTGCTGATGCGGTTCTTCGAGTCAATTCAAGAGTCCCAGCCCGACAAGATTGAGCTCATCGACGACATTGTCATGCCCGAACTGGTGGTGGGAATGCGAGAGCCGCAGTTCAACATTCGAATCGAGTTTGTTCAGGTTCTTGAGAACCTCGTCAAGTTGTCTGAGCGTCATTTGTTCGAGCCCCTGAACGACCTCGTCACTCTTTTGGCTCCCAACAAGTCCGCTGATGCCAACTTTTTCTACAACGTGATGCATGTGCAGATTCTCCGACGACAAAAGGCGGTGCAGTATCTCAACTACTTTGTCAGAAAGGGGGCTATTTCTTCAGACAACATTGCCAACCTTCTGTTGCCTCTGATTGAGCATTACGGAAAGAGAAACAACCAGGAGACGCAGAACTTAGCCCATATGACCTACAAGTGCATTGGTTCCATGACCCGGTTTGTCACCTGGGAGCAGTACGTCAAGATCAGCAAGCGGTTCGTGGGCTACCTCCGAAAGGGCTGCCAGAGCCTGAAGCAGGCCTCCAGAATGCTAGCTGCTCTTGGTGTGGCCTTCACCGAGGACGACTCCCGCGAGGAGGAGGACGAAGAGGAAGAGGAGGAAAACACCGAGGAAATTGCTGAAGAGGTCGAAGACGAGGCCATGTCTGATGACCGTGAGAACTACTCAGATGCAGTCTACACTGTTCCACGAGCTCCCAAACTCATCTCCATGGACACGTCTCTGTTTGGAACCACCTCTACCCCTGAAGAGAGATCCGCTTTCCTGCTGGAGAACGTGATTCCTCCCATTCGAAAGACTCTTCGTGCCCACTCCAATGAGCAGCTCACCGACCGAATCCCTCTCGGTATTCCCGTCGTGCGGTTCATTGTTGCTCTGCCTCCTGCCCAGGTCATGACCGTGCTGCCTGGTACCCTAACCACTCTCTGTCAGGTTATGAGAGCCAAGCAGCAGGAGCTCCGAGACGAGATGCGGAAGCTTCTGGGCCAGATTGCCGAAATTCTGGGGGCCAGGTACCTGCTCTTCCTACTGCGAGAACTCAAGTCTGCGCTCCGACGAGGAGCCCATCTGCATATTCTGGGCTACACTGTCTGGTACATTTTGTCCACCATGACTCTGGAGCACGCCGATCTCGATCCTGTGGCTGCTCTGTGTTCTGAGATCATCATGGAGGACGTCTTTGGAGTCACCGGTACCGATAAGGACGAAGAGGACTACCGAAGTGCCATGAAGGAGGTCAAGACCCAGCGGTCCTACGATACTGCCGCCATTCTGGCCTCCAACGTGTCTCTGGAGTCGTTCTCCAAGCTTATTGACCCGGTAAAGACGATCCTGCTGCATAAACGTCTGACCCTTGGAGTCAGTGAAAAGGTGGAGACCGTTCTGACCCACCTGTCTCGAGGTCTCAAGCGAAACGCGGCCTCCGAATCGCAGTCTGTGTTGATCATGTGCTTCGAAGTGTGGAAACTCACCCAGACAATTGAGAGCAAGTACAACGAGGAGGAGGAGGCAAAGAGCCAAAAGATTGTGGCTCTGGACGACAACGAAAGCGATTACATCGTGAACCTCGACGCCAAAAGTCACGTGACTAAGCTCCGGGACGGCATGCACATTGCCAACCTGAATCTGCTTGTGGCCTTCACTTTCGACACTCTCAAGAGTGTTTTGAGCAACAATCCCGAGCTCCGAACTGCCAACAACCTGTATGGCTTCCTACAGCCTCTCACACAGTCTCTTTCAAACACCCATGAGAATGTTCAAGTTGGAGCTCTGCGAGTCTTGTCAATGATTTGTGACTTGGATTTCCCTGACATGGACTCATGGACTCAAAAGTGGGGCACTGAGACGCTCAAGATCATTGCCAACTCGTCCGACACCAAGACGCAGCTGGTTCAGAACGCCTTCAGACTGCTGACCAAATTGTTTGAATGTTCTGAGTCGTTTGAAGTCAAGGAGAGTGCTCTGGGCAACATTCTGACCCGGATTCTGCCTGACCTGGTCGAGTCGCAGGGCCAGAACATCACCTTCAACCTTGTCAATGCCGTTCTGGGCCGTCAGATTGTCATTTCCGAGGTGTACGATGTCATGAAACAGATTGCCAACATTATGATCACCCATCAGCAGTCTGAGACCAGAGACCATTGTCGAGAGCTATACTTTACGTTCCTGACCACTTACCCTCAGTCTCGTGACCGTCTCAACGCTGAGTTCCAGTTTCTCATTCACAACTTGGATTATCCGTTTGATTCTGGCCGGCAGTCTGTTCTGGAGATGATCCACCGTCTTTTGACCGAGGTTAGTGACGCGCTGCTCAAGCAGACCATCACCTCGTTCTTCGTGGCTCTCACCCTTGTTCTCTATAACGACGACTCCTCCACTTGTCGAGAGATGGCCTCCACCATCATCAAGATTCTGCTGCAAAAGTCGTCGCAGGGTGTCGAGCAAAAGTTTGTCCAAGATCTCATCTACTCTTGGATCGACTCCGATCTGTCTTCTGATCTGCTCAAGGTAGCTCTCCAAGTGGTGGGTTTCTATGTGGAGTCTGAGCCCTCTGACAAGGACAAGATCCTCAACAAGGCCGAGAAACAAGTGATTGCCATCATTGCGGCACAATCGTCTCTTCCTTGGGACCTTGTATACTTTGCGATGCAGCTGTGGGGTCGCATGTGCTCCCACAAACAGGTGCAGTTCACCCAGACCAAGTACTCGACCATGTGGGACGGGGTTGTGGAGTGTCTTTTGTATCCCCATTCCTGGGTTCGTCTGAGCGCATCTCGGGCTGTGGGACTCCTGTTTGATGCTTTCAAGGCGCGTGACAGCGACTCGGGACTGGTGTTCTCCAACAGACAGCTCCAGACGGTGGCTTACCGACTTGTTCGCCAGCTGTCGACCCCTAATGCCTCCGACAAGCTGTGTACTCAGGCGGTCAAAAACCTGACATACATTGTGCAGGAGTGGGAGAATTCGTCGTACCTATACCAGAAGTCCGACTCTGAGAAGGACGAGGATGACGCTACCGAGACCGGCTCGTCTCTGGCCACCGACTGGCTTCTGGGCCGAGTGTCTGGTATCATTCGAACCACCGTCAAGGGCAAGGACAAGCTGCATGCCAAGCGCGCATGTGTTCGTTTCCTAGCGGTATTGGTGTCTCTTCTGAGTGAATCTAGGGTGATGGAGATTTCTGAGCACGTCATCTACGCGCTGTTCACCACCATGGACCAGCACGAGGCTGCCGTGGATTCTACTCTTCGAGAGCTGGCGTCGGAGACTCTGGAAATGCTCAAGGCCAAGATTGGCGTCTCTGAGTACCTTGGAAAGCACGCCCAGGTGTCGCAGATGGTGTCGCAAAAACGTCATGAGCGAAAGCATGAGATGGCGATGCTTGCTATGTCCGATCCTGCCGCCTACTCTGAGCAGAAGATGAAGAAGAACAAGAAGAAGCGAAAGCTTGAGAAAGAGAAGAAGCAGGCCGAAAAGCGTCGAAAGCTTTAGACGGCGGAGGAATAGGATATTGCGGAGGAAAAAGGAACAAATGGGAAGGATTTTTTAATGAATTGATTGATTATGGTACTTGGTGAACTATGGTAGAAGAATAGATATAGACACAATGTTTCGACTGTTGTAAGAAGACTTTTTGACTGTTTATAAGTAATGGTAGGACTTTTTATCCAACTTGGAAATAATATATCTTTTATTAAAGGTTATTCTTTCACAGCAAAGTTATAATTAAATGAATGTATATGCAGAAAAAAAAAAATTAATCAGTCAATAATGGATCATAACACATGAACTAATGATATAAGTATTGTAGGTTATATAGTCAGTGATAGTTCAATGATAGTATATATATAACTAATATCCAAGAAATCTCACGAAAATTCCCAGAAAGTCCCCTCTGGTTTTGGAGTAGAATCCTGCCACTACGAAAACGGTTCGGAACTGAAGACGTTGCGAATCGCAAAGTAAAGACATAGGGATGACGCATCTCTCATGACAGGTTCCTCACGTGACCCACAAGCCACTCAGTATATTCAAAGAAGGTACTTTGTAAGGGGAATGTTCAGTGAGTAAATATTTCGACCGACGCCATGGAATGTTGCAATTATGAGAATAATGGGCTCCAGGTTTTGGTTCGGCCTGTATATGATTTTATTTCAGTTGGAGGGAACATTTGGGAACATATTCCCCCTCCTCTGGCGTGTATCTGATCATTTAGATGAGTTCCATGTTCGGTGTTAGGGTCCACGATTAGTTGAATCAGGGGTGATTAGTTAAGGTGTCGCAAGATGTGGGATTGAGGATCGGTTAAACTTGGTCAATTGTGCTTGGAAAATCTGTGATTTGGACAGTGAAGATGAGATCTGTTGGAACACCAGTTTGCATCTGTTTCAAAACCATTCCATCATTTCTCCAAGTTTTAGTCGCCCCAGAAACGGTATCTTTATAGAGCATCACGGACCTGCAAGACAACTATCCCCGACCAACACAAGTCAGACATGGATTGGAAAACTGGCTACGGCTTCCCCAGAGTCAGTTTCCATGATCACCAGAATTGCCGTCTTGTAAATCTCGAAAGACCCTGAGTCTCAACGAAAACGTCTCGTCGAAAGATCCCGAGCCTTCCGGAAACGTCTCGTCGAAAGATCCCGAGCCTCCCGAAAACGTCTCGTCGAAAGATCCCAGACCCCCGAAAATTTGCCGAAAACCCCACCACGTGACCTCAACGCAACCCCCACATAACCACACAGCCCATCGACCATCTCATCGGCCGTTCCTGGCTACTTCCAGATGCGGTTGGCGTCTCACCAGCCCCTTCAGGGTGAAAAAAGCCAATCTGTCGCTTATTTTTTTAGGCTGAGAAAATAACGTAAAAGTTTGAGTGTGAGCTTGGCACTGATTTGAGGGTAGGCCAACTCGGCGAAAAGTGGAAATATGAGGATTTTGAAAGCCGCAATCAATTTAAGAGGAACTCTTTGGTATATTTACGTTTTTCAATGGCCATAATCGCCTCTCTATATCCCTATCAAGGCCACCCCTATCCCATCCCAAAAAACGTATAATACACCAGCCCTAAAGTCTAAACCCCCCGAATCGAGCCATGACAAAACGTTGCCATAAAACGTTGCTGGACTCTAGAAAACGAAAAATACAAGCCAGAAATACAAGTGCATTGTGTGAACCACATAGGACAAGGCTGCGAGATCCCACTGTCTCGTTTCTGTCTCATTTCGGCTGCGGGGTTCAGCCTGCTGCAGAGCGGATGCAGACATGACAAGATGAACAGTGAAGGGGATTAGAGATGCTACACAGGGAGTATTGTACTTCCAGGTCAATCAGAAACCTGTGGTCATCAGATTGGTGTATCTTGCATCTGAATAGTTTCCCTGCGACTCCATTTATGTCCCCAACTCCATCACATACGCTCCACAGATACCTCTGCTAAGCAACAAAGAGTGATATCTCGCTTCATGTCGTAGACGCGGGCTGCAGCACTGTCGCTGGACCGTTGCCCACTTAACCTCTCCGGATGTCGGCATGTCGGCTTGTCATTTCAGACAAAAGACCATTGTAAAGACCATTGTACGATGCTGTAGAGCATGTTGGTGGAGGTGGTTTTCTCGTCTGCTACAGTATTTGGATCCAAACAAACCGCTAAGCGGAATAGCCTCTGAATTAGACTGGTTCTTCATCTCAGTTAACTCTGAGCTAGCTCCCGACGTTCTCTATTGAGACAGGGTCTAGCGTGGCCCAGTCGGTATGGAGACGAGCTCAGGCGTAGTCTCTCGCCAGAACTTCCCGTAGGAGATAGGTCCATGCACAAATGAGCGATTAATAGCTGTTGGCGGTCGCAAACGGCTCGGGTAGGCAACATAACCGCCCATCGCTCACGGCTAGTGTCCATGCACAGATTGACATGGGGCTGAGCTACAAGTAGTGGGCTGTACCGCGCCGGAACGGGTGAGAGCCAAGATATGAGGTTTGGATGAGGCAATAAGGAAGATCAAATGAGGAGGTGGAGAAGGGACAGAGCTGGTTTGTGTAATTGTTTGTTGTTTTCGGCAATGTTTTTCGCCATCTTGAGCTGTTGAATGAATGGAGTGTTCCAGACATCAAGGCAGGCTTCGACTGTGTTTGGTTTTAGTCGAGCTACTGCACCGTCTCAATCTGGTTTCAGACTCAATATTTGCTTGTTTGAGCGTCTGTGTTTCCGGTCACATGTTCAACCCGTCGGGGAAGTCATCAGGGACAGTGCCCAGTAGCCTGTATGCCTGGCCTGGTCTAAGAGTTGGAGAGGACTTACCAGTGACTGGCCAAGACCAGACCTATACATTCATTAGGACCAGCCTACTTGTGACCTCGGCATGACTGGAAGTTGCCATAGCCCCTGCTTACTACGAGAATCGCAAAGACATGAGTTCCGCCAGCCGTTCCATCTCATCATGGTCATTGTTGTGCTGCGGCCCTGTCGATCTGTCGATCTTTACTGAATCCGGCGAGTGACCACACGCTCCAACCGGAATCACCACAAAGGGTGCCAGAGACGGACTTTTCCGGTAACACCAGGTGAGCTCGGACCAACGGTGGCTGTGCGGCTACAATGTAGGGTCACAGCACCTACAGACCGGGCTGGTGAGCTCATAGTGCAGGTGAAGCTGAGGGTTTAACTGATCCGGCCGAGAAAAATCCTACTAGAATATCTTCAAAAGGTCTGAGACCACGGGGGACTTCAAAAGGGACTAAATCAGCAGCAATTAAGTCTCCATGGGTCATCTTCGCAGTATTTGCGCCTCACGTACACCCCGCAAAAACTCCTACAAGTACAGCTCTCCCCGTACCCCTGCATGAAGAGTAGATGGCCAACAAGAGACGGTTACGACGGTTTAGGGCTATAGATCCGAAGAGCTGGGCAAGCTTTCACGATATACCGAACGGGCTGTTCATGCTGACGCGACTTGGAGCATGTATCACAGGAGTAGGAGCGAGGATAGCAGACTCAGTGGTGTCTGAGTGGTTTTGCCATGTCCAGCGATTTTTGTTTGCACAGCATTAACAATCCCTTCTGTTGGATTTTTCAGTCCATTTTGTGGGGGTTTGCAGTCCATTATATTGGATTTTTCAGTCTTTTTTTGATTTTTAGTCCATTCCTTTTTTTTTTTTTTTTTTTTTTATTTAATTTTTCAGATTTTTTTAATTTTTAATTTTTTTCAATTTTTTTCATTTTCCTCCAGAACCAAATTATTACTCTCAAGACTACCAAAAAAACCCATTAATCGATCCCCCAAATCCCCAGTATTCCAACGGTACCATAATATCCACCCTCTGTCATATATTTTTCTCTCAATATGTCAGACACACTTGTTCATCAGGTTCCCTCGCACTACTCAACCAAACAAGACGAAATGAGTCCCAGAACAAATATCAAACTGGTGCAGTATCGTCACCGCTCAGTCACTGTCTGACACCGTCCAGTCCCCGTCAGAAACCGTCCAGCCACTTCCTAGGCCTCCACCAGGTCGCTTACATAAGCCCAACTCCAAAACTCTGATCTCGGCCTGCACTCTCTCTTGTTTGTCATCAACTCATTCATTCACAGTCAACATGTCGCCGAAGAAACTGCCGCTGGACAAGCTCTATCTGTACTCGGCACGTGACCAAGTCGCTCTGTCACGTGACGAGGAGGATCGGCTGCGTCGGCTTGAGGGACAATATTTGCAGTCGTACGATGCCGAGCGGGCCAAGCTTGAGAGCAAGTTGCAGGCCATCAATGAGGCCATGGCGGAGGAGGAGAAGGAGGGGGAGGAGGAAGGAGGTGGAAAGGGCAAGTCCCAGGAGGAGACCTTGTTGCGGCGCATTTTTGGCGGGGTTCTGGGTCAGATGGAGGAGGGAGAGGGAGAGAGAGAGGCGAGGGTGGAGGGGGGGTTTGAGATTGAAGACGATGAGTATGAGGATCTCGGGGATGTTGGGCGTGGTGGGGGTGCAACAGAAGCAACTACTTCTATTTCTCCAGAGGATACTCCTGGGCCACAATCCGAATCCCATTTTGATCCTGGAGAGGGCAGCAGCGGTTTAGCTGGGTCTGCTGGGTCAGGAGAAACCAATCATCTGGCGGAATCTGACTCAGAGGACGAGTATGTCCGCCAGCAACGTGAAAACCGCCGTCTTCTGGCCGAGAGACAGGCGCGGGAAGCCGAGCGAGCCGAGGCTGGAGAGACCGAGACCCAGACGGCTAAACAGAAGATTGTGGGTAAGAAAAAGGGCAAGTCGCTGGCCCGCAAGGAGCAGAAAAAGGCGTACCATGAGTACACGCGGATGGTGTCGGATGCGCGAAAGCGTGAGGAGCAGGAGTGGATGGAGGAATACAAGGAGGTTCTGGCGCTACAAAAGTGGGTCCGAATCCAAAAAGAGGCGCGGGCAAGCTTCGAACTCATGGTGGATAGGCTCTATGAGTCGTTCCTGGCTGAATTGGAGGTCCAGAGTAGACACATCTGGCTCGCCCATCAACAGTCGCAGCTGGAGGTGTCTGATGGAGGATACCTGTATCTTCCCGAGGGCGGAGATGAGATTGACCAAGGTGGAGAGAACGTGGTGACTGCCGACGGCCGATTCTGGGTGACACTGACCCCCCATGAGAGACAGGTAGTGCTGGAGTTCATTAGAGACAAGGGCCGGGTTGAGTTGGACGAGCTGGCTGAGTTGGTGCGAGAGTTGAAGACCCGAGAGTGATCCATATTGAGAGCGCTTATAACGAGAGTGATCCATATTGAGAGCGCTTATAACCAGAGCGCAGCCATAACTCGAGCTGCGCTCTCGTTATGGAAAAAGAGTGTTCATTGTTCGGCAGAGCGGATCTCCAGGGTGTTGATGTCAAAGTCACCACGTACCGTGTCACCCTCGTGTCACCCTCATGCCACCCTCGTGCCACCCCCTTCACCCGGTGCAGACTAGCAGAAGAGCCCAGCCTTCCAATCAACAATCTCCTATGGCAACCTCATCAAGGCGAATGCAATCTACAGACCAGAGAAGCGACATTGCAGTCTCCTAGTCTCGATCAGTTGCTGTCTGTCTATAGATGTTCCTCGAAACAAAGTACTCAGACTCGAGTGATAGTTGAATATATCATCTAATGTGGACTATACATTTCGTGCCACAAGCCAATTACGTACGTAGTCACGTGATGCAAACAACGATCACGTGAAGCCAGTTGATCTGTAACAAGATGGATCCTGGTGAAGAAGACCAGTGGGTCCTGGTGAAGAAGGCAAGATGAGCCTAGAGCATATGATTCAGTTACTCACGTGACGAGCTGATTCACGCCCCTGTGATAATCACGTGAGTAACAGAATCATATATTCTACTCAATTGAGTAACTCCATTCGTCTCTCGTCTCTCCAGTCTGGTGATTGTTCATTTTCACAATGACCGACTCTGGGCACTGAGAGGTGATCATGTACCATCACGAAACTGTAGTCGATGACAAAATATCTCTGACAGCAGTCTGGGTCTTTTACCACATTGTCCTGAGCAGCATCGCCGTTGTTCACTGTCACGGTTCAGTCCAGACGACATGGGACTGAGCCCTCTTCGTCTGTATGAACATGGTTCCACTCTATCGTGTCTGCAACACTAGCACCAAGAACTGTTGACGTCCTAGTTGCTTGGGAACTTTCTACTCTCTGACACCCATTTCATCCTTCGGCGTCGCTGCTCTTTCTTTTTTCTCCTTGCCAAGTCTCTGGTTGTCCAGTTGGTAAACTCCAGTGTTTGCGAAAAGTTGATTTCAGGGACTGCGGAGTTCAACCCCACGTCTGCAGGAGCAGGTTCATCCGCTCCATTGCAGTTCTCCGAATTGCTCCACGGACTTCCCATCTTCCGTCCAAATCAGTCCAGAGAACGACCACAGATAGAGTGGACGACCACAGCCAGAGTGGAGGCCAACAGCAGAGTGGACGACAAAAGCAGAGTGGACGATCACCGCCATAGTGGACGACCACAGCAGAGTGGACGACCAGAACAACCACAGCCAGGGTACACTCCTGACAGTCCTCATGACGCCTTCACCACGCCTGCACCACTCCCCAACTTCAAAATGCAGGCCCTGTCGTATCCCCCTGAGTCAGATGGCTGTCACCGACCGAGACAGTTGACTGGGACACTTATGGCGAGGAAGACGTCACGATTGCCTGCTTCTCGTGTCGCTCGCCGACTCCCTCCTCAACTCTAGTGTCTGACAGGACCGTCTCTTGCAAGCGACAAAGCAAGGGTTGTTATCGAGGATTGTTACCGAGGATTGTTACCGAGGATTTTAACCAAAAATTGTTTCATTGGCGACACATTGACCCTCGCAAACATCCTTGACAGCGTCCTTGAGCGAAAATTTTCCCGTCACTGTCATCTTCTGACGGGCCATCTTTGCGGTCTGTGTCGATCACCGCAGTGATGCGTCCAATTGACAGAATACTCAGCAGGTTGATCTGGCTGTTTGTCTATCTGTCTGTCTGTCTGTCTGTCAGCCGAAGGCGTTGAAGGCAGTTGGAGTAGAAGAAAGGTCAAAGTCTGACATCTCACCTATCAATGAGCCCTCATTGAGCGGGATCACGTGACCCATATATCTATCTATCCATCTGCTCCTATTTATAGCTCACCCTCTCCATCTGAATACCATTTTCATCCCTTTGGTTCTATTATAAGCTGATAGTTGTAATTTTATTTTATTTTACTTATTTTAATTAATTAATTAATTATTTAGTTGTTTTATTTAATTATTTCGTGTCTTTTGTTTGCCTAGGCTAATTGCTGCTAATTATATTTCCAAGTTACATTTATATTTTATTTTTTAGTTTCAAAATAAACTCTGCTTCTGAAACACGTTAATCAGAGATTTGGGTTCCCCCAAACCAGTCCCCAAAACTCCACACAGACACCGCACAACAATTCCATGTGCGTAGAAATACTCCCCGTGTTGCCACGAGCAAATTGATACCAATATCATCGTTCTTACTCGTCGCTAACACCGTTCGCGTTCGTGTTCAGACCCGCTACGTTTCTCATGCGATGTCCCACGCGTTTTTGTGCATAACCTTGACGTAACATGTTCAGATATAATATGGCGTCAGAAAATGGCAGAAAATAATAATAAAAAATAATAATAATTGGAAAAAATTGCAAAATGTGACACACGAAGCGGAAGGGGAGTAACAACGAGAATATCCAATGGATTGGCCTTTTCCAGAAGAAATTCGAATCCCAAACCACCTCATCGGAAGAGACACTTCAAGGGATGATGAACAATGGAGCCTATAGTCCAAGGCGTACCACTGGCAGGGACACGGAGATTGACGTGCATCGAAATGGCTACAGGAGTAATTACAACTGTGGTGGGCGACGCGAGTAATGTCGTGGGCGACACGAGTAATGTCGTGGGCGACACGAGTAATGTCATGGAAACCACCCGAGTAATGTCGTGGACCACACGAGTAATGTGGCAGGCCTCACCAGTCAGTCATGTGGGATAAACGAGGTCTTGCCTCATCACATTGTCCATGTGGCCACCACAAGACCCATGTCACCCCCACCACAAAGACCATTCCCCCGCTACTGTACATATTTCCGGCGTCTACCTTCCCATCTACCACCGTTATACCCGCCCTACGTCATCCATCATTCTGTAACACTCCCTTGACAGAAGGGATAAATAAGGTTTTGTAGCCTCGCAGCCTCATGATATATGGGGAGAGAATTATGGCGGTCGTTTTATCCTTTGAGTGGGAAGCGGAGAGTGGAAAATACTGCTTTCGAGAGAAGCAAATTTTCTTTCTTTTTTCGCAATTTTTCCAGCTCGCGGCCCAATATATTCAAATTGTCCCCGCAGATAATCCCACCACAGGGATGTCAGGTATGCATGATTAGCGCAAACTCCATGTGGCGTGTTACAGACAATGGAAGTTTTTTTTGGGAGAGAAATAGCGAATAATTGCAAATTGTTTGAAAAAACGACGAGAAAAATCAGATAAAATCAGCATTAACTAGATTAACCGTGAGGGAAATTTTTCCAACTCTTTTAGTCAATTTCCGCTCGTCTTGCCGTCATTTTCAATATAAAACGGCATAATTTGAACTAGTTTAAATGTGGATTATTTAGCATATAAGTTCAACAAATAAAAATAAAAATAGAAAAACGGCCAGAAAAATAGATACAAATAACTCAAGCCATAGAACCGTATAATCTGATCACTAAGCTTTCCCTACGTGCGCAACTTCCATCCCTACTCCATTCACTTTTCATTCTGCTCAAAAATGGCTGGTCAAAACTTCCCCGTTCTGTCAGTCTCAAACCTGTCAAATGTGACCAGCCTCGAAATAGAGTTCTTGGTTATAACTTTATTTTATTGCATCTCTAATTTTATCTTGATTGGAACCTTAACCTTATATATCAGATGGCTGGATGGAAGTTTATTTTTTTGGCCATAAACTGGACATATTGGGGCTAATTTGGCGGATATCGGGTGAAATTGAATTTGGAGATCACAATTGTCATCTACGTGTCCAGACGAGCATTTGCATATATTCCAAGTTTGTGTAGAACCGAAAATAAACTTCAACTTTTCGTTTTCACCTCTTCACCCTTGCATAACTGCCCGAAGATATATAACCTCCCTCGAAACCTGCCATAAACCTCATCATCAGTCGATCAAGTGTCCATTTGAAGCCTTCGTTTCCACTCTTTTACATCCGTTGCGGGTCAGTCACTCCTTTTTCCCCCCTCAACCACAAACACACGCTCCTTACACCCCAGTAGCTGGTCTACTATCCAACTGTTTTCTCTCCTTTTTTTCCCGGGCACAAAAACACCACAAAACGATACTACAACGACGCTGAAACGCCACTGAAACCACCTAGTCTCTCGCTTATCATGAAATTCTCAACCATCGCCAACTTTGGAGCTTCGCTCATGTCTCTGGCGACCTCTGTTGCCGCGTTTGATCCCGCTGGCTCCAACAATGTCGTGCTCTATTGGGGCCAGGCCTCGGCCGGCTCTCAGGAGCCTCTGGGCTCGTACTGTGAGTCCAACGCCGCCGACGTTTACGTTGTCTCGTTTCTCAACTCGTTCAACGGTAACGGAGACCTCACTCTAACCATTTCCGGCTGCAACGACAACTTTGCCGGCGGCCTGGCCAACTGCCCGGCCATTGCCGCAGACATCAAAAAGTGCCAGAGTCTGGGCAAAAAGGTGTTCATCTCGCTGGGCGGTGCCGTGGGATCGTACGGCTTCACTTCGGACGCCGGAGGAGCCAACTTTGCTGACACTCTGTGGAACACCTTTGGCGGAGGTACCGCGGCCGAACGACCATTCGGAGACGCCATTGTTGACGGTTACGATCTGGATATCGAAAACCAACAGCAAATGGGCTACGTGGCTCTTGTCAAGCGTCTTCGAGAACACTTTGCCTCCTCCTCCGGCCAGTACTACATCTCTGCCACCCCCCAATGTCCCTACCCCGATGCGTCTGTTGGAGAAGCTCTTGCCGGCGCCGACATCGACTTTGCCTACGTCCAGTTCTACAACAACTACTGTGGAGTCAACAACCCCGGCCAGTTCAACTTTGACACCTGGGACAACTTTGCCAAAACCGTGTCGCCTAACAAGAACATCAAAATCTACCTTGGAGTGCCCGGAGCCGTCTCGGCTGCCTCTACTGGATACATTGATGGAGCCACCCTCAAGTCCTACGTCGACAAGGTCAAGCAATACTCGTCGTTTGGCGGAATCATGATGTGGGATGCTTCTCAGGCCTTCCTTAACAAGGAAGGCGGCGTTTCCTACGCTCAGATTGCCAAGAATGCACTTGGAGGTGCTGGTCCCGTTGTTTCTGTTGCTTCGACCCCAGTTGTTTCTGTTGCTTCTTCTTCTGCCTGGGCTCCTTCTTCTGCCTCTGTCTGGACCCCCGAGTCTTCTTCTGCTCCTGCTCCCGCTCCTTGGGCTCCTTCTTCTGCTCCTGCCCCTGCTCCTTGGGCTCCTTCTTCTGCTCCCGCTCCTGGTGCTCCCGCTCCCGCAGTCTCTTCTCCCGCTCCTTGGGCTCCTTCTTCTGCTCCCGCTCCCGCTCCCGTCTCAACTCACACCCCCGACAACGGTATGTGGAAGCCTGAGAATGGTCCCTCGGTGGTGTCGTCGCTGGCTGCTCCCTCGGGTCCTGTTTTTGCCGCCGAGAGCGGCTCAGTTGAGAGCGGCGTGGAGGCTGATACCACCGTCACCGAGCAGCACACTGTGACTTCTGTTGGCGAGACCGTGACCACTACCGTTCCCACTGCTGTTGAGACTTCTGAGATTTCTTCTGCTGCTGAAGCTGCTGCTGAGACCAGCTCCATTCCCGAGTCATCTCCCTCTTCCTCCAAGGCCAAGCACACCGTCTACCACACCACCATTGAGTCCGTGTACATTGACACCACCGTGGTGAACGTTCCTGGTCCTTCTCCCACTTCCGAGGGTGTTTCCACTTCCGAGGGTGTTGCTGAGGGTGTCGTTCCTTCTTCTGGTGCTTCCCCTTCTTCTGCATCTCCTTCTGGTGCCTCTCCTTCTGTCTCACCTTCTTCTGTCGCGTCTCTGGCTGCTCCCTCCAACCCTGCGTTTGCTGCCGAGTCTGGTGAGATTAAGAACAAGTCTGAGAACGCCGCTTCTGGTACCTCTTCTGTTGCTGGAGCTCCCTCTTCTGCTGCTGGCCCCGCCCTCTCTGCCTCTCCTGCTCCTTCTTCTTCCGCCGAGCTCACTACCACCACCACCTCTTCTGTCTTCACCACCAAGACCCTTACTGGTACCACTGTGAGCGTTTCTGGCGAGGCTGCTGCTGAGGAGACCTCTGAGAGTAGTGCTGAGACCCCTGAGGCCTCTCAAACCTCTGAGTCTGCGCCTGTCTCTTCCGAGACTGCTGTTGAGACCACTCCTATCTCTTCTGAGGCTGCTGCTGCTGTTGAGACTGGTGCTTCCGCTCCTGCCTCTTCCACTCCTGCCTCTTCCACTCCTGCTCCTGCCTCTTCCGCCCCTGTCTCTTCCGCTCCTGCTCCCGCTCCCGCCCCCAGCAAGGTCTCCAAGGTCGCCCCCTCTGACCTCCTATCCCAGGCTACTACCGTTTCGGCCTCCGCCACCGCCGCCACCATCTCTCTGGCTGACTCGGCTCCCCAGAAGACAATTTCTCCCGAGTCCGCCCACCCCCCTTGTGACGGCAAGCAGGGCAACGACCTAGCCAAGTGTCTCAACGGCATCTACGGCAACCAGGAGGTGATTTCCAAGCTCTCGGTCCAGGACAAACAGAAGCCCGTTCCTACTGATGCCGCTGCTAGCGAGGCCGCTGCTCCTACAGGTGGAGCCACTGCTAGCGAGGCCTCTCCTTCCCCTGCTTCTCCTACTGACGCCGGAAAGCCTGCCGAAAAGCCTGCCGAAAAGCCTGCCGACAAGCCTGCCGAAGACCCCGCTGAAAAGCCCGCTACTTCTTCCGCTGCTTCTTCTGCTGCTTCTGCCTCCGCCCCCACCTCTGCTGCTGACAAGCCCTCTTCAGACACCCCCTCTACATCCAAACCTCTGGCTGACTCCGGATGTACCGAGGGCGAGGTGGGATGTTCTCCTGCTGGCGAGTTCATCATGTGCAACTTCAACAAGTGGGTGCACTTTGCCTGTCCCCCCACCACCACCTGTTTCGCCATTGCCTCGGGCAAGAACGCCGTGGTCGGCTGCAACTATATCGACGCCCCCATTCCTCTTATCAAGCGATCTGATCAGTCTCTCATCTCCCACAGACCTCCCCCTACTCTACAGCAGCGACGACAGAACAACGTTGATGTCTTTGCTATGCTCAAGTAGCGGGTTATTATTATTGGTGAGGTATTTATTTAGAGATTTGAGATTCGCACGTGACGAGGGGGTGTTTGATTGTATTTTATGTATTGAATGAATTGTATGATATTGACCATAGCAGTAAGTATCCTGCATCTTTCGACTCGGGCAGCTTCCGCGCATTTGCTCTCTTGGTGCCGCCCTTTCCCTCTCCACTATTCCTTCTACAATCCCTAGGTCCAACAAGGCAGTCAGGTTGTGACTCTTCTAGGGACACAACTCCGATCCTTCTCCGACCTGCTCAACAAGCCCAAGTCTCGGTTTCAGTCGCTCTTCCTGGTCGCTCAATCCTGTCATGTCGCCTAAATACGCCTTATCTCATTCTTGTGGACCTGCCTGTACGGGAAGGGGGCAGTATGTCAGCAAGAAAGTGTCATAACATGTCAGAGATGTTGTCAATTGTGTTTCATATTTGCAAAGAAGCAATTTTGCGGTTTGTGCCCTGATTCTGACAGAGAGATACGACCTTGTCTTTTGTTCTTCCTGTTTTGGTGAAGAAGCCGCCAGCAGTCTCATGAGCAGTATGGATCTGGGAGGAAAGGCGGTAGCGAAGCGGTTTGAGAGGTTTTAGAAGTGCTAGAAGATGCTCCATTTGATCATGTCTGTCTGGAAGCGCTTTATTCATGTCAAAAGATCGGATCAGCCTCACGATATCAACCCTACAAGCTGAGTATCGGTTTCAGTTGAGTATCGGTTTCAGTTGAGAGTCGGTTTCAGTTGAGAGTCGGTTTCAGTTGAGAGTCGGTTTCAGTTGAGAGTCGGTTTCAGTTGAGAGTCGGTTTCAGTTGAGAGTCGGGGTTTCAGTTGAAAATCAGAGTGTCAGCCGTGATTAAAACACCTTTATCAACTCCTGATGTCCTTAGAGACACAGCTCGTCCCCTGGATAGCAAGTCCGCATGTTCTAGCCTCACTGAAGTGAAAGTCATGAGAGCAGCAGATAAAAGAAAAGCTCATAAAGGCGATCATCGATCCCTTCCCTTACAAGCGATATCCCCCTAGCCATCGATATCCCCTCTTGCCCATCAGTACCTCCCCTTAGTCATCGATACCTCCCTTTACTTTTCGTCGGCTCAGAAACAGAATGTATAGCTCCCCTTCAGTACTCGTAAAGATAAATTCTGTTAAGAGATGTTAGAAACCCCCAAGGTTGAAATCATAGCTCATATCGACCATTCAACACCTCCAAACCCCCGAAATCACACGTTATATAACCCGCAGGTAACATTCAGCTTAGGGTCATACTACCTGTCTCAATACATGACCCTTAGAGCACGTTATTCTGGTCAGAACTATGATATAAACATATCAGAGTACTCATAAAGTGCATCTTATTATAACTGTTCTGTTTGCTTCTATGAAATCCCCGAAATGGCAAAAATTAACATTTTTCAGATACCACCATCTCACTATTTTTTAAAATTAAATTCTGGGTTTCTTGGTCTAGTTGGTCATGGCATCTGCTTAACACGCAGAACGTCGGCAGTTCGATCCTGCCAGAAATCACTTTTTTGTTATCCTCACACAATGTGGATATCGCTTTTTTAAACCCTTTACTCTCAATGTGTTTCGACCCCCTTACTATTCCCCAACTGGCTTGTTAAACCCGACTCTCAGGTACAACGAAAAGACACAGAGCCCCGTCAAGGACCCCCTATCGACTTAGTCACGTGACCCCCGTTGTGACCCCCCATTGTCATTCTTCCTTTCACCTTCTTGACATTGATCTCCGCCGATTCTGTCGATTCACGTACCGCGTTCGTCAGGAAAGGGTTGGAAGATGTTTTTCCATGGCTGCAATACTACTTGTATTGGGCAACAAGAAGTTCCTTACTCCACTCCTCCTAAGAAACTCTTCCTAAAATCCTGAGAAGATCCTTCCTGTCCTCTACAACCCACTTGCGCACCATTTGAAAGACTATGCGATTCTTCCATAACATGTCTGGTCTTTCTGAAGAGGCATTTTCGAGCCCTTTTGAGACCTTGTTCCCTTGTAGTGGTAGATCCACAGGAGCCTGGTTGCCTTAGACAATCCCCGTGGTACTCGGAGCTTCGAGTCGATGAGTCTGTGGCCAGATGTACACTGTCTTCAGGTTGCTATCTGCTGCGACAAAGGTCAATGGAAGCCCCGAAATCATCTCTGGAGGGTTTACCGGTGGGTGTGGATTGATGAGGTTGCCAGAGGGGTTGTTGGAATGGTGTTAGTGGGGGCTGAAGGGGTTGACGTGGTTTCGGGGTGTTTGGTGGTGTTGTGGACAGAGACTCACTCTCTTCCATCATTTCTTCTCAATTTTCTCATCAGTTGGTCACAAGCCCGACCAAATGGACGGCTCGAGCCTAGTAAATCACCATTCGCGCCCCTGGCTTACCAGGCTTACCAGTACCAGGCTTACCAGAATGCCAAGAGATTGCCAAGAGATAACATGCACGGGAGATGGGGAGGTCTTGGCTCTTCAAAGGCTCGGTCGGTGTAAATTTCGGTATAAAGTGTGCACTCTTTCCGTCAATGGAGTCCATTCAGATTGCGTCGTGGCATATACAAGACCCTTCTCCGTGGTGACCACTATCTCCACCATAATCACTTCTCCATTCTACCGCATCATGCCATCAAGGCTGGACTTGCCAGCAAACCACAGAGCCACACGTTTTGCCACCTTGTAGACTCATTCGACTTTTGCTCCATTAAACTCTTGAGGATGGCGCTCAGTTGAGGTGCTATATAATGCGAAACAGTATAGCATTACTTACATTTGAGAGGGCATCGACAAGGTAACAGCCAACTACGAGTACCTTACCATACATACCACTCACTCACTCAATCATCTTGATATTCATTGAATCTATAAATACAACGCTCGTTGTGGTGGGGCTACCTAGAAGTGATTTAGTCAACCTCCTCAACGGTGGGACCATCACCGCCAGCTCCGGGAGGTGGTCCTCCGGCTCCAGCACCAGGGAAGCCTCCGGGTCCGCCGGGAGCTCCTCCAGGAGCTCCACCCTCAGCGCCGTAGAACTTCATCAGAATGGGGTTAGCAACACCCTCCAGCTCCTTCTGCTTGTCGGCGTACTCCTCGGTGGTACCGGACTGGGTGGCGTCAAGGAACTCGATGGTCTCATTGATGGCCTTCTCGAGCTTCTCTCGCTCAGGCTCCTCAACCTTCTCCTTGAACTTCTCCTCGGACAGAGTGTTCTTGAGAGAGTAGGCGTAAGACTCGAGGCCGTTCTTGGCGGCGATTCGCTTGGCCTCGGCCTCGTCCTGCTCCTTGTACTTCTCGGCGTCGTTGACCATTCGGTCAATCTCCTCCTTGGAGAGTCGGCCCTTGTCGTTGGTAATAGTGATCTGCTGGGTCTTACCGGTACCCTTCTCCACGGCGGAGACGGACAGAATTCCGTTGGCGTCCAGGTCAAAGGTGACCTCAATCTGAGGAACTCCTCGGGGGGCAGGAGGAATGCCCGACAGCTCAAACTTTCCGAGAATGTTGTTGTCCTTGGTCTGGGCTCGCTCTCCCTCAAACACCTGGATCAGCACACCGGGCTGGTTGTCAGCGTAGGTGGAAAAGGTCTCGGACTTCTTGGTAGGGATGGTGGAGTTTCGAGGAATGAGCTTGGTCATGACTCCTCCGGCAGTCTCGATACCGAGAGACAGGGGAGCAACATCAAGCAGGAGCAGGTCCTGGGTCTTGGAGGAGGTGTCTCCGGTCAGAATGGCGGCCTGGACAGCAGCTCCGTAGGCAACAGCCTCATCGGGGTTGATGGATCGGTTGGGCTCCTTTCCGTTGAAGAAGTCCGACACCAGCTTCTGGATCTTGGGGATTCGGGTGGAACCTCCGACAAGAACAATCTCGTTCACGGAAGCCTTATCGATCTTTGCGTCCTTGAGCACCTTCTCGACGGGCTCAATGGTGCCTCGGAACAGATCCTGACACAGCTCCTCGAATCGAGCTCGGGTGATGGAGGTGTAAAAGTCGATACCCTCGTACAGAGAGTCGATTTCGATGGAGGTCTGGGCAGACGACGACAGGGTTCGCTTGGCTCGCTCACAGGCGGTTCGCAGTCGTCGCAGTGCTCGCTGGTTGGTGGAAATGTCCTTCTTGTGCTTTCGCTTGAACTCCTGGACAAAGTGGTTCACCAGTCGGTTGTCAAAATCCTCACCTCCCAGATGGGTGTCACCGGCGGTGGCCTTGACCTCGAAGATACCATCCTCGATGGACAGCAGGGAGACATCAAAAGTTCCTCCTCCAAGATCGAAGATGAGAACGTTCTGCTCGCCCTGGCCCTTCTTGTCCAGACCGTAGGCAATGGCGGCGGCGGTGGGCTCGTTAATGATTCGCAGCACATTGATGCCGGCAATGAGACCGGCGTCCTTGGTGGCCTGTCGCTGGGAGTCGTTGAAGTAGGCAGGGACGGTAATGACAGCGTCGTTGACCTTGCCTCCGAGGTAGGCCTCGGCAATCTCCTTCATCTTAACGAGGATCATGGAGGAGATTTCCTCGGGAGTGAAGGTCTTCTGCTCTCCCTTGAACTCGACCTGGATGACGGGCTTGCCGCCCTTGTCGACAATCTTGAAGGGGAAGTGCTTGGCGTCGTTCTGGACCTCGGGGTCGGAGAACTTTCGGCCAATCAGTCGCTTGGCGTCGAAGACGGTGTTGGCCGGGTTCATGGCGGCCTGGTTCTTTGCAGCATCTCCAATCAGTCGCTCCGTGTCGGTGAAGGCGACGAAAGAAGGGGTGGTTCGGTTACCCTGGTCGTTGGCAATGATTTCGACCCGGTCGTTGGCAAAGTGGGCCACACACGAGTATGTGGTTCCAAGATCGATTCCGACGGCTTTAGACATGTTGATTTTGGTGGTTGTATGGAGAAGAAGAAAGTCCAGGACCAGCTCAGATATATATATAGCGAGACAGAGACATGGGGCAATAGCGATAGACTATACGCCTCAGCTCTGGAACACGCCGGAATCAAGAGGTAATTGACAATTGAGTTGAGGCGGGATTTGGACTCCCGCGACTGACATGGGCCCCACGAGGCGCAATTGTGGGCCAAATGAGACGGCGAAAGCGCGACTCCGTTTGTTGGTGTGAGTATTTTGCCATTGTCCAACCTCCGCGGTGGTGGGGACTCTCCATTGGCCTCAATCGAGATTCTCCCGGACCCCGTTCGGCTCGCTTGCTGCTTTGTCAACTCTGAACCAGAAAGCAAACGAGCGAAACCAAGAGAGTCGTGCGAGCCAATTGAGTCGCTTTTCGGGAGCCGGAAAGACGACGGGGCCGCAATTGGGGGGGGGGAGGGGGGCTCCCAGTCACGTGACACCCTTTTCCCCGTCCCAAACTGCTCCCAGACGCCCCCTCCAACAGTCCTGCTATAAAACGAGGCACCATGACAAAGTTCGATGAGATAAACCCTGTTGGCGCCTGCCTTAGCATGTCTCAAGGCAGATGGAAGGTTATGGAATTTGTGGGGCGCGACGGGGCTAGCTACCAGTGGTGTGTGGGGCCAAGCGGTTGTTTGTGTTTCGGTCGAGGGACTCTTTCTGTGTCCCACCGTCCGTGTCCCACCGCGCCGTGCCTGTATTGTGCAGTACCGCTATTACGAAATGATGGTTCGTATACGTGCCTGGATCATGTACATCACCCCATGTTACGATGCTACAGTACGCAGTGGAAGTAGGCTGGAGAAGAGTGGTGAGGTGAGGGTCAGAGGTGATGGTCAGAGATGGGTGGAGGGTAGAGGGTGGTGTGGTACTGCAATTACTGGACTTGTCAGCGCCTTACAGTGGGCAGTCCTCTCGTGGCTTTTCTGCCGGAGCTAGACTTGCTCAATGACGTCAATAAGCCCGCGGTGACATGATGATGACAAGTCCGTGGAGGATCGAGGGAGAGTACGAGGGAGAGTACGAGGGAGAGTACGAGTACCGTACGAGACACGAGTACCGTACGAGGGAGAGCACGAGACATGAGTACCGTACGAGGGAGAGCACGAGACACGAGTACCGTACGAGACACGAGTACTGTACGAGAGATGTGAATGAGTGTAAGTGCGAGTACGCTCCAGTGAGACTACACAGACTACAGTAGAATCGCTTCGCACTCGTCTCCGGTCTTAACCCATACCTAGGAGTTCACTTCTGTGGCCCCATTCTACCGGTACAGCATCTTGAGACGGCCGATCCAAACCTGGTGACTGCTTTCGGAGATATGACAGTAGATCATGGACTTGCATCAGAAGAGCCATCACTTGGTAAAGTCAACCGACCTCCAACTCTTAGAACATAGGACCAAAGGATGCGGCAGAAACAGCTGACAACGACAAAAGCCGGGTCACGTGACCGCAAATCATGAGGCAATTGTCAACTTCAGGGTTGAAAATTACTTTTTTTTTTCTTTTTTCCTGTTTTTCCTGTTTTTTCCCTTTTCGGAAGAAAGGAGTCGACTTTTGAACACCACTGTGTTTTGAAAACGAAACAGGTATATAACATGACATTGATTGTGGTTACATGATTCTTTTGTATGTTTCAACTCCAGTATTCCTCTCACCAGTCTGATTCACTATCATGTTCCCACCTTCAGTTGATCTCATGGTCACTTGAACTTATCTTCACCTCCACTGTCGGTAGAGGTAACGACTTTTGTATAAAATGAAATTTTATATACCAAAATAACTTGGCGACTTACATACCACTTGCTGGAGGCGCTCCGACTCTTCTCTCTATTAGAGAGACTCATCAGAGGCACTCTGTATCCTAGTGGGGGAACGACTGAGCACGCCATCAGGTTGACAAATTCTGCTGAGTGAATTTGTCCCTCAACATGGAACGGAGTGGTTCGTCGCCATGTCAAGGTGTTGCATTCACGACTCTCATTATCGTGGATATTCTCGGAGAGAAACATTCAACATTCAGCACTTGTATCTAATCAGCCTCTTGGAACGAGACATTCAGGCCGTCCATGATTGGGCCCAAGGTCATGATGGACATTACCGGCGAAAATGGCTCGTGACCCAACATGTGCTGAATCAAGATGTCCAAGCAACAGACCAGGCGACTCACGACTGCGGGCAGCGATACCACGCCCACTCCTACTTCAGCAGGACCTCGCCGAAAGAAATTGCATCTACGGAGGCGTCATGACTTGCAAGTCTGGTGCAAATCACATTGATTGTGTGAAGAGACATGGCAGCAACCAGCTGAACGATCCTGTGGGGAGAAGACGTATTTCAGCACAATTAGAGTGTGTAAAATACTGTACAGTCATCTTTCGATGACATGAATGGAAGAGACTACGGCTCACAATGTGCGATATTGTGCGTAAATTGGTGATTTTTGCGTCCCCATCACTTCTGTATCCAGTTGGTCAGGTTCATTTTGAGTTGCAACTACCAGGAGGAACGCTGTTCACCACTCAACATCTCATGGCCTCTTGTTAACGTCTTGTTAGCGTCTCCTTGTCTTCTGTTCTTCCCAGTCTTGTGTCTGTACGCCTACAGGTCCTAGTCGGTGTGGGTGCCATATTTCTGGCCTACGCGGTCTACTCATTGGGTGCTGTGCTGGGTACATCGCCATCATAGAAGAACACCTGTGCCTGCGCCTGTGCCCTGTGACCGCTGTGAACGTGGAAGACTTGTCACTCTTCTCCGTCGATATCTCTACCACAAGCCCAGATCCCTCCGCTCCAGCTGTCACACATGGACGCTTGTGCACACGCAAGCTCCCAGAGTGGACCTCTTCTTGCTGCTGACTTGTACCGGTCTATTGCTACTGCGAGACTCCGCAGAGTCCGTCAACTACAGCCACAACCAGGCTTGTATTCGGGCAGTCCGGTTGCTGTTGGCGAGTACTTGTGTCTGTGGAGTCTGAGGATGCTGCTTATCACTTAAGAGGGCTACTAGAGAGAAGTTCCTACACATCCGGTTGAGCTGACATTGAAGCGACTGGCCACACAACTGATTGCCTAGAGGCTTCGATCGGGGGTCTGGGCAGATTGTGGGCGGGAGATGAGCACGTCCTCAAACTGGTGGGCAAACCAGGCTCCGAAGTGGCAGCACTTTCCCAGAAAGTCGACACAAACAGAATCAACCACTCATGCTCGACAATGTTGTCGAACTGGAACTGGTATCCGTAGCTCAGACCTACAAGTACGAACTCCCCAGCCTTCCTCCGGAGCCATTGCGGAGAATGGAAACACGACGAGTGGGATTCGAAGAGGCCGTGAGGATATGAAAACAGTGCAACGTAACCGGAAACAAGCCTCCAAGACTGCTGCAGCGACGCCATCTTCCGAGCCACTGACATGAACTCGGGGAATGTTAGTCGGAGTATTCCCTTGCAGACATGAAAATCAATTGCGTATTACATCTTTGTTATATACAGAGTGGAACGCTCTATGACCACATGATCTGCAGCCATGACCTACACCCACTTGAGCCTTGTGTGAACCTCACCTCACTAGGCGTCAAGGTATCCCTCCAGAATTTGCTGCACAACATCCTTCGAAAAGGGAATGTACAGCTTTTTCATGCCCATCTTGTCGTCAAATGCAACCACCATCTTATGGTCCATAAACTCCTTGAGTTTCTCCTGGAAATCCTTCTTGTTAGAAACCGTCAACTCGTTAAGACACTCCGTCAACACCTTGTCATAATCCACAGAAATGGACGTACTTCCTGTCAGAGCACCCACCTCGGCCTCAGGCAGCTTTCTCTTGTCAGCCACATTGTGAAACTCCTCCAGCTGACAGTAAATGAGGTTCTTGTAGAGACTTCGATGGTTCGGAGTGACCGACTCAAGTACATACTTGACACCCTTGGCACCCTGGGCCTCAGCCTTCTTACCAAGCAAAAGCGGATCGTCAAACGACGTTTCAACCGTGTAGGGAGCAAACGTGGTCACATCATGCCACACAAAATTGTACGAGGCCAGCTTGGCAGAGTCCCACATCAAAGGAGCCATAATATGATCGACAGATGCAACAAACCAGATTTGAGAAATACTCATGAGCTGAGACAGATGAGTAGACGCCTTGTCGATCCGCAACGACTCGCCATCAACATTGTGACACAAGACCACCAACGACGGCTTTGAACCAGCTTCAATATCTCGCATAGTGTCAACCACCAGTTTCACCAAGAGATCCACATCCTTGGGCAGTTTGTTTCGTACCACAAAGCCCTTTTTCGCAAAGATGTCCTCATGATTCTCGTAGAGAACGTCCACCACGCTGTTGAGCACCGACTTGAACTGGACAGACGCATTGTATCCGTTGATGACAAGAATGGGGATTTCCGAGTCCACTTTTTCGCACACAAAGTCAGTCAGTAACTCCCTCTTGCTTCCCAGACCATAAAACAGCAACGAAAACCCTTCCGAAAGCTCGAAAATCCATTGCGAGAACATTCCGCGGTAAGCATGCCGCAGCATCTTCTTCTGGTCGGCATGAAACAGCTCATTGGCCTGGTTTGTGTACTTAAAGAAGACGGAGTGGTCGATGGCAGGCGCCTTGGCCATGGTGTTGGCGTTACCTCGTCCTCGGGTCTTGTGTTGGTCAAAGTATCCCTCTGAAGAGTCCAGGAACAGAACGCGGTCTTCAGCCGCAATCAGGGCACCCACGTTGGCCAGCGACCGTTCGTCGGTGTGGAAGTCGTTGGACGAGTCGAGAATCGGAGCCCGGCTCTCTCCAATGATCCGTTCAGCCAGCTCAATTTCATCTTCGTCTTCGCTCACCAGTCCCAGAGACTGATCCAGTAGTGTTCTGTTGGCCTTTTTTCGCGCCGATTTGTCGTGGAGCGACCGTTTCACCGGTGACGGCGTTCCCGGTGCCTTTCGAGGCGACGCCGTCCTTCTCGGCGTCTGTTTTCTCGGACTCGTGGTCTTTCTTCTCTTGGGTGTGCTCACCTCGTCTTCAACCTCAAAGTCCTCATCGCTGACGTCACTGGTGTCCAGTCCGGAATACGAAACTGGTGCTTTTCTTCTGCTCATGTGATGAATGGTACAACTAGTCGGTGCGGGCGCCGTCTGGGGTTTGTCGCCTCTGCGGTATGTATGTCGTCCAGTGGTGATGCTCTAACGGTCAGATTAAAAAGGAACCGATAAACAATCTCTTGGTGAACTCGAACCCCGGTGCTGGATAAGTGTCGCCGTCTCGTCGCTCTAGTGCGCCGTATTGTATTGTAATGGTGGTGACAATCACTGATCAAAACTCAGAGGTGCATGAGAAACGCCCACCACCATTTTTATATTTTGAATTTCAGACTTTTTTATTTGGTTTTTCACACCAGCACAGACGACACAAACACAGGATGCTAACGTTTTGTCCCACTTGTACAAACATGTTGACGGTGAGTAGGACGGGGGGATATTGAGGGCGGTTGCTGAGTCAGGATTGGGCCAGGAACGACCAGATCATAGGTCGCGTGGATGAAGGCGAGATGAGACGAGACGAGAAGCGAAAGGCGAAAGGCGAAAGGCGAGGGGCGAGAGGCGAGAGAGGGTGAGGTGTCAGAAATCATTTGAAACTTCTTTATCACTAGTTATGTGCAATTCTACTCTTCTCTTACGGTTTTTTGCAGATCAATGAAGTGGCTAGTCATCGACCACACCCGAGAGAAGAGGTTGCCGAGTTCGATCTAGGTTGAGATTTGTCTAAAAGTATTTGTGTGCGCATCTACCGTCCGCTTTTCTCCTTCACCGCATCTACCATGTCCCCATCTCGTGACTGATCTCGTTGCTGATCCCGTTACACACTCCACTTAAGCATGCTGAATCACCATTGACACTCCATATACTAACTCAGCTGTCGACCAGCGGAAACGGCATGCGGTTCGAGTGCCGGACATGTCCCTACGAGTACTACTTGCAGGACGGCACCATCGTGTATGACCGAAAGGTCCTGGAAAAGAAGAAGGTGGACAGTGTTCTCGGTGGAGAGAACGCCTGGGAGAACGTCGACAAGGACCCTGGCTCGCAGTGTCCCAAGTGTTCCAACATGGGTGCTTACTTCTACATGTTGCAGATTCGGTCTGCGGATGAGCCCATGACCAAGTTTTGCAGATGTACGGCCTGTTTCCACCAGTGGAGAGAAAACTAGTGAGCTTAGACGTGCCAAACACGTTATGGGAAGGATAGAATGCATGTAATATATTTATGATTGATTGTCTGAGTGTAGAGAGTGACTGAAGACCTGGAACCGATCGATGGAGGTGTCAACAGAAGGGAAAGCCCAGCCTGCGATTATAAACAAACTCCGGGCTCGGTAACAAACACTTCACTTCTTGTCCTGTGTCCCTGAGAGTCTCCAAGTCTTCAGCAGAGGAGAAGTCGTTTGAGATTCATTCGTTAACAGAGGTTCACTCGGATGTTACTGGCCGTACTGTACATACTGTAGGGATGTTGCCAGATCTACCCAAGTTCAGTATCGTATCGGGAGAGCTAAACGCTCATTTTGCCCAAGTGGTTCGCTCCAGTGGTTCGCTCCATCATCATTTCTCTGTCAAATGACTTGGAGTCATTTCAGAACGCCTTGCTCACGCTCTGGTCAAGCCCCCAGAATACCCATGCCCAGTTTGCCGTCCAAAACCTCAAGAAAGCTGGCTTCTTCACAGTAACAAACAGGGAACATTAGCTGTGCCTCCATATCAATCACATATTCGTGGTCGCTGATCGGTACTGCGTAAACCAGGTTTTAACAGAGCTTCACACATCTTGGTAGGTGTAGAGCAAAACAACGGTTGCTCCAGGGGTCCTTCGATATCCATGTCATTCGAAGCCAAGTAACCAAGTCACGGTAACAGTCAAGCCCTGCGAAAGAGTCCGATGAACAGAAACAGATTGTGGAAGTTCTACGCCCCAGGGACAGTTCACACGACTGTCAGTCTGTTGACTTAAGTGGGCCAACCCGTGCATCGCAATCTCGAATCATTGCCAATAGTGTCGGAAGAAGTCATACCTAAATGCCTAGTCACCAAGTTCGTCGGAGACCCACTCAATATAGCTCACTATTGTTGTCATGGTGTCGGATAAAGCCCTGGACCCGGGAGAAGATAACCTGGAGTGCATCGCCAAGTGCCGCGCGGTCCTCGGACCTTGATCACCGTTTGTTTGAGAAGATGGAACACATGGATCAACACGTTGCCAGGTCTCAAGAAGGCCAAACCGTACCATGGATGACGGTGGTCTTGGTAAATTTCGAACCTGTCATGTTTTTTATCTTCTCCCGAAAAAAGGACAGTCAAGAGTAGCCATAATCAAGTCGTCATTGTCATTCACTCCCGCCTTGTATAGACCATTGTATAGATGCCCTCGGCGTGAATGCAACGGTTCGCTCGGCTCAAGCCATCAACGAGCGCAACCCCCGCAAGGCCTGTCAGGTGCAATCTGTACCAGTGGTTCTCTCCATCTTCATCCAGCCGGATCTTTCTGGGTCTGTTTATGGCGATAGTTGACTATCAGACGGGCCCCGGTCTGTGCAAAAGCCCGCGCATTGGACCCTGCAGCTCCGAGTAGGTCAAAACAATAGACAGCAACAGGGTCGGCTGCCAAACATCTCCAGTATGTATGGTTCCACAAGACCGCTATCGCAGGTCCGCCACAGCTCCTGAGAACCTAAAGACTGAGGGAGTGCCTGCGCTTGAAATGGAGGCAGCTCGTGTGAGGCTTGAAATCCAACCCACACTTACCACGAGTCCCATTGATTGTAGTTGGCGGTGCAGTTGATGAGTGGTGATGGCACTGATGGTCACAGATGGCACTGGTAGTTCATCTGGTTCATCACAAAAGATTTCCATTGACTTGGCATTATCTTGGACTTATCGGTTCACTGGCTTATCCGTGATGCTGCGACTGACCATGTTTGTCACCTGGGATCTGACTTCTAGGTCTCGCTACCGGCTCGGTTTCAGCACGGATTCCAGCTCAAATTCGGCATGGGCTTCCTCAAGCGCCATACTGTCGCCAAAACCTAGACATTTGCAAATCTTCCAAGGAATCTCCGAAGACAGCATTGGAGAGGTGGAAGAGGAGGTGCGTGAGTCGTATTGATGGAGGGAGTGACGCGAAACTGACTTAATGACCTGTGTAAATGACGCGCTAGACACCACCCCAGTTAGATCCTACACACATGACAAGACATCGGAACCAAGCCGAAACATCACACAATTAGACTGCTTCTACTAGAACCTTCCAACTAAACCAATGTCAACTAATACACCATTTTCCCTTTTCACCCCTGCTTGAACAAGCACACACACCATGTATCGTACCTGCATCCCCTTACATATCCTTGCAGCACAAACATGCAGTATGTACGAGTGATGCACATGTTACCTTGACCTCTGCTACGTACTGTGCCATGTTACAAGTACAGTAGTCAATTTGAACAATAAATTAACATATTTTTTCCTCCTCCTTCTTCCCTTAACCCCTCTCTACTTACAAGAATCCGTTCTCTTGGAGAATCTTGGCCATCTTATCGTTCGAGGGCTGCTTGTCTCGAGGCTCCAGTGCCAACGACGTCTCGTACTGGTCGTCGATGCTCGGAGCCTCCTTGAATCGAGCAGCCACTCGCTGCTGCACCTCCGGTAGCTCCTGGAACGAGTATGGAATGCTCTGGTACTGCTGAATCTCCCGCACAATCTCTGCCGTCTTGGTTCGCTTGCTGAAGTTGATCAGCTTGGGCTCACCCTTTATAAAGTCGGGATTACCGTCTGCCACAAACGTCAAGTCCGTCAGATAAACGCCGAAAAACGGAATGATGGGTGGGTTCACCAAATGCAACATGTCCCGGTACTCGTTGAAGTTTCGAGTGGAGTTCATGAGCTTGTTCATGTTCTCCAGAGATGCCATAGTTCTAGCAGAAACCAGCTCCCACGATTTTTTCAGCCGGTGGATCGTCGACGAGTAAAGTGCAGAAATGATAGCTGTCATTGAACTGAAATTGTTGATCTGCCGACACTGTTCACTCACTTGCACAAAGTACTTGATGACAGAAGCTCGCTTTTTGGTATCCTTCTCAGCCAGAATGCAGGCTGCCACCCAGTTGGTTAAGCAGTTGGAGTTCTGGATGAATTTTCGAATGTTCGACGGCTCTCCTCCGCCAGAGGTGCCACGCTTGCTGTTCCACTCCTTGTTAAGACACTCAATGGGAGAGATGGCACAAAAGAGACGGGACTCCCGTATTGTAAGCTGGCGGCAGAGTTCCACAGAGTCCAGGTCCTGCAGCTTTTGTCGCTTAAAGTTTCGAGAAATGATCGGAGAAGGCGTGGGAGCAGGGTTCTGGATCATGCGTTTCTTGAGCTCCTCGCCCTTCTGGCGCACCTGAATGGATGTCAACAGCTGCTTGGCACCGGGGAAGTTCTGACTCACCATCTGCAACACAAATGTCTCAATCTGACCAAGCAGATCATGTGTCACGGGTGAAATAGGCTCCAGCCAATTGTGTTCCAGCCAGTTTTTCAAAATATTGTAGACACGGATCCTGATAGGTCGCTGCTTCTTACTCTCCCACAAGTCAAACTCTTCAGCAGTGAGACCCTCGGGGGGCTGGATGGTGAACCGCTGGATCAGCAGCTCCAGAAGCATATGGGGTGTCATGAACGTTCGGAATGTCAGCAGCATGGTAGAGTTGAAATTGCTGTCGAGTGAATCGTGGTGCGTGAGCCGCTCTACAAGGGCGATTATCGAGCCAGCTCGCACATTGTTCTTGTCATCCAGAATCAAACCACTATCATACTCAGCCTGAATGAACCAGGGCAAAGAAGAAGCCGATCGTGTAGACGACTGGCGCGAATACGTGGAAGGTGGAGGAATGACATGGCCTAGGGCAGGAGAGCCGTCGACCATGGTTGACGAAGAAGGCTCGGTCATCATACGCGACGAAAAGTTGTGCAGCGCTTCCCGCTCCTCTTGCAGCGCCAGAGTGGCTGAAATGGCCTGATCCATAGTGTGGGGGATCTTTGAATAGCTGCCCGCACTCAAATTCTCATACAGTTGCTGTTTGAACTCCAGAAAATCAATGAGCACGTGCTTATTGTTGGTTTTAGACAGGGGCCCGAGATCTATGGACTCCAGCACAGCGAAAACAGACTCAGTGGTGTTCACGAGCGCCTGCTTCACAGCTCGCAGTAGCACAACGGAATCGTCAATCTCGCCGTGCGGTTGCTGACTCAGCTGTGTCAACAGTGACAGAATCATGCCCCGCTTCTGATGTAGCAGGCCTAGAATCTGCGAGTCCTTAGCGGCTTGCGACTGCACGGCCGGAGGCTGGGTCTCAATCGACGCGCCAAACGGCTTAATGAATGTCTCGAGGTCTTTGTTGCCAGCAATGATACGAGTTTCGGTCAAAAACTCACTCAGCTGCTCCTGAAGCCGCAGAATCTCCTCGGCATCTGCCTCGGTCGGGCCCTCACCATCTCCAGCAAACATCCCGATCGTTCGCTGACCCACCGAGGTCTGAAGTTGGCGGAAGAGCATGTTCAAAGCCTTGTCACTACATAGATGAAGCAGTGCCAAAATGCTACACAAGGCGTCAAACGTCTGCTCCTCAATAAAAGTGTCCATGAGCTGCTCCAGCGATTCCCATGTGCCGGGATGCACGAGCTCGTAGCCCTCAATGGCACGCAGACGAACGAGGTTTGCTTCAGATGCAGATGCTGCCGACTCGGTCGAGTCTAGTCGCGGAGCAGGCACCGGCACGGAATCCGTAACGGTTTCCAGAGCACGTGCACTTTCCACCACCTGCCGTGGAGGCGCCATTACTCTGGGCACCGCCACGGTCAACTCTGTGGGGCCAGGATCACTAGGATCAGTGACTTTTTGAAACGGTAACGACGTCATGTACATCCCTGAAACTGGTTCTGTCCAGTACAGCTGGCCACAGGACGATGTCTGGGGGATCCAGTAGCTTGCCGGGTTGGCTGGAGACGCCTCAGGCAACTCCGTCACCAACACTCCTTGTGCGGGATCCAACGAGTTGATGGACACCGAGCCCGTTGATTGCGCCGAATCGAGTGAGTCAATCACCGGAGACAGGGATCGACCAGAGGTGGACGAGTAACTGACGACGGAACCCTTGCGCTGGCCCGTCACTGAGTTGGCCAGTCCAACCTCATAATCCGACGCCGGCGTCGACGTGCCGGAGCGGGTGTGTGCCGGTGATAAGTTGTTGAGCGTGTTCTGGTAGTTGAGAGCCTGCAGCGAGTCACGTGATAGCGGGTCGCGCGAGGTCGTGTCACGCAGCATGGGGTCTCGGGTGGTATCACGTGACGGTGGAGCTCCTTGTTCGTCTGGGATTGCGTTTCCTGCCGAGCTGCTGGCCGGGCGGCGTGGCGACGCGCTGCTCTGTCTGTCCTGGCTCATGGAGAAGGCCGAGAGCGACGATCTCAGGTCACGCGTGGTATCATTTTTGTCCTTCTTTTCCTTCTTTGGCGTGGTTGGCTGTGAGGGCGACTGCTCGACGGTCTTTGTGTAATTGCTTGGGAACCAGCCTCGTTTTCCTGAGGCTGTGTGGACTCCGTCCCACCATCCGGAGTCGAGTTTGAGCAGCACCTGGATGGTGTCTCCCTTTTTGAACGGCAGCGAGTGAGGTCTGTCGGAGTGAAAGTCGTAGAGAGCTACCACGGTGCCGATGGCTTGCGGTTGAGCCGCAAAGTGCGAGGGCGACGATGTCATGGTGATGTGGACGGGGTCGTCTTTTTTCTTGTCGATAGTGCTGAGTCGTGACAGCGTTGGGGTCGTCATATTCGAGTGTACTGATGCCGATGACGGAGTAGTAGTGCCAGACCACGTGGTAGATGTGCCTATGGTTATCTCAATGTCGTGTCTATGTACCACGGGAGTCACGGTATGGTCGCTCCTAACCGTGTCTACCGAATGGACCGTCAGGGCGTCTGCGTCCTTGGGCTTGGGCTTGGGCTTGGGCTTGGGCTTCAACTTGGGGACCGCCGGTTTCTTCGGAGACTTCTTCTTGGCCTTTGGGGGAGCAAAAGGGTCAATGTTTCTCATGTTAGCATCCGTGTGGGTGTGGGGCGAAAGAGAGGTTTCCTCCGTCTGCATTATACTCACTAGTGGAAGCCCGTGCTGTCTTTTTTTGGGTTGTCTTTTTCTTTTTGTTCTGGGGCTAGTGTCGTGAGGCAGGACGCTGTATCACTAGGGTGTGGAGTTGAGCCGAGTGTGAGAGAGGCGTGGGAATAATAAGCCTTGGAGCTGGATGTGTGGTAAGTGAGGTGCACGTTGCCGAGTTAGTTTGAGGTGGGGAAACGGAGTGCACCTTAGGTAAGCCGGACGAGGGCACGAGGGCGGCGGGCATTTGCGAGCGGTCACGTGACGCGGTCGAGCGGGCGCCGCACCCCGCCCACACCGGGTTTCTAGGACCGCACGTGCGCGGCATAAATGGGCGGGTCCGACGCCCACGTGCCATCTTTCCATCTCTTTGGTGTCAGTCTCTCTTACCTCACCCTGACTATGCTTTTTTGCCCACAAACTCAATGTCCCCTGTATGTATCAAGGTGCAGCTATGTAATACCGTGAGTCTGAGGTTGAGAGAGTAAGCTGGAGAGTGACGGGCGTGAAAGGGCATGGTGACAAGATGGATCACGTTAGGATCCTTGCACAAGTCGACTTCAACACAGTATGGACGAGACGGTACAAGTACAGTACCACAAGTTCAGTACATACAGTACCTGGACAAGTACTACCAAACAGTACATACAGTAGGTGTACTGTACCTGAACAAGTACTTCGGTCCTACCAAACAGTACATACAGTACCTGGATACAATACCCAAGTACCTACCGCAGTCTTACTTGTAGTTGGACAGTGTAAACCACAGTAATCTAATTGAACAAACTTTCACGTCCTCCACACTCGTTTCATCGACGGTTTCTTCTCCATTTGGCCCGTATTTCTCACGCAATATTATATGCACAAGTCCGTCACAGTGCCAGATGTACCACGTGGATTACGTTGGCACGAACCTAATTGCCGCCGCTGGAGTGGTGTTGTAGGCACGACCACATGGTTGTGGAGCTGGCGGTCTTAGCATTGCGATCAACGTCTTTTCGTGTCTTTACCGGCTGTTTTCGTCCAGTTAGGAGCCCCCTCCGGCACCCTCCCCCGGTTCAGTAGACAAGTACATGAATCAACCTTAAGGAGAGTTGTATGCCATCAAACGCAGCCAGCAGTGCCGAAAATGATGTTGAAATGAGCAGAAAAGAAGCGAAAAGCCTTTTTATTTTTATTTGGCAATTCTAAAGATGCGTCCACTGGCGCTTTGTGGTATTTTTGGTCCTCTCTCACTGCTTCTTCCAACACACGCCATGACCCAGACAAGCCCAGCTCGGAACTCTATCTCTACGCGTTATTTGATTAGTGATAGGACTCGGGGAGTCGGACGTGGAGCTCTGGCGATGGACGCGAGTCGACGGCTGGCCAAAAAAATGCTTGTCTGTTTTTTTGCGGTTGCCGTCGGTTTCAAACGTGTTTTGGAGCCCAGATCCGCCGGGTTTGTACCGATATTAAAATATTATCGGCCCCTGGAGCTCGGGGAAATGGGCAGTATATTTCAGTCTGAAACTTTTGGGTTTAGTGAGGCAGCCAAATGGGCACAATCCTAGCCATATATAGCTGGCGCTGCAGCGGTCTGGGGAGAGATCTGAAAAGCTGAAAGGGCTGAATTGAGTGTGAATTTTTGATTCCCGCAATAAAAACCCCGCCTTCCCATACATTTATGAGTGTCTTTGGGGCGTCAGAGCAAAGCGGCATTACTCAAAAACTTTGTTCCAGCCGCACTAATGCGAGTGGGTACCGAAACAAACGAGCGCTGGTAAAAGAAATGAAAAGAAAAGAAAAGGAAATGAGGTGAAAAAATGATTTGAAATCTCCGACACGCGCGGTGCAGTAGGTCCGACGCCGAGAGCTTCGCGGATCGCGGCGCCAATAGGGCTACAGCGGGAGGAGGGGGCTTATGGGTCCAGCCAAGGTCTGAGTCACTGCGGTTTCAGTCGATATTTGCTCTCGGTGTTTTAATTGGAATTCTCCTTTGGGACACAATTAATTTGGTTTGACAGCTTTACAAATCCCTTTTACGCCCCTATTCAAATAATATCGCCGGCCTTGACCTCGACCATCGCGGCAATACGCCGATACGATGCAGTAGAAAGACAAAGAGACGCACGGTACGTGTTTGCGAGGAAAAACGCATGGCTGAGGCGGTGGAGAGCAGCCATTGGCGGAAAAAGTCTCAAGCTCTGATCCACGGCTTTTGATTGCAACGTTCGCCGCCCTTCTGGTACATGTCTGCAATCTCTGACGGTCGCAATGATTCATATGACTCGTACAGTAGCGTCATGATATCTTACTAAGACATGTCTGCTAGAAGCACGATATAGCCCTGCGACAAGGACAAGTGATATTATGACAGGGCAATGGCGGTTAACAGCCTTGTGCCCCAGCGTAGTATTGATGGTGTTGCACTAACTGAAGGTACTTTTCAGATACCACTCTTAGATCAGATGCTAGAGAGTGTTGAAAAGAGTGCAAGTACAGTACAGGGACTGGGTACGGGTTGTGATATTGAGCTCGTAGTTGATTAAGCCAAGCATTCAAGTGATCCAACTTTCGAGGCTGAACTCCTACTGTCCCTACAAGTAGACAATAAGATGCTCTATCCACCCTCGGGCATGGTTCCATGGTTCTGGAACAGTAAAAGGTCTAAACGAACAAGAGAGAGACACTGAGGATTGGTACTGTGGAGCTGAGAACGTGCCGAGTGGTATGAAATATCATTACAAGGTCTACGCTTGGGTTGGAACAGATTTGAAGAGCACCAGGCTAATAGAACATGGGTATCGCTCAGGTCTTCCCAGTTTCACTCCGTAGTGCGTGTTAACCCCCTCAATGTCTACTGTCGTCGGTAATACCTGCCAACTATCAACTAGCACTCGAAGAGGAAAGTTACTACGGAGATGCAAGGCACCAACTAATGTTGCTAGTGCTCCAGGTGACTCAATTGTTGAGCCCTGGGTGTCCTCCTGCATATACTAAACCTGTACGGCACGGGCCTGTCTTTTGGGCGCGAGCTTTCCACATGAGGCAACTACAACATGTTGTAGATCCCCAAATAACCCATGGGGTTCTTGACATTGTGGGCTGATGGTTCAAGACGGCTTCTGGCCTGGCCCGAAATTCTTGCACCGTTGTTTTATATTTTCAACCAATATCGGGGTTTATTTTGCAATACAGTTGCGAAAAATGACAAAAAAAGTTACCCAATGGGGAAACTGAGAAGATAATCAACAAAAGGAGCCCTCAAAAAAGTCGTATAAAGCGAGTCGATGAATATATCGCGTCTCCCCCTCGTCTAGAATGCAGGCTACTAGTGCTAAAATGGAGGGTTCGGAGATTTAGATTGGGGAAGAATCACTACGGAGATTAACGATTCAACTGAGAGCGAGGTGGAAGAGGCGCTGGAGAGTCTCTTCTGGATGGGAAGACTGTCCCTGTAGCAGCCCTGAATCGACTCTGACCTACAAAGTCTTCCCATACAAGTCTTTCCATAGGAGTCTCACCTGCCTGAGAGTTGATACAAGTCCTGTTGTTTTTAGTACTGCTTCTTTTCACGTTCACAGCTAGAGAGGGGGCCATGGGCAAGATAAGTTGTTGATGTCTACACTTTTCTGGAATGTATATTCTGGTCACGCTACTGGTATAAAACCGGACTATCAAGAATAACCAGATACAAGAACAAGAACGATGTTCGGCAAAGCCATTGAATCGAGTCGAGCGTGATTAGCGGCGTTTCGATAGTAAAACTACCCCTACAGTATATATTAATACTTGTACTGTACGTACAGCATCATTTACTTGACAGCGGGCAGGTACTTGTACTTGTACTCTCAGGGCTCGCCTGGAGTTGATCTGGAGACTTCAATACTGAGAGATTAAAGCAAAGGACTTCTGAATTGAGACATGGTAACCGTCATTCACAACCTGCTCACGTCGCCTGGTCTACTGGGCGATACTAATGATAGATATACGGAGGGGGGTTAGCGTCTACAACATTCATGTTGAATCAAGCCCCCAAAGGACCCACTATAGAGGGGCAATTTCATTGGAAAACATTGGGGAAATGAATCATCAAGTAGCAAGCATGCGATGGGGAACGCCCCTTCACACCAGCTGTCAGCGGACAACAGTTGACGACATTGGTAAACGCACAACATAAAGGTTTCACGTTTCGAATGCCGCAAGCCCAACAAAGGAATCTAAATACCGTCTGTTTTTCAACTCTCGGACCAATTTTGAAGTCTTGCTGTTGCCTTACAGTACGCACCACTACTGTACCCGTAGTTGATGTGCATTGCTTTTGGACGTGCCAGTATTGAAGTAAGCGAGAGCCGTACTTGTTTAGATCTCAGTCTAAGGACAGGCACAGCTTTACAACCCCCTTACGACTCAGCCATTTCATCTCATCTTGTCTCCATGAATCATTGTATCTCCCCTCTAGTCTTCAGCCCAACTAAACCAGACCTGATGTCTACAAACACCGAGACATGGCCACTGTTTGAAGACTTGCCACTACAAACACAAAATTAACATCATCAATTACATACGAGGGTGTTTTGGGCCCTCTGCTCTTTATACAATCCAACGTCATCCAACTAAGGTCGAAGTCGTCGAGGGTCTCGAGGGAAGAGAGAGGCCCGTCGAATGTTCTTAAGATCAAGGAAAAACATGACGACTCGCTCAAGACCGATACCTCCACCGGCATGAGGGGGAGCGCCGTAAGCAAAAGCATCGACGTAGTCCTTAAGACCCAAAGACTCGGGATCAACCTCGTGGGCAGCCATTCGCTGCTTGAGGAACTCGGGGTCGTGGATTCGCTGGGCTCCAGACAGAATCTCCTCTCCTCGCATGAAGAAGTCGTAGGAGTTGGAGTAGTTGGGGTTCTCGGGATCGGGCATGGTGTAGAAAGGTCGCACGGCCAGAGGGAATTTGTCGAGAATGTAAAAGTCGGTGTCGTACTTCTCTCGGACAATCTTTCCGAGCAGCTTCTCGTTCTCGGTGGAGAGATCCTCGTAATCGCCGACGTCCTTGCCGGCCTCTCGCAGTAGCTTGACACCCTCGGAGAAGGGCAGCTTGACCATCTTTCCGTCCTTGGGCAGCTTGAACTCCTCGACGGGGTACTGCTTTCGCACGGTGGCAATATCGTTGCCGTATCGCTTCTTCAGCTCGGAGAAGATGAAAATGAAGAGCTCGGACAGCACGTCAATGACCTCGTCGTAGTGCTCCTCGAAGGCCATCTCCAGATCGAGACCGGTGAACTCGGTCATGTGTCGGTGGGTGTTGGAGTTCTCCGCTCGGAAGACGGGGGCAATCTCGAACACTCGCTCAAAGTCGCCGGACATGAGCATCTGCTTGTACAGCTGGGGGGACTGGGCCAGGAAGGCGTCGCCCTTGAAGTAGTTGAGCTTGAAGACGTTGGCTCCTCCCTCAGAGGCAGCGGCAATCATCTTGGGAGTGTGGATCTCAATGAAGCCCTTGGAGACCAGGAACTCCCGGAACAGCTGGCAGACGCCGTGCTGGATTCGGAAGATGGCCTGGTTGGTGGCGGTTCGCAAATCGATGCATCGGGCATCGAGTCGGGTGTCGAGGTTGACGACGGGCAGACCGGCGGCCTCGGCCTCAGCCTCGGATCGAGAAGCGTCCTCAATCAGAATAGGAGGCTGCTCGGGGGCCTTGGAAATCACAAAGAACTGGGAGATGGCAATCTCAACGTCTTGGATGGTGGCGGACTTGACGGGCTCAGGAGACTCGACAACAGTACCCTTGACGAGCACAATGGATTCCAGAGAGACGGAGCCGGCAAACTTGACCATCTGCTTAGAGATGGAGTCGGCGTTGACGGTCAGCAGACCCTGGACGTTGGCAGACTGCTGTCGGAGCGACACAAAGCACATCTTGTTGCCCTGGAGACGGGAAGTGTGGACTCGGGCTCGGAACACAACCTCCTGGCCACCCATGGACTTGTTGAGGTCCTTGATCTGGACCCGCTTGACACCGGTCTTGTCCTCCTCTCGGGACTGGATCATGGGCAGCACGCCGTAGTTGGCGGTGGCGTAGTCGACCTCCTTGGCCTCTCGCTCGGCCTTCTCTCGGGCCAGTCGGGCCGCGGTCTCTGCCTTCTTTCGCTCCTTCTCCTGTTGGGCCTGCAGCTTCTTGAGAGCCTTCTTAGACAGAGGCTGGCCATCGGCACCCAGCACGACCTCGGCCTCGGGGGCAGCGGCCTCGGCCTTGACGTCGTCGGTTTTCAGCTCCTTGAGCTCCTCAGCGACCTTGTTGACTTGTTCAGACATGTTGTAGAGAGTGATCTGTGTTGTGTGGAGTACAAATCGACAGATGAAAGTTGGGAGGTGGAAAATTGAAGAAGTTTATTTCCACCGGCTCATGTGTGACTCGTAGATGGAGATGATGGGTGTTGGTGACAAAAGACGCCTAAATTAACAGACAAGATGTCATTTACCGCTTTTGTGTCACTTGTCTCGCCTGATTCCGCCGTCTTTTGAGCTCTTTGTGGTCGATATCTACATCTTGTTGAGTACACAGTCAGTCAGTACAGTATCTAAAAGTGCTTATAATACGAGTGCTCGGCTATTGAATGGTTGTTGCCCATTCGAAGAAATGTCTGTTGAATTTGAAATGGCCAATACACAGACAAATGACAATGACTCACATGTTCAACGACTCACGTATTCAAAGACTCACGTGACAATGACTCAACGGCTCTCTCCTGTGAACCACACACAAAGTTCACCATGACGTAATGTTGCTGATGAGTATTAGTCATACAACCCGATAGTCCAGAGTGATGATGAGGTCAAGCTGATCGCGTGTTATCCAGCCCAGGTAGTAATGAAACTGATAGTCTAACTAAGAGAAAGAAGTGAACCAGTGCAGTGCCTTTTGATATTCAGATCACATGATCCCTCTTTTCGCTCAACTGGCTGTGTGTTCCGAGCGGCACATTCCCTGAATGGTACTACTGTAGTTGCCCAATATTAGTTGGAAATTAGTTAAAAAAGTCATACTGGGATGCTTATTGAATGTTCCTGAAACAGTCAGCTTTTGTGGTATTGTAAAGCAGATCGATAATGAATGATTACTGAACAAAATTTAATAGATTGGATATATTCCTAGTAGCAAAACCTCCACATGCGAGTGTAAAACCTCCACATACGAGTAGTAAAGCCTCGAGATACAAACTTTTTTCACACTAAACCCAACTAAGATTTGTTAGAACATAGTTAAACTAGGGTAGGGCGTTGTGGGCGTTGTAGATGCATTATAAAAAAAAAAGGAGGAAAAAAAAGGAGAAAAAAAAATTCCTTCATGAACAGACCCGACGTTTTCAGTCTGAAGGTGTTGTTGAGAGATGGGTTCTACTCAACTGAAAACGATGGATTCACAGTCGTCTCTCGTACTAAGTCATATGTGAACTGTTTAGAGGGAAACTATCAGTTAATAGTTGAGTATCTTTTGATGCTATCCAGTTGGGATTCTAGTTGAACATAGTTGGGCGTCAAGAGTGTACTCTGAGCTCGATACTCGTACTTGTACTAACCACTGTTTCAGAAGCGAAATTGAAATTAAAAACTGTAGAAATATACATCAGATGGTGAATTTCAACATGCATCCAAGAAATTGATAAAAATCTCAACAGAAACATCTGCTAATCCATGTTCCATCACCCCCACAAGCAACCCATCTAGTTATGTTTAGTTGGGAGAGCGACGCTGGTAGTTGGCTGGTAGTTGGCACAACTGATACAAGACCCTCAGGCAGACATGGTCCAGATCACATAAGTATTGTATTCAAATCGTCAGTCAATTAAATCAGTTAAAATCTCGCTCAACTACCAAGTTATCTTCGTATTTTCTCTATGATCTTGTCAGCTCGTAGACTTCCTGGTGTCTGAAATTGAAAGACGCCAAAAGACGCAAGACGTTGAAAGTGCTCAGATAAACCCTACAGTATTTTTTCCAGGATGGTATCAACTACTTTACGGGAATCCAAGTATTCAAGACCTTTTTTACTGAATCTGCCAAACATCTGACTCTTTGACTTCTCATTGAGAACATCACTGTGTGATAGACGAGAGTACTGAACCGCTCCAGCACTCCTTCACTGCAACCACCATTTACATCATCAATGGTGAAAACATGTGATGATGGCTACACTGTTCAAGCAGTTCATGCTACAACATCGCACCGAGACTTTCAAAATACACCATGTTGGTTCAAAGATCAATTGATTCAAGAATAAGAGGTAAAGAAAGAAAGGCCAGCGCGGGCAAGAATCGGAAAAGCGTTCATGAAAAGAGTGAGAGGCACGTCAGACAATTATTGCCGAAGAGCCCGGGCTATGACGGGAGCAGGATCTCGCATCTCGAGCTCTTCAATTGCTCGCTTGAGAATACTGACCTTGTATTTGTGGTCTTCCTCAGCCTGCTCACCCTCGTTCAGAGCCTTGCAGGAGGGATCCCTGTCCTTGTTGTGGAGGTCCTTGGGGTCCTTGGGGTCCTTGGTAGGCTTGCAGTCGTAAACGGTTGTGGTGACAGTTACAACGTTGGGAGTGGGAGGCCGGTAGTGCTGAATCTCAACGACGCCCTCCTCTCGGGAAGCGAGACCAGATTCAGAGTTAGAGGCAGCCACGGCAATGGCAGCGATAGATAGAGTGTTGATGAGTCGCATGCTGGAGTTGTTAGTGTTCGATCTTGTGGATTGCTTAATGAAGGATAACTGAGGGAATAACAGTCGGTATTTAGCCGTTCAAATCTATTGCGACATAATCATATTGTCCTCACTCTCGTAAGGATTGTCCGGTGCAATTGTGATATTGCTGGACTAGCCCGTGAGTTGAAATATCTGTCAATTGGATGCCAGTGTGTTTCCTGGCCTAGTCTCTTGGCAGAGCGAGGTATCTACAGTAGAGACGAGGTGACAGCACATGCTTCTGCTTTTCGGATGTTGGGCAGTGTAGTTGGTGAATCATCTCATCGTCTGGGTATGATGTATTGACTCTGTGGCCCGATTGAGACCGCGGGAACCACATGTATCAGTATTGTGTCGTTTACAACCTGTGATGTGTAAGAAGTAGAGTAGTTGTAATTAGACCAGCATTAGTAGAGTTCTAGTATCCATCTCAAATTCACATTTCAGCTTTATTACGAAATTGTTATGACTCGTGAGTGCAACCTTGGAGCTCAAGTTGAACGATTAAAATGAACATTCCGACACTTTTTGGCGCACCTCCAAGGCAAGTATTTTCCACGGAAATTACAAGCACACTGATTCGCCGTGTTTGTGTGGAAGTGGTAGTTGTCCCCTGTGTATGTTCTGGACTGTACTCGCTTAATTAGCTGCATAAAACCGTTGAATGTGTAATTTAATGCACACGACAAAGGGAGAAATAAAATTTAAAAATGTCAAACAAATGAAAGAATGAAAAATAAAAAAAATTCAAAAATAATCTAAAATTCAAAAAATTTGATTCAAAAAATGTTATGAAATATCTATCGGAGTAAAGGTGAAATAAATAGTTTCGAGCAATCATCTGTTTCTTTGACAATCCATGTTTTTAGAAAAATCATTGTTTCATTCCCTTACCATCTCGTCCTTCATAGAGCGACTTCTGCAACAACTGCAACGCCCATAATATCTAAATAGCGCTAAAATTAAACGCCGAGATTGATAGACCGTTTGATTGTTTTTCAACCCATTTACCCGACGAGCGACTATTATTATTTCCACAACTCTACTCTCCAGCAACGGATCAGGCGTCTCGGCAATACTTGTGCAAGTACGTTCATTAAATGGGGGTGACATAGTGCGGAAAGTCGGCGTCGATCGTTCCCGGGATTTTCATATAGCCTTGATTCGATTCGACCTACTGTACTGTACAAGTATTGTAACCATCTCACTGTTCCCAGAATGATCTCTGCACATCACCTATGGCCTCCAAGAGCCCGAGAGAACCAAGTCAAGTTGATTGGGTTTAGCACCGAAGCGGAGAATGAGCAGATATTACTTCTGGTGTATTATTAGAAAGTAGACAAGTCCCAAAACCAAATATGGGTCGCCCTGGCGCCAATTATGGCAGGTGTTGATTCTAATGTATCTTCAGTAGTCGTTTGTATGGCTTGTCTGAGCAGAACTGTTTAACAACCCTTGAGTGTTGTATTAATTGGTTACAAGAGCATATAGAAGGAACTAGGACTCTTGTGGTGGGTTTGGTGAAGTTTTACATGCCCCAGATCAACTCGATGATTCTGCTCTTTGACTTGAACTGTCTCTGTCGGTCTTTGTAAACACGAGATTATTAATGGACTACTGTGAGTTCAACCAGGGTGTGTAGAATGGCACATGCATTGATTCAATTGTATTGGAAACCAAGGAAATTATGTGCCAGTAGGTCACCACTCGAGAGATCAACGCATGAAATGTTTGCAAGTACAAGTACAGTCAATTGGATCGCAGTAACGAGTTATGAAACCACATGGACTGAACTCGGGATTGTCGACATCTACTTGTCATACACGTGTTTCGATATCTCTATACTGTTGTCTCCATAATACGGCTATAGCAGCGGTTCAAATAGTTCAAACTAGTACCCTCCAACTTCACAAGAACCAAATCCAACCAAAGTCTCCCATTTCCAATTCCCCATTCATCGAACTTGATTTCGCCCTGTAATAATTAAATACCCCCCCAGTAATGAACTCTACGGACACTGACTAGGACTGCAGATGGGCGTTAGTACTGTCGGCCCGTTGGGCCTCCATCTTTTCCCTCTGTCGCCGCAGCCCTTCTTGTCGCTTGCGCTGTGCCCGCTGCTCCTTCGTTTCCTCCACGGTTTCCTTCTTTATCTGGAGTCCCTCAATGGCCCTATGCAGCATATCCATGCGTCTGAAGTTCTCAGTAAACAGTGTACGGCTCTGCTGAGTAAGAAGTTGCAGGTAACTTGTGGGTACCAGCAAATGCAAGTTGTCCCCCTCGCCGTAGCCGATAGGACATCCAATGTTGAGCGAGATGCGGATCGCCACGTTGTTGTTACTACCGATCCCGCTTTCTCTGAATCCACAGCCCATAGCCGTCGAATAAAGAGCCTGAGCGGCCAACAAAGACCGACATTGGACATGCAAAATCATAGCCTCATACTTAAACAGAATCAGACTGGTCTGGGGTGCCACGTGGCCCAGCCACTCCTCGGCCATCTTGTCGTCCTGTCCAAACACCTTCTTCTCCCACCCCTCAATCTCCTTAGGATCATGCGACACAAAAAGCCACTTGCCTCCGCCCTTTCCAGTAACCTTCCCGCCCTCCTCAACGCCCTTCTCGCCCTCCAGAAACACAGACACCCGTCCAGAACAGCTGCTGGTGGTGACAAAGTCGTCCAGACCGTTGATGGTTGCAATCAACGGCTTCAGAAACTCGTCGATCGTGCCCTTGGGCGAGTCGTCCGGGTTGTCTTCGCTGTTGAGCGAAATCTGCTCCAGAATATATGCTTTTTTCTGTGCAAACGAATCCATTGTGTTGTATGATGGTCGTGATCTAAAAAAAAAAAAAAATTGGAGAGGAGTGCATATTTTCATGCATAATTGGAAAACGCTATTGAAAGATGACGGTGTCTGTAACTTGGACAAAAATGAACATGGAGCAGATATAGAAACGGTAACCAGTTGATAATGGATTGAAGACCCATATATGATTTTTTTTATCCCAATATGACACTTCCATTACCTACATCTTGGATACAACTCAACTGATAACAAAACTCAAATTGAACTATAACCAAAATGGAAAAAATAAAGAATAAAAAATAAAAAAATCCATATTAGAGGACTAGAGCCCAAATTGAGAGAATGTATGACCGATTACTTAGATAAACTGTTAGATGTCCAAAATTTCACTTATTTCGCCCTTAATTTCTCTCTTTCCTCTCTCAAATACCACATCAGGATCCCCAGAAAATACCCACAGCCATCATAGTATAGTGGTTAGTACACCACGTTGTGGTTCATTCTTGCAATTCCGTGGAAACCTCAGTTCGATTCTGGGTGATGGCAGCGCTGTTGACGCTCTTCTTTTTGTGAAGTTCGTCCCATTTGCACTTTTTTGGTCCTCCCTCTATGGCGTCTTCGTGGGTTCCCATGCGTAACACTTGGTAGCCACAGTTGTAGATAAATCACCTCCTCTGCCATACAGGTACATACTGTAATAACAATTTCTATATGCAATGCTATTTATCGTACAAGCCATCAATGTTCATTTTCGTGTCCATTATGCCCTCCAGATCCCACTCCAGATGCGTCACAGGAATGCTAATGCCCATAGCAGCCATGCTTCGCCGACTTTTGCGGCCAGTGAGCTGAGCCTGTTGTATCTCAAACTGGTTCTGGTAAAACAAGTCCGCCTGAGCCATGCTTCGGAGATAGGGCAGGATCTGGGCCCTGGTCGTGGCCATAGACACGGTGTTGATCTGCGAATAGTAGATCATGTCGTCAAACAGCAGATTCTTTAGCCCCACCCGGTCTGCATAGCTGTTTAGGGTAGCCACCTTACCATCTCGAGTCTTATCTCCCAAACTCAGCCCCTCCATCATATCAACCAACTCCCACTCCAGAGCATCAGACTCCCCAATAGAGTCTTCTTCGAGACACCGCCAACCCAAGGGAGTATCATGTGCAAGTGCAGAATGCTCATCAGACGACATGGTCTGGTTAAGTTCACTGTGAAAGCTGTTGGAGTAAATGTCGTAGATGCTGGCATTGTCGTAGGTTTCTAGGAGGGAGTGGATTGTGTTATGTGACTCTTCAGAAGCCGATTTCTCATTCACCTCACCTCGTTCAACGCCCACAAACATATCTCCACTAACTACTCTCTTTCCCTGACCCTCACTTATTGGAATTACCCAGTTGAAACCTCCCAGAGGATCACCGACACCCATCTGGCACCACAACTGCAGATGGTTGATTGTCTGACGGACATCGTGTGAATACCTGCTCAGTAACTGAACAATGTCAGCTGTAGATACCTCGTAGCCTTCACACAGACACAACAGAGAGAGATAGGTAGGAAGGATTCCTCTGGATACAGCAATCTGAGGTGTGACATTTCTCGCAGGCGGAGACGAAGGGGGTTCAGCCGATTCACATGACTTGATACCTTGGACTGGGGCTGAAGAGTCGACTAGCTCAGTATCGAGTCTCTCGAAAATCTCCCAAACAACATGGCCTTCAAAACTAGGTGGAAACTCACGCTCGATGGTGACATCACTTGTGGTGACCACCACAGGCACCTTGCTCTTCTCCAGAACCTTTTCCAGCACACTCCAGAACCCCTTTTCATCTTCATACAGCACATCAACGTCCTCAATCAGAATGATGCACGATTTCTGTTTGTGATTGACGAGCTGAGATCCTCCTAGTCCTTGTAATGCCGACATGAGCTCCTTCTGGGTCCGTCGCGTCGTCGCGTTCAACTTGAACACAAACAAATCGAGTTCTGCACATGCTGCAATCAATGAAGCCTTTTTCCCAGAGCTTGTGGGACCAGACAAAACCAGCAAAAGAGGGTCTGTTTCGGTGATATTGTCGTAGATCATAACCGCATCGTCATCGACGATGAAGCCTGACGAAGGAGTCGCATGAGGACTTTTGACAAGACATGAACGTCTCGAAAGCCGTATCTTGAGCCAAGAGACGATGTTGGACACATGCTTGGAGCTTCCAACCAGTTCATGACGCGACCGAGGTCGGTACTTGTCCACCCACATTTGCGTTTCTCTATCAGCAGTGTCGAAAGCTGACAAAGTCGTCACTCTGGATAGGAGGCTCTGAATGGCTGAATTGGAAGTCAGATCACCACATATTTCGCGTGAAAGCTGTAAAATGCCATCACTCGAAAGTACATGACGATTAGGAAGATGCAACGAGGGTGTTTTCGACTTGAAAGAAACCATAGGAAGCTTCAGATCGATGGCGCCTTTCTTCGTCTTAGTTAGACGGTGGGAAGCACCCAACTCCCGGGAATATCGCTTCTGAAAGCTCAGTCGCTGGCTCTCAGGCGCATTGGTGACGTGACTGTCGGGAATCACGTGAAACATTGTGTGATTCGGGAACGGGGTTGTCAACTTCTTTTTCTCCTTCTTGACTCCAAACCAGGCTGATGGTGGGGGCTTCTTTGGTGCTCTAGAAACCGGTCCAATCGACTGGACCACGTGACTCTGTTTCTGAGCCTGCACAGATTGTGTTGCGGGTTGCGTCATCGTCTTTTCCGTCACGTGGCTCTGTTTCTTCTGTTTCTTTTGGAAAAACGGATGAACGACCTTCTTTGGAAGAGGCTTGTGATCAGCAATCAATCGAAGCTGATCCGGGGCGACTTTGAAGGTCAATTTGAGCTTCTCACGTGGTGGTGGCACTGCTACTCGGTCTGTGTCGCGTGACTGGTGCTGTTTGTCGGTCTCCAGTTGTTGTAGCACGTTGCTAGGAAGGGCAAACATGAGCTTGCCGGGGTGATGTGGATGTGATTCTTGGTTAGTCTGTGTTGGCTGGGCGATTTCAGCAACCGCAGCGAGTGGTGGATCATGTGGCACCGGCTCCGGGATGCCCCACAGGCTGTTGAGAGATGTCTGGCGTCCCTGTACCATCATTCTATCGGGTGGGATGGTTGGTAGGGATCAGACGCGTTCGTTTGACGCAGACGTGTATTATTGATTTTACAGTTTGGCGGCGGAGAAAAGAATATGGTCAGTGACTGGGGATGGGGGTGATTGAGGGGGTATTAACGATGGTGAAATGGTCTGTACAATTTGGCCAGTTGAAGTAAAATATGCCGACGGATTTTTGCAGCCGTTTTTGTTTTTAGGACTATTATTTTGTGTGTGTTTTTTGTTGCTTCTTTTGAATTATTACAATTATTTATTTACGCTATTTCAGTTTTAAATGGCAATTAAATAGATAGGTATGGAAGAGGAAGAGTAGGAGTCTTGGGGCGCGGTTGACCTCCAGAGTGTTTTTCTAGAACTTCAGAATTATTCTCCGACCCTGAATGTGCATTCAGAGTGGATCAAGTTCAACTCAGACAGTTCCCAGACAGTTCTCAGACCGTTCTCACAGTTCTCACAGTTCTTAGACAATTCTACTCGGACAGTTCTGCTCAGACAGCTCTACTCAGACAGCTCTACTCAGACGGAGCGATAGTCGAGGATTGGAAGAGTGTTACAACAGGTTTCGCTTCACACTTTTCAGTATTTCTACAAGAGTTATCAACTCCTTGACAAACTACAGTGTTCTACAACGGTTTCCACCTCCTCTATCAGTTTTACGAGTGTACCAAGTTTTCTACTTTCTACAGTACCAGACACTATATAGGCTTGAAAGGGATCTGAAACCCACTTTGACAACCACGATTGATGGCCAACAGCGCCTAGCTCCGGGTTGGTTACAAACATGGATCTCTTTCTCCTTCCATCTCCATACACACCTCTTATCGGAACATGTAAAGTTCCGGACTAACTTTGCGAGATGCAGGAATCAGACCATGGCGCCGATTTTCGTTGGTTTTTTTTTTTCACCATCAGCAAAAAAATGGCCAAGCGACCTCTAGGACTCAACAAGGCCAATAAGAGCAAGAAGAAGAAGCTCGACAGCGCCGAGAAGGCCGAAAAGGCGGTGGCCAAAGAAATCTCGCCCGAAAACGACGAATCGGCCGAGCCAGCGCCCGCTCTGACACTGGATGCCGATGAAGAAGACGACATGGGCCAATTGGAGAGTCTGTACAAAAACTGGACGTCGTCCGAGCGTGACTCACCCCGTATTCTCCACGGAGTGGTCCACGAGTGCGATTCGCTGCTCCAAAAGGCCAAGGGTGAGGGACTTCCCGCCCGTTTCCACGAGATCTACGCAGCGTCTCTGCTTGATCTGGCTGAATTTGCCGACAAGAAGAAGCCCGTGAAGAAGAAGAAGGTCAAGTCGGACGATGTGGCCCCGGAAACCTCGGACATGTTTGTGGACGCGGCTCTGGAGCGAGTCGAGACTGGTCTGGAGCAGTATCCAGAGGATGCCGGTCTGCTGTTTGTCAAGTCTAGAGCTCTCAAGCAGGATATCGACGAGAAGATGAGTGCTGTATCCAAGGAGGAGCGAAAAGAAACCGCCAAGAAGATGATTTCTCAGCTCAACAAGATCCTGGAAGTGTTCAAGCTGGCCCAGAAGCATGCCTCCACCGTGACTCCAGCGCAGTTGGATGTTGTGGAGGAGCTTATTGAGCTGTCTGGCGCTCTGGAGAGCGTAGTCAAGCAGTCGGACATTTCCGAAACCACCCTTGTTGCCTGCGAGAAGTTTTACAATGAGATTCTGGCCTCTGAGAAGGACGAAAACACCGTCAAGAAGGCCCATCGGGGTGTCGGTACCTGCAAGATGATCGTTGCCGACTCTCTGTTGGACCTGCTTGATGACGACGACGAAGACAATGACGACACCGTGGAGCTGGCCAAGAAGAACCTCAAGGCTGCCATCGAGCACTTTCAGAAGTCGGAGACCGACGAGGACGGAGAGTTCATGGTCACTCTGGCCGAAACCATGATCCAGTACGGCAATTTGTTCGAGACCGAGAGTGATGACCAGAAAAAGTGGTATGGAGAGGCCGTCAAGCGACTGCGGCAGGCCCAGCGACTGGGTGTTGGCAAGTACGACGAGATGATTCTGGAGCTGGAGGACGACTAATGTGCAGGTAGCATGTGTATAGAGAAGGTATGAATAATGACTGTAAATGCAGGACTTGTGAGATATCCTTTTGGAGAGCCATTGTCTGGGATCCACTTCCCCATACTTTTAGCAAGCTGGTAAACACATGACCGGTCCCCGCACAATGTACCGAGACACGCTCACTGACGGTTTAGCGTTTCACTACAGTCCGCTGAAGGTGTAATTGGAACAAAGACGTAGCAATGATCAAATAGCAAGCTGTTTTAATCGGACATATACGAGGATTCCCTGTGTGTGGATCTACTGCCATGCTTGATAACGCCATCTCAAGCGGCAGAGTGCGTTGGAATGCAGCAAGTATGCACCAGCTGCATGACTGCTTGTATGAGAGTACGAGATGGACGAGTAGTGTATGGTTTCTGGACATGTTTGTGGAGATGGAACTAGAATGGAGTTACTGACAGAGGAAAGCCGAGCAACCACTAGCTTCACAAGTGCTCTTCAGCATGTGCCATTCGGTGGGTCATCGTCTCGCGGTATTATTGCCGTCATATTCTCGACTGTTGACTAGAAGTAGAAGTAATTTGGTCGTAGTGGTTGCCTGAGGACTGTGCCCACAACGACTTGCTCTACGAGTAGAGACTTTGCGAGGGCGTCACGCTGTCAGCATCGCCGGTACAGAAGCAGATGCTGGTGCTTGGGGCCCGAGGGCCCTTACGGCTCTTTATTATACAAGTTAATTACATAACTATGACTTGTTTGACAGACAGTTGATTAATCAATATGGGCTAGGTTAGTTTCCAGAATGTGAGGGAAAAGGGATCGATCGCACTCACTAGTTGCAGCGTAACGCTTGCGCGACATGGGCTATCGTCGTGAATCGGAGTCCTTGCGTGTATAGACTAGATGGGGGGAAAGAGAGGTGGCAGCGCTAGCGAAACATCAAGAAAAGAATGAGCTGAGTGGTATGTCCACTTGTGAAGAAACAACTAAAGTGAGAAATAAGGGGGTATGCGAAGAGAGTCGGGGAGGTTCGACTTGGACAGGGAGCGTTTCGGTTCGGGGCATGAGTGCGATCACACGTCTGCTGGCGGGTCTTAAGAAAAGGAGCAAGAAGGGGGAAAAGTAAATGAGAGAGAGCAGGGAAGAGGAATAAGCGGAAGAGGAATAAGAGGAACTCGGAAAAGTGGAGGAAAAGAGCACCAACGGGTTCTGGAGTTAAGAAGAAGAACGGCAGAATAAAAAGTGAGTGTCAATAGAAGTGAACAAAACCTGAAAGAAAGAAATGTTCACGTGAATTTGAGGTCCAACACTGAAAAATCAATCAATAGAAACGAAGAGAAATCTGCGAAGAGAAAGAGAAAAAGGAATAAAGATGAAGGAGGAAAGAAAAAAAATGATGAGAGTTGGAGAGACGGTGGAAGAGAAAGGGGAGAACGAGCCAGCAGACAGGCAGAAGCGTAAATCGACGGAGAGTGGGAGTAAGGAAGAGAAACGGGAATGTGGAATGAAAGGAAGAGAAACGAGAGAAACGAGAGAAACGAGAGAAGTGAGAGAAGAAACGGGAGAAAATGGAGAAAGGAAATAAAGGAGAAAAGGAGAGGAAATGCAGGGAAACGAAACGAACATAGCTGTGTCGCGCAAGGGGAGCTAGGTGAGTATGTGGATTGGGTGAGTATGTGGATGAGAATGCGAAGGGGTATCGAGTGGGTGTCAACGAAACCTCCATTTTACGAGTGTACTCTCAGCTGAGTGTACAAATACTCGCACCGAAAGAGGAGGGAAAATCGAAAGAAAAATGAGAAAAACAATTAAAAGTAAAGACGAAGACCAAAAATGTTGTGGCGGGGTATGAGGTCACTGAAGGAATGCATATAGATGCTGTGAACGTCCGTCCAGAGGGGCAACGCTAAAATGACCAACAGGAACAACAGGAACAAGATAAACAAAGAGGAACAAGGAAACAGTGATAAGTTGTGCATAGCAAGTTGCAGCATCTGCTCCGGCTGTGATCAAAGGAATGATTTCAGGCAATCAATCACATGTCGCGTATTCTGGGAAAAGTCTTCAGAGTCGGGGGAAGACAAGACGGCGGCGACAAGACATGTCTAGCGACGGACAGACATGGTGGACTGGACTGTAGAAGGAACTCGCAGGGTCGTTGGTGAGTTTTCTTCTTTTTGTTGTTTTTGTTGGTTTGAAATATTTTGGGGGAAAAAACACGGTCCTTTTTCGACCTTCACCAAGAAGGGATTCACTCGGAATATATACTGCCCTACACTGGGAAGCGGCAATAACTAACAAAGTTTCGGCTGGTCGCAGTTACATTAGTATAAGTATAAAAGACCTATAGATGTGATAAAGGAGGGACGAAACTGGCCACTTTTTGGTATCTACTTGAAGCTGGGATTGTTTGGTGTTCTTCCATCAAATCAGATTGGCGCCATCTCGTCCATGGAACAAGTTATTAGTCCTGGAGGACCCGATGGTTACAGCTGATTAACATTCCAATGTCCCACTGGTCGCCAAACTGTACTTTACTGTACAGCAGTTAAGACAGACCCATGCTGAGACCCACCGCCAGCTTTGCCCCGAACATGTCTTAGGGTGTATTTGGCGGCGGCGTGTATTATAATGTGGGGGATGTGTGGGGCGGGGTCACGTGATACCGCGTTGCCAGCCCGCCTCCAGCGACGTTTCAGCGGTACTGTACTGTACTGTACCAAAAAAGGCGCATTTTGCGTCTACCGACAGGTGGCGGCCACGTTCAAAAATGATCCCATTTCGTTGCACCAAAACACAAGTTTTTTTTCTTTGAAAGCAACCCCAAACGCTCCGAATACGCACAGGAAAAAATCATAGATACAACGTTGGCAGGGACACGCCGGGAACAGGCCGGAAACAGGCCGGAAACAGGAGTACAACCGTACAGCGGAGTACCCGCACAACAAATGGGGAATCAAAACCGGGTATCTTGATTGGAATCTGCGATTACGCGTCAGGCAGAGTCCGGGCGCTCACAGCGTCAGAAACTGCGGGAATCCATCTACAGATCGTGTACGGTACACTGCTTGGAGGGTATGCGCAAGAGCACGATATTCGCACTACAGCAATAGCGAAATGGTGTCTGTTTGGTGGGCACGTATAATGAGCAATGTCGAGACGAGGAACCCTAGCCACGTACTGTCGAAAGAAAGAATAAAAAAAATGAAAAAATCGGAAGCTTAAAAACGGCACCAGATGTGCATCGAGGGAATTTCTTTTTGGTTCCAGAGATGCGTTATCGAGTTGTCGAGCAAAGGCCGTGGCGGGTCGCCGGAAGATTGTTTCCGTCCGCATGCCAGAGGCTAGCCGAGATGGATCAGCAGAATCAAGGGGGAGGTGGAATGACACAGGATTACTGTAGAGGGTTACTGTAGAGGGTTACTGTAGGTTGGGAAGTTGGAGTTTGGGGATGGAGGGGTTGGAGGGGTTGGAGGGGAGTGAGTGGAGGGAAAGAGTACAACTGGCAAGAAAAACAGGTATAATGGTCAACTGAAAGAATGTCAACGAAGTCTCAGAATCAGAACCAGTGAAATGAACAGGATCGAGGACAGAACAAAAATCTGAAGTATGGAACAGTACTTAGAAGAATCGCAAGTATCAACAATAGTCATCAAATATCATTCATTCATCAATCAATCGAGGTCGTATCGTAGAGAGCTCGTATCGCGCCCAAGACCAGGCTGAACATGTGCGTCGTGTCGGACTCGAGCCGCGGTGGCGTGTTCATTACCTGGTCAGAGGAGAGGAGACAAGGATAAAGCCATTGTCGTTTCGTTTCAGCGTTGTGAACGGTGTCGGGGCTCTAGAAAACGGGGTTAGACGTCAGATTGATTAGATCAGATCTGAAATGAAAAGAAAAGAGAGAGAGAGAGAGAGAGAGAGAGAAAAGAAAAGAAAAGAGAAAGAAAAGAAAGAAAAAGACAACTTGTCTAGCGATGTTGGCGATAGGAGATGGTGTACAGTGGTGTACACTCGATAGGCTCTGGTAAGTTGATTAGGTGAGAAAAGAAAAAAATCGGAAAAATCGGAAAAATCGGAGACATCGAAAACATCGAAAACATCGAAAATCGAAAATCGAAAATATCGGAAAAAGCGTGTGTGAGAAAAATAAATAAAAACATCGAGAAGAGGCCCTGGGACCGTTAGTATCTGTAAAGGGTGAGTAAAAGAAAACAAATAGTCACAAAAAAAGCAAGTGGTGAGCAGACTTGATCAGGAGTAGAAAGACACAACCGACATCGCTGAGGCAGGTTGTAGCTTGTGAATCAAGGCCAAATCTGAAGAGAAAGTCTAGGCAAGTAGCCACAGCCAGAAAGATGTGACCACATGACGGAATGGAGTCAAGGCTGAACGGTAATAATGCATTGGATGGGGAGATGAAGGAAGTAGCTGCTATGGAGCTAGAGCGTGAAAAGGGTATGTGCTCATTAGCGCAAGAGGTCGAGACAGTGAGGAATAACATGAAGGAAGAAAACAAACAGATGTGAAAATAAAAAGGAAAAGATAAGAAAAAAGAACCACACAAGACTAGTCCGTGAAGACGTCTTGTCAGATCCAAGTGTTGCGGCCGAGACAACGGCGACTGGCTGTCGTATGTGCTGGAGAACCAGGGCCAGTTCCAAAGACAAAGATATATCTCAAAAGGGAGATTCAAGATAATACAGGGGCTGGAAACGACTCGGATGGACTTCGGGACTGTTATTACGGGGGTGTAAAACAGCCTCGTCTAGGTAGGTGTAGTCGAAAAAGTCGAGAGCGAGATCGTAAGTGTTGCGGCTGTCATTTTCGCCTGCAGACATCGGCTGTTGGGTGAAAACTCGTTGGAGGCGGTCGTCTAAACACACCCAACACAGATGGGTGGGAGGAGGTATATAAATATCGCTTTGAATGCTTGTCTGTCATATCAGGCCCCGCTTTGAAACTCTGATGTATATTAACCTCTGATCTTTTTGAAACCTTTTTAACCTGGTCACCAGTGATCGAAAACTGAAGGTGTCCTGATAAAAAGGGTCTCTGTGGGTCTATTTTGAATTCTAAAGACATTGAAAGACTCTCTAAAACCCCGATAATACTCTCTAGCTGCCAGTTTCAGCACATCTTTTCTGGATCGTTCACAAAATGGACTCTTGTGTACACCTTGCTATGCCATTCCGATCCATGTTGTGCATGATTTCAAACCTTATCGGGACCAACTCCTTAACATATCGCGACATTTAACATCTGAGCGTTATTGATGACGTAGCTCCTGAACGAACATTAGACGCTCTTGGCACATGAATGGGCCCACTTAGGGTTTTTTTATGAGCGCAGGCCGGGTTCCGCGTTCCCATTTGTTTGCCAATCAACTGGACCTCATCATCTTCCTACTTGTATGTGGTTAATCAAACTGTTGTATGGATTAGGAAAATCGACCAAAATTCATTTACCGTATTTGTAGGAGAAGAAAAACAGTTTTGAATGGTGTGCAGAATCCGCAATTTTCTCTCCACAAGATAATAATGTCTCCACTATCGTATAAATGTCGATACGACAGTTTTGCTCTTAATTCTACCGGTCCCCATGTCTGAGGCAGATCCTTCCTGCAACATGAGTGATCGGGTTGTGCAAGTCCGAGGTTCGAGATGGCGAACATTTTCGATACTTTAACCGGAAAACGGGATGTCTGAATCGAATGAAAAAAACATTTGTACTTGAGTTATATATATTCTTTTCTTTTCTTTTGTTTCGAGATATTATTGTGCTTCTGTAGTTCCCCGATCAGCACATCCCCACATCAGAGAGCTAGATTTATTTATTTATTTATTTAAAAAAAAAAAAACAACCAGATCAGGTGTGTTCGAATCCCACAGGAGTCAACCCTGTCTTGAAAAAGATACTGGCCGGCCGAAAAATATCGTGAATGGCTTGCAAATTGAATGAACCACTCTGATGATTGGTTGGTCTACAGAAGGACCGTTTTTGGTTTCGTGTTATTGCAGCTTTTATGCCCATTCACACGAACAGCAATCCATGTCCCCTGCTATGGTGATCGGGACAGCACCGTTTTTCGATGTGTGCTGTTTTGATGCAGCGAATTGGGATTCTTTGGCAATGGTCCTCTACAAGTAGGAGCGAACTTCCCGTTTCCATGAAACGAAGGTGTTTTTTGTTTGATTTGATTTGATTTGATTTGATTTTGAAAGTCGTTTGCCATCGTTATCAGAGGTGATGTTAGTCAGCCCAGTGAAATCGATGAAATTGACGAAATCAACCAAATCGACATCATCGTTGACAACACGTCAATAGCTACATATACCGGTACAGTACAGTACTATCGGTAGCTACTTCTGCTGTACCTGTACAGTAATCAGTACATAACCACCAACACTCCCTTGAGAACTAAATCTTGCATTTATACATTTATATTCTATCGTGAATGGTCCAAAAACCGAGCCACGGCGATAAGAAATCTCATAAGCCAAGCCAAACCCGACTCTGACCGGGGAAATCAACCCTCCGTTATCAATGTCGTTGCCCAAAAACGCCAATCAAAATAGATCACTGATAAGTGTGACAGGTGCCGACAGCAATTATCTCCCGATATCAGTCTTATTAAACTTTCATATCAAAGTCGCTCCATGTTGCCGCCTTCAATACCGCAATTTTTTGCGCCACACAAAAATGCTCCTAGAGACGGTATCCCAGGTCCTATTGTAAATATAAACATACCATAAAGACCAGGGGAATCTGGAAAATATCATGGGCCTAAATTATTCCCGTCATAACAACCGAATCACATGGCGATGCCACCCCCCTCAAACCCCATACATGCACATCCGAAACTCTATCTAAAAACACCTCTCGTCCAAACACCTCCGAATCACGTGATCTTGCTAGTAAAACCACTCGAATCACTCTCTAAATCTCGTTTGATTGCCTAAACTACTTCTATTCCTTGTTTGTTTGTTTTTTTCTCGTCTCACCCCACATTGTCCTCAACCCTATAATTCATAGTTCCGCCGCATCCATGCCAGCAACCCTGCACTATATTAACCGACGACGTCCCTCTCCAAAACCACCAAATCATGACAGATAAGACCCCGCTCGGGACTGCTGATCACTCAGAGACTGAGTTTGAACACGCAAAAAAAATCTACGAGGAACGACTTGAATCCAGCATTCTGCGGGCCTATGACCTTTTCCCTGCGCCAAAAGACACGCCAGAATGGCAAGTCCCAGATCAACTTCCCCTGGACGTGATTCCTCTGTTCCAAAGCCTGGTGGCACCTAGCGACATGGAAATTGTGTCCCTCGACGGCATTGACCTGATAACTAAGCTCAAAGATGGATCATTGAACTGTGTTCATGTCATTGGATGCTTTATTCGAGCAGCCATCACGGCCCACAAACTCGTCAATTGTCTCACCGAGGTGTTACCAGACCTCGCATTGAAGACAGCCAAACAATTGGACGCGGAACGCGACTCTCACGAAAAGTACGCGTTGTATGGACTTCCTATCTCTTTGAAGGAACTCATTTCCCTGTCCGGATTGTCGTGCCATGCCCAGAACTCGTACCACATTGACCGGGTGGTGTCTCGTGACTCGACACTAGTCTCTTGTCTCTATTCTTCAGGTGCTATTCCCTATGTGCGGACCAATGGTCCTCAGATTCTCATGTCTGGTGAGTCTCATTCTCCTCTACATGGGTTCACTTTGAACCCTCACAACACGGTCTTGTCTTCTGGAGGCAGTTCTTCCGGTGAGGGAGCTTTGATTTCGATCGGTGTTTCAAAGCTCGGACTCGGAACTGATATTGGCGGCAGTGTTCGCGAGCCCGCTTCGTTCTGCGGCATCTACTCCCTTCGCCCCACATTTGGACGGTTATCAGAGACTGGTGTGGACATGATGATGGCTGGAAATGAGTCGATTAGATCAGTCTGCGGCCCCATGACCTCAGATCTGAGACTTATTGAAGCCTACATGAAGGACATGGGCTCCAAGGAGGTGTGGAGAATCGATCCCTCGGTCGACAGATGGGTGTGGAGAACTCTTGACTACGGTCACATGAAGAAGCTACGAGTCGGCTACTGTATTGACGACGGCTTTGTCAAGGCCTTCCCGCCCATTCAAAAGGGTATTCTCAAGCTGGTTGAGCAGCTCAAGGGATCTGCGTTTGAAGGAATGGAGGTAGAGCTCACCCTCTACCATCCCCCTAGCATTGCCACTGCCAACAAGCTGCTCGATGCCTTTTACTTCCCCGACGGATGTGAGCGGATCAAGAACCACTTCTACCGTTTCAAGGAGCCCATCACTCCCCAGACCCAGGACATTCTTGACGGCGCAAGGGGGTACACTTTTGAGGAGCTGTGGAAGATGCATCAACAAAGAGACGAGTTTCGAATGGACTTCCACCAGGATTTCACTTCCAAGTTCGACGTGGTCATCTACCCTGTCAATAACTCCGTCGCTCCTGTTTTCCACACCTCCAAAAACCTCATGTATTGCGGAATCTGGAACCTCATGGACTACCCGGCTGTGGTGGTTCCTACAGGCGCCAAAGTATGCGATTTCAGCTACGAGAAGACGACTGAGTTCAGAAGCGAGCTGGAAAAGCTGTGCTGGAAGCCCTGGACGGAAAATGGTGCGGACATCTACAAAAATGCCCCTGTTTGTGTCCAGATTGTTGCTCCTCGGTGGGAGGACGAGTTGGCTGTCAACGTCGCCAAGTGGGTGGACCACAAGGTGAACAAAAAGCACTGGAGTGAGTAAAAGAGTTGTTCGTCGAATTTCCTGACTACCTCAGCACGCTAACTACTTGGCGTACAGTAATTGTCGCTATTATACTGCTGACAAAGTGCTTCAAACGCACTGGGTGTACTCGAGTATTGTACTTGTAACAAGAATTGGAAGTAAAATACACAAGACTGTAGTTTTAGTTCCAACCTCGTACTTGTAGTTGCCGTATTGAACAAGGTGGGATCGTAAGTTGGAATCTCTTCCGAACGAGTGGTGCTGAAAGCAACTGCACTTTCACCCACCTAAGCTGCTGTTATGGCACATATCGAAAGCCACACTTGGGAGAGATGAGCTCAAAAAAATGAAGTTCCTGTCGGAATCCGCTATTCAAGCGAAATTATTGTCTGTTAGCACTTTTACGATAGCCCATGTGCACCTCTAGAAATAAACGCATCATACCAGCCAAGATCGATTACCACCGCGAGATACACTCCACCACGCCAATCAGACAGGTTCCTTCCTCTCCCATCATCGAATCATAACTTCATCTTATCTTTACTATATACATGCTCTGTCTGTTTCCCCGTGTGCTTTGATTCTCTGTCTCGTCCAGGCCTCTAGTTAACAATCTCCACGCCAACAGAAAGCGCAGTTCCACAGAGGGACTTGCAAATGTTTTCAAGAGGCTGGTCCTTGTGTCGCGAGTCCATCTTCTTGATCTTAGCCAGCTCGTAAATGTGTTTGAGAGACAGCTGGCCAACGGGCTGATCCCGGCCAGGCTTGTATTTGGCAGCTCCCTTCTCGGCCCCGGCGGCTCGCAGAAGCAGGAAGGCGGTCTGGGGCGATTTGAGCTCGAACGAGAAGGTTCGGTCGGGCTTGATGGTCAACACAACAGGAATGGGAATGTTGTCCTGGTAATGGGCCGTCTTGGCGTTGAACTCCTTGCAGAAATCAATGGCCTTGACACCCTTGGATCCAAGCACGGGTCCGACGGGAGGCTGGGGCTTGGCGGCACCGGCGCCAACGATGATTTTCACAATGGTGTTTGCAGTCTGGACCGCTTTTTTGGGAGCCATGGTGGTGGTGATGTTGAGAGTGGAATGAGCTGCAGGTGAAATTTCACTTTAGAGTTGGTTACCCGGGAGTGGGAAGGGTTGTGGTGCATTTTTTGAACATGTTTGATTTTGATGCGAAAAGTCCTAAACCAATACTAAGCGAGGCACAAAAAATGTCTGTCAACTTGTTTATTCTCTTGCGCAGCTGTTTGAGCCAGTAGATGATGATTTTAAATCTGGTGAGAGATAAGGTTGGTCTCGAAACCTTATTTGAACCGATATTTGGAGAGATTTGAGCGGGTAATAATGAGAATATTTGTGTGACAATTGATAGCTATTGTTGTAATGTTGAAGTAATACCCAAGTCTAGTTTGGTCTGTGTCTTTTCCAGACTTCTCCAATGAAGTTTTCTCCAGTCACCACCACCTAAATTTAGTTACATTTTACTTGGGGTTGTAACCAGTACAGTTGAGGGTTGTGAGACTGAGATGAAGCGTCATAGTGCTAAACGGATATATAACACCAATATGAATCCAAGGATGGGCCATATAACAGACTAAACGGTATTCTATCTGTTGTATACTCTGTTTTATACTACTCTTGTGGATTATGGAACCCTTACCGTGATTCCACTTTCAACTATGGTAAAGTGATGAACATGGTAGTTATCAAACATGGTATGAACATGGTACAGTACATACTGTAGTTATAAAACATGTAGTGATAAACAGGGTAAAGTGATGAAACAATGTCAAAATTAATATTACTCTGTTGTCCTAGCTCTGATGAACTGAACTATCAACTTCTCATCTTCCTAGCATCTCTGTGAGACGAATTGGATTCCACACGTTTGTAGATAGCAGCGACGTGTGCAGATATCAGCTGCTAAATATAAGAACCAGACACAAGCTCAGTCCAGAGATTTCTTCTAGAATCCTACGCAAGATAATGTATCATTCAATCCCACTTACAAATAATCATCTGATTGGTTCCCCACCCCTCCGTCTCAACTTCCCTTACAGTCAATTGTTGTGTTTCAGATCAACCCCTGTTTCACAGTTGGCTTTAGTTAACTCCGGAAGGCTCCACATAAACTGAAGCCAGACTACAAATCGCACTAGTGCTACAATCACGATTCAAAGAAGCCCAACTTGTTCACCACGGCAAATAAACCCTAACAATTGTTTCCCTGTTCTTTTATAGCCTCCAAATCCACTTGCACTATACACCTTCCTTTACCACCTCCCTCACTAGACTCTACTTAATCTTCAAGTGAAATTTCTTAACTCCGTTGTTGAACCCAAAAACCACCACTTAGTAAGCCACATCTGCCGCCTCACTCAAGGGAAATACACACAAAATGGGGATGCTCACTTTTGTCACCGTCGACCCGGTCTCACTCACCTACAAGCACTCGAGAAGAACAATTCCCATTCGGTCGCCAATGTCCGAAAAACCCTAACCCTACCACAAATAAGCCTTTGCCACTTCCTTGCACTGTGGGGTGAGTGGTGTGTCTCCACATACACGAGATAGAGAGACGTGGACGGAACGTCGAAAACGCAGTGGTATCTACGACAACAGCAACCAGGCGATCACGTGACCCACGACCGAACGAAAGCACGTGACAGATCAATTTCAGAAGCCGCGTGAAACTCCACGCAAACCAGACGGGAACAGCAGACACACACACACACACACACACACACACAATAACGCACGATACTAACGATGCTCAAGCTATTTCGACGAAACAGTAAAGATGAAGCCAAAGGCCATCCGATGCTGGCCAACAACAACGGGCTGCCTGTGACCGACTCGCCACTGTCATCGTTTGCTGTGGGCGTTACGGAGGACAAAAACTCGCGGTGTAGACGGACCATGGAGGATTATCATGTGGCTGCACACAACATTTGCGGCACGCCCGATTCGGGGCTGTTTGCAGTATTTGACGGACATGCGGGCAAACAAGCGGCTGAGTACTGCGCAACGGCAGTTGTCAGTGAGGTGGAAAGTCTGATTATGGAGTCTGAGGGATTCAAAAGCGAAGACTCTGCAACCGAAGACCCTGAAGTCGTGCAGGAGGAGGGGCTGGAGCACCAGGACAATGACAAGAGCTCGAAGACTGTGCCAGAGCTGCTTAATCTTGCCTTCATGGCCATTGACCGGTCAATTGAGCAGAAGAACCTGAATTCCGGATGCACAGCAGCAGTGGCTCTGTTGAGATGGGAGGATTCTCGAGGAAAGCCCGTGACGGTGTCTTCTGATCACTCACCCAAGGACTACACTCCCGTGTTTCCCCGTGCTCCATTGTCCGAGTGCAAGCGCAAGCTGTACACTGCCAACGTGGGAGACACTCGGTTGATTTTGTGTCGAGCAGGCAAGGCCCTTAGGCTGAGCTACGATCACAAGGGCACCGATCTCCATGAGTCTAAACGAGTCACCAACAACGGCGGAATGATGATCAGCAATCGGGTCAACGGAATGCTTGCTGTTACCCGTGCTCTGGGAGACACGTATTTGAAGCAGTTTATTATTGGTAACCCATACACGACCGAGACGGAAATCATTGCTGATGACGAGTTTCTGATTGTGGCTTGTGACGGACTGTGGGACGTTTGTGATGATCAGAAGGCTTGTGATCTGGTGAGTGGACTAGAAGATCCTGTTGAGGGAAGCCGAATACTGGTGGAGTTTGCTCTGGAGAACTTTAGCACAGATAATTTGACTGTGATGGTGGTGAAATTGCGATAAGTGGCAAAGGCAGGGTGACGAAATAGCTGTGTTTGAAGCGCATGTCGGACAGCCTCCTCCGAGCTGTGTTCTTTTGAGGCTATCCTAGCAGTTTTTCTGAAAGCTGCCTGTATTTGTCTAACTGTGACCAACCATCAGGTCAGCTTCATCTGACTTCCTTGTCTGAGGTACAGCTTCAATCATACAACACAAAAGCTTCTGTTTCCATTCTTCAAGTCTTGCCCACTTGTTGATGGTATTCTTCGCACCTTTCATGCTCCTCGTTGGACCGAAAATGCTCCCCTTCATCACCGGAACCTGTATAGCCAATACACTAAGTTATTTGACTGTCATTGGAGTAGATCCTCCATTACTGAAGCAACAAGTACAAGTAATGATCTCTGGCAATTGTAGTCAGAAGCGGGATTATAAGTACAGTTGTATTGTGACTAAATTTCTCCAACAAGTCACCTCCCTGATCGTCTACCATGAACGGATGGATGGATGCTCAAGGTGTAAGACATGTCTCGATGAATGCCATGGCAGGTGGCTGTCAGTGTATGGAATAGTCGAGTCTTTCCGTATCGACAGTGGCTTCGTTCTCAGTCTACAGCTATGTACCAAGTTACAAGCACTGTACTGTACATACTCGAACAAGTACAGTGCCTGTACGTGTGCCTTCTATAATTCTCAATGTATATAAATAAATAAAACCGTCAATAGACGACATCGGATCACCGTCAGAACCTGACTTATTGATCATACGAGACGAAATCAAAGCCGTCCCCAAACAGCCCCTCCATATCGTCGTCTGCGATTCCCGTAGTGTTGCCTGCGTTGTTTCCGCCTCCGTTTTCTCCATCCGCCAGGAGGTTGGACAGCTCGTCGTCCATCATGATTCCGTCCTTGTTTCCGTCCTTGCCATCGCCTAGCATGGCGTTGATATCCACGTCGTTGCTGCCAAAGTCGTCGAATGCGCCGTCTAGGTCAATGGCGTGTGATGCGTCCATGCCATCGATGGTGAACTCCTTGGAGTCTTCCGTTTCCGCAGGCTCCGTCTTCACGGTCACCTCGGGCTCGGACTCGGCCTTGACCTTTTCATTCTGAACCAGCCCTAGCCGGTGCTTTTCGAGCTCCAGAAACTCCAGAGCTGACTCAATGTTGACACTCATGTGGTCCAATGCAGAGTTGAAGCCGGCCACAGACTTGTCCATTTGCGACTGCAGCAGCGTGGGAGGGTTGGGGAGAGGTTTCATGGGCACGCCCTGTTGACTAAGAAACGCCAGAAGGTGGCCAGCCCCCACGAGCACCTGTTTTGTGGTTTGCTGGATTTGTTCTTCCATTAGGAGTCGTTAGTTATGAGGGTCTCACTGTACTTGTGCCAGGGTAGAGACCTGTGAAAAGTTGTGTGGGTCGGAGTGTAGAAAGTTGTGTGGGTCGGAGTGGAGCAAGTTTGTGTCTGCTGGGCCGTTCTGTTTGCGTCAGGTCAAATATATCTTCTTGGAGCGATCGTGAGTCTTGGGTGTAACTGTTTATCATAAACCCTCTGCTCCATTAATGAACGACAATCTAATTTCTGCGTCTGCTTGTCTCTGGGAGTTGGGAGCTTGTTTGTTCGAATCTCGGTTGTGGTGAATATAATCGTCGAATAACAATGACGGTTGGAAGCCCCTGAGGTGTTGCTTGGAAGACTCGTACTCATCCAAGCCCATCCAAGCCCATCCAAGCCCATCAAAGTGTCTTGTTACCCTCCTCAAAGCTCACATTCCAGCATTCATGTTGTCATAAATGAGACTCATAGGCTTTGAAGGCGTACATGATCAGATCGATCTTACCTCAACGGCGTATCTTCAATGTGAGAACAAGTATGAGAAATGTCAGCTTGAGCTTGGAAATTCGCACCATGGTACAAGTCGTACTCGTACTGTACTGTACATACTCAAACAAGCATGCCCATATGAGCATGTGTGTTACAAGTATGCACGTACATACTGTACTTCCAGTAGTGACCAGAACAAGTATGTATCAGATGTCTCTACATCCAGTGATTGAGAGATCCGATTCAGAAGAAAATAGTACCATTATATTCCCCATGGCTAGGGGAATAGTTTAGTGTGATAATATCCACTCATTTCCCCCCAAAGGTCCTCCTTACCAGACCCTTCTAGCCAGCTCCGCTCCACATGCTCTGTTGATTTTGGGTTGGGACAGTTGAGAGTCAATTGCACCTAGCACCTAGAACCAGATCGTTGCGCCTGTGTTTAGAGTTTCGGACTTGGGAAGAGGGCTAGGGTTGCTCACGATTCCGCCGCTGATTGGCCACAACCTTTTCTCTCAAAACCCACCACGTTGAAAATACTCCCACTTTCAACACGACACCTTGCACTAACAACAACACAATGTTTTCTGTTGCTCGAACCGCCATCCGGGGTGCTGCCCGACCCGCCGTGCGAATTGCTCGACGAGGTTACGCCGAGACTGCTTCCGTCGACAAGCTTCGACTGACTCTCGCTCTTCCCCACGAGGTGAGTAATGTGGTGATGTGCTAACGACATGGAGGACGGGATGACACAGGCGACTGAGAACGTCCAGCGACACTGAGGAACCGAGACAATTGGTAGAAAATGACGACACAATTGAGGCTGCAATGCGAATTGACTGGGACAGAGGACATATAGTAGCGTGGTTTATTCGGTGTACCGAGTTATACAGACCGGTCAAGTCTGTGTGATGCGGTGGTGGTGGGAGGGAAGGAACGTGACTTGGCATGGCATGGCGTGGCGTGGCGCGTGGACTCTGCATGGTGGTGGAATTGGGTCGCAGGCAGCCGACTGGTCAATTGACCTTGTTTGTGCTCATGATCCACGCCACTGCCGGAAGCACAAGGAAACGCGGGAGACATCACCTCACATCACGACACCGTACCAACCACCCAATGTACAATGAACCACTCGCGAATTGAAGCTCCTCAAATGTTGTGATACCCAGCATTCCCTTTTGGCTCTGTTGCTGTCGACCCCAGGCGCCAGTATGTTCCAGTCGCGATGTCCGATCACACAAGGTCACAAAACTGGACGAACCTCATACTAACTCAGTCCATCTACAACCAGAAGGAGGTGACCCAGGTCAACATCCCTTCCACCGCTGGTGAGCTCGGTATTCTGGCTAACCACGTTCCCACCATCCAGCAGCTCAAGCCTGGTGTTGTCGAGGTCATTGAGACTAACGGTGAGACCAAGTCTTACTTCATCTCCGGTGGTTTCGCTACCGTTCAGCCCGACTCCGAGCTGTCCGTCAACTCCATTGAGGCTTTCCAGGCTGAGGACTTCTCCCCCGAGGCCATCAAGTCTCTGACCGCCGAGGCCCAGAAGAACGCCCAGTCTGCTGACGAGGCTGTTGCTGCTGAGGCCGAGATTGAGCTCGAGGTTCTTGAGGCTCTTGCCCACTTTGCCAAATAAGTTATGACATGATGAATCTGTAGACATAAAAGCGGCAACTTCCGTAACGTGTAATGACACCTGACGACTGTTTTTCGATTGAGACTGTATGGGGAGCTGTAGAGTGGTAGCATGGGTGTTCTAATAAATTGGAAAACGCCGCTGTAACCGGCTCTCTCAGGGCTATTTGTATCTCACTCCTCAACATGTCCGTTTTTATCGGCTCATCGTCGGCAACTGGGAGGTAAATTTGATTAACTTTTGGTCAGTCGGAAGTGAAATGTAAGGTGGTTGAGAAGGGGTTACAAAGTCGTGGAAACGTCGTGGAAAAGAGCCATGGTTTCATATATACCGTGGTATGACTGTCATGATCTCGTATATTAATTTTCATCTTACCACGACAAGTAATGGGTCGGTTGTGATCTGCTTTTTTGAACTTAAACAAACTGCTCAACTAGTTTCCCTTTAGTACAAGTACAAGTACTTGCATTTGACGTCTACTTATGCATCTTGTTTGGCGTGTGTATATGATCCGAATCTGACAGCAGTGATTTTTGACGGGGAAAAGCAATCGATAACATGGCACCAAGAACAATAACTCTGGCTTCCCTTCTTTTCCCCCATTCTAATCGGTTCTATGACCGCGGAACGCCCAACACTGCCAGTTGACAACGCTATGAGCTGAAAACTCACGAGAGCTGAATCAGGTATTGTGCACTACTTGTGCTTTGGTATTATAGCACTAATGGACGACAGAATGACGCAATAGTTACCCGACTACAGCCCCAAGGTGGACATGGCTTGCCACTATGCCAGCCTCCATTGTACTCTCCACCATACTAAACAATGATGTATGGGTCTACAAGTGCAAGGGTGGGAGAGTGGAAGCTCTAATATGGAGCAAAAGGACCAAGTAGGAATCATATGAAGCGTCTTAACAATGCACATGGATCCTTTTTAGTCCTTTTGCTAATTCTGGTGTTGTTTTGGGGTCGTTTCCGCACTCGTAACACATTCAGGGGTCTCGTCTCTAGATGATATATGGATTGGCTAAAATTTTGCACAGCTCACAAACTTCTCTCCACTCGTGTTTATTCCCTATCTCCATAAATCCTTTCTTTTTGCCTATACTCTCTATTCCTTACATAGATTAGTGAGCAGGAGAGAATGTTTGTCCGACGCCAATGATGATGTTGGAGACGTAGAGTAACCGTCAAAAGACCATAGCGGTGAGTAGAGAAGACCAACAGTTCAGTAGACGAAAAAACCGCCCTTGAATTGTCACTTTTGGCGCTTCCTGCCCACATTGTCCCCCACAATTTCCCCCCCTACTTACCTCTTCCAAGTTGACATCCCCAGAACAGCATAAACTGCAGTTTGGTCGAGTAGCCCAAAATTTATGGTCGGTACTGGTGAGGGAGAGTCCTAACCGTCAAGATGGTACATAAACCCGAGTGTTTTCCGAGTGGAGGATTCCCAAAATTTCCCTTTCGAGTCTACCATGTCTTCCGTCTCTTCCGAATGCCAGGGCCTGTCCTCCATTTCCGAAGCCTCTTTTTCCGAGGCCTCTTCCTCCAAGCCCGTCTATGTCTCCACCGCTTGCGGTTCTGACGATCCCATTACTGCCGACGACCTCTTTGGCGAGCCCCAGTCTGTCCCGATCTCTCCAAGTGAGTTGTTTACGAGCAGCTCTTCTAACCAAAGTCCTAACAACGACTTTGAAGAAGAGGCACCCAAAAGCTCCACCTCTCGATATGCTCTCCCAGACGAGTCTCCTAATGGCTATCAGACCCAGTCGACCTTCAACTCGTTTGTGAACCTGTTTCGCCTCAAGAAGGATCCGCCGACAACTCTGCCACTGGCGTCTCTGACAAGTACGAGGGGTCATAGGATGGACACTCCAAGTCCAACGCCTCCAGAGGTAGCCAGACTGAGAGCCGTGCCCCACTCATCGACTTACTCGTCTGAGTCGTCGCTCAACTCATCAACAACCCGGATCTCATCCTCCAGGTCCTCCGATGACGCCTCCACAGTCGATGGAAAGACCACACGCGCTACCCAGACGGACCAGATCTACGCGGGAGACTCGGGAATCATTCTCTCGACTTCCATAACATCTTCCCAGAGCTCTCAAGAACACTTTCGAGAACGATGTCGACGGTCTAACTGTGTCACATATATTGTCCAGTGGGACACAGAGAACGACCCCAGGTACCCATTCAACTGGCCCAACTACAAAAAGTACCTGGTTGTTGCTTCCCAGGCCCTATCTGCTATTGGCCCGCAAATGTGCAGCTCCATGTACGGACCAGCCGTTGCAAAGATCGAAGAGATGTTTGGAGTCGGTAAAGATGTCGCCATGCTCAGTACCACCGTCTACATGATGGGTATTGCTGTTGGGCCCATGTTCTGCGCGCCCATGACCGAGTCATTTGGCCGGAAGATTGGCGTCTTCTGGCCCTTCTTCGTCTCGCTCATCTTCACCTTTCTGACCGTCTCCGTCACCTCCTTCCCCACCTTTATGGTACTGCGATTCCTCTCTGGAGCTCTGTCTTCGCCTCCCATCCTGTCGTCCGGAGGAGCTCTCAAGGATATGTTCAAGCCCGAGCGACGGCCGTACGTGTTGCTTCTGTACGCCATTATTGTCGCTGGCGGCCCAGCCATGGGTCCCATTCTCGGCTCTCAGGTCATCAAGTGGACCGGCGACTTCAGACACTTGTCGCTCGTGGCCGGTATCTACCAACTCATCATTTGCACCTCCAACCTCATCTTCATGCCCGAGACTTACGCCCCTGTGATTCTGCAAAAGATTGTGCGGAACTTCAGTCTGGATGCCGGCGGACTGAGAAACCTGGTGACAGAACGAGACCTCGGAGGCCATGCCCGTGGTTTCTCAGTCAAGAACCTGTTGAGACCCTACCAAATCATGCTCACCCCGGTCATGCTGCCGCTGCAGATGTACGCCGCCATGATGTTCGGACTCATGTACATGGCCATCTCGCTGGTGCCCAACGCAGTCGTCAAGGAACACAACTGGACCCGAGACCGAGCGGCCTGGATCAACCTCAACTTCATTGCCGGCCTCATATGCGCCTCTGGAGGTATCGTCTGGTCAATCTGGTACTTCAACCGGATGCTCAAGAAGCACGGAGGAAGCAATAAGGAGCCCGAAAAGCGGCTCCTGATCATGCTGCCGGGGTCCCTGTTCCCTCCTATTGGATGCTTTCTGTGTTACGTCTTCTTTGACAAGACCTGGGCAATTTCGGTCGTGCTGCTTCTGTTCCTCGGTATCGGATTCTTCACCATTTTCCAGTCCACCCTCAACTACGTTGTTGACATCCACTCGGAGTACTCGGCCTCAGCTGTGTCTGCTCTGACGTTTCTGCGGTCCATTTTCGCCGGCGTCTTGCCATTTATCGGCATGGCGGCCATCGAACGGGTCTCTTTTGCCAAGCTGTGTTTCATTCTGGGCTTCATCACGACCGCAATGTGCGCTGTGCCGTGGTTCATTTTCAAATGGGGGCCTGGCCTGCGAGCGAGATCTGCTTTTGTTGACGTCTAGTGTCCAGCTAAGTAGATGTCAAGTGTAAGACGAAGACTGGTCAGAAAGAGACAGACGTTCTAACAAAACCCAACAAAAAACAACAAACATTAATTAACTGTGAAAATCCGCATAGAAACCAGCATAAAACATATAGCCCCAAATCAAATCAAATAGAATACTACTAGTAATACACTGTGAATTGTATTCTGGCTTGTAATATTACAAGAGAGAATAAATATACACCACTACAGTGTATATCAGTGAAGCAACATGTCTGAATAACTACGAGTAGGAAGTAGCACTGGTGGCTTGCATGGTGCTTGGATATCTAGATGGCCCTACGACACCAATTGTGCTTCCAGAGGACCGAAACTCCGGAAATCAATTGCAAAGAATCCTATAAACATTGTGCAAAAATCTGATGAAAAAAAAGTTCCTCTAAGCTGGTCGGTCCTCATCCCTCTTTCTCACCCCACGCCATCTGCATGCAGAGTAAATAGTGCAAAACCTCCGAAACACATCACACCATTCATCTCGCTCAATATTCCACCGATACGAATAAAAATTACACCATTAGAATTCTCAGAGATCCACCATGACATTGATACCCCCATACAAGTCATTACTCTGTTCATCACCCCCACACAGTCCGTCGTCTCTCGCAACTCTATCCCCATCTAACTCTTGACATCTCTTCATCTCCTAGCACCTTCCGAAGGCTTCAGCACCACCACACCATGAAGCGTGCTTTCGGTAGATTGAGCCCCCCTCTGCGTCATCTGACACAACCCCGCACCATGGCCACTACCGCGCGAACCACCACGCCTCTCAATCTCCAGATCGGCTGTTTGCAGCTCAAGCCCGAGATCGGGGAAGTCGACAAGAACATGGGAGTGGCCAACGAGCTCATCGACCGGTACTACGCCACTGCCAAGAAGGACGATAAGACCCCCAAGATTGATATCTTGATGCTCCCCGAAATGTCATTCACAGGTTACAACTTCGAGAGCCCCGAGAACCTCAAGCCATTCCGAGAAGAAACGGAGTCGTCCAAGTCGATCGAATGGGCTAGAGAGTGCGCCAAGAAGATCGACGGCCACGTGCTGGTCGGATACCCCGAGTTTAGCCCTCAAGACGATGCGACCTACAACTCTGTGTCCATGGTGTCTCCCAAGGGTGATATCCTCTTCACCTACCGAAAGTCGTTCCTGTACACCGCCGACGAGGCAATGGGCATGAGCGAGTCTCCCGACGGCTTCCAGACATACGGACCCTTCCCTTCTCTGTCTCAGGACATCCCTCTCAAGTTCCAGGTGGGAATTTGCATGGATATCAACCCCTACAAGTTTGAGTCTGCTCCTTCGGAGTACGAGTTTGGCAATTCAGTCAAGAAGAACAAGGTACCTCTGGTGCTGCTCCCAATGGCCTGGACTCACTCCAAGTCTCCCTCCCTAGTGCCCGTCAAGTCCTCCGACAAGATCCCTATGACTGAGGAGCAGGAGAAGACCCACAGCGAGCTCCGAAACGCCATTGTGCATAAGTGCACCATGCTGCACGGCAAGTCCACCTTTGATGGACTCATCACCGAGCCCAAGGAGATCCCCAAGTACAAGAACGAGGATCTGGCCACTTTCCACGACTACACTGCCGATGTCGACAACAAACTGCCTTTGGTGGACACCCTGCAGTACTGGATCGAGCGTCTGCAGCCCGTGTGGAACCAGAACACGGACGTGGACTTCCCGGTGACCATGGTGACTGCCAACAGAGTTGGATTCGAGCAGGGAGACGTCCTGTACGCTGGCTCGTCCATGTGCGCGGTTATGGATCCTCTTCAGCAGAAGATTTTTCTGCGAGGAGCTCTCTCAGCCGCTGATGAGGGTCTCATGGTGTTCAATGTTGATTTGAGCGTTCCCAACTAACAGCCTTAATGACTGTCAGTGAGTGAGATGTGTGTTCAGGATGTGTTGCAACAACACACCATCTATGTATATATGATATTTTTTTGTTTCAAAGACGTGTAGCCGGGTGGCTTGGCTCTTTGCATATATTTTCTCCTCTTTTCCAGCAGTTTTTATCAATTCTGAATCGACTTTTGACGTTGCTCAAAGAGCTCACATTCCTCAGAGGAATTCACATTCATACTGTGACTCAACTCTATACAAGCTACTGGAAACTAAAGAGATGATGTCGAAAAAACCTGTTGAAAGTGGATTTACGACATATAGGAGAATTGATATGGTCATCTAGACACTCTATAAGCCCTTCAATCCAACAGAAACTCACTCACACACACACACTCTCTCTCCGAGGTCAATAGGCCAATATGACAGGTGACGAGCTAAAAACGCAACAGTCGCGAATATTGCTGCGATCGAAAAACAAACAACACCATTCGACTCACCAAAACCGCGCGAGAATTTCCATATCGACAATTGTTTCCTTGCTAGCTGCCCAGATACACGTATTATCCCACCACCGGTTTGCCCCACCAACCTAAATCCTAACACGTACGCATCAGCAGCAGTACACGCTAGACTCAACCACATCACTATACACACAAAATGGTGCTCTCTACTCTGATTATGCGGGCCTCGGATGGCCTGCCTCTGTCGGCCAGCGTGGATGACGGCCAGGAGAACCTCAGCGAGCAGAAGAAGCAGTGCAAGCTCGTGACCCAGAAGCTGTCTGCCAACTCGGCCGACCGAGCCTCGATTGAAAGTGGCAACTACGTGATCCACTATCTGATGAAGGACGGAATCGTTTACTACTGCATCTCCGAGTCTTCGTACCCCCGCAAACTCGCCTTCAGCTACCTAGACGAGCTGGATCGGGAGTTCCAAAAGTCCCATGGCCAGGAGGCTCTCAAGGAGGGGGTGCGACCCTACAAGTTTGTGGAGTTCGACACGTTCATGCAGAAGACCAAGCGGGTGTACCAGGACACTCGAGCAACCCACAACCTCGACAAGCTCAACACGGAGCTGCAGGACGTGACTCGAGTCATGACCAAGAACATTGAGGATCTGCTGCACCGAGGCCACTCGCTGGATCACATGAGCGATCTTAGCAGCAACCTGCGGACCGAGAGCAAAAAGTACCGACGGGCTGCCCAGCGGATCAATTGGGAGGCCATGATCCGACAGTACATTCCCTTCATTGGAGTGGGTCTCATTGGTCTGTTTATGCTGTGGTGGATGCTCTTTTAAACAGGGGGACGCAGATGAGTCAATCATTTGGAAGATGGATGCCATCGACGACAGCCACGCCCGGGCTGAGAAGCTGTACTGAGGCTGTCTCAGCTCGCTGTGAACGGCTCGCTGAACGGGATATTGCTGGAGAAGCTGGATTTATACGATAGTAATATATTGATTGGGTGAGTTGCTACTGGAATGATTGGGAAAGCAGTACATACTATTAACCTGAAAGCAGTACATACTATTAACCTGTCCTTGCATGTCTCAAGAGTACTGGAGCTAGTTAGCTTCTGTTTTTTTAGAAGTATACCAAGGCTTGAAAAGCGCGAGTGTCGCTCGAATGTACTGTGTGAGTACAGGAGCTGCAAGATACAATGATTGGCGTGTATCAACTTGTTTGATTCTGTAATCCTTCCACTATTATCAAGGTCTTTTCATTACTAACCAAGTACAGTATATACATTTGCAATTACTGTATCGTACTTCTACTGAAACCCATCTTACTTCCATATAGCCACTTGCTCAAACTCGTTGATTTTTCTGCCGATCGCGTTTAATGTCAATATATCATCTCTTCAAGGGATATATTACCATCCGTCACGCAATCTCTCCACTCCATTCAACGGACTCCTTGGTATGCCCGCTGTCTTAATTAACACACACCAAATACCCCAACCCCAACTCGAACACACGCCTTCCTGATTTCAAACCCTAATGTGAAATTTGAGTGTGTGGTGCTCAGCGAGGTTCTCACACATACCACAACTTTTTTCACACATTTACACGACTAAAGATGCTAGCAGTCAGCCGAGCCAGCGGATTCCGAGCAGCCCGAGTGGTTCCTGTCCACGTGACCCGACAGCAGGTACGACACAACTCCGGCGGCCTCAACTCTCTGTGGTCGTGGTTCAAGCGAAAGGACGCTTCCAAGAAGGAGGCGGCCCCTCCCGTCATCAAGACCAAGGATCTGGTCAAGAACATTGAGCAGCAGAGCAAGGCTGGCTGGGAGTCTACTGCGGCCACCGAGCAGAAGACCGAGTCCAAGGAGGAGCCCAAGTCTTTTGCTTCCGAGACCGCGGTTGATCTGGAGGTGATCGGCATGCCTGCCGAACAGCTTCCCCTAAGCTCCGAGAAGCTTGCCGAGATTGGTCTGGGCAAGTTCCAGCTCAAGCAGGCCGAAATCAAGCCCGAGGCTGCCCTTGAGGCTCTCAAGACCGTGTCTGCAGCTGTTGTTGGCGGAATGGAGGGTGCTCTTGACACTCTGGAGAAGCGTCTGGAGCTGGTCAAGCAGTTCCAGAAGGAATCTGGTATCCGAATCCCCGATCTCATCATCTCTACCGTTGCTACTCCTCAGGGCGTTGCCTCCTACCTCGAAAAGTCGCTCACCTCCAACTTCAACTACTGGGAGCCCAACGCCATTTACCTGGACGCCAAGGACTTTGAGGGCTCCAACGTGACTGTGGTGGATGCCCAGCAGCTCCGAAAGCAGCGACAGCAGGCCATGGACGATCTGGTTTCTGAGGCCGAGCAGTTTGTCGAGCAGCATGATAAGGAGACTTTCAAGAAGGCTCTGGAGTAAGAAGCGAATATCAGTGGGACACATAACATCATTCGCGTCGCCCATGATGTTGTTGGAGGGTACACTAAATGGATGGTGCTATCACCTACAGACTGAGTTATTTGAAGGAACGGTATCATAGGACACATCAGCCTGCTGATGGGAAAAGGACGAAGGATCACGCGGGATCGCAAGATGTCCACGGACAGCTGTAAATAGTGAAATTAAAATGTATATATTGACTGTTGGTACAAACACCACTCGAAGACTTGTAATGATATCAGAGATCTCCAGATACAAGTTCTTGCACCAAGGCATGGCATGCGATAAGGAATGGGATAAGAACTGGGAAAGAGCGTATGAAGAACACTATATATGATGGAGACTATACCGAGGCAACTAAAAATGACCACTTCTGGTTTGAAGCATGGAAAAGCTGCCTCGATACTTGAATGGCTCGTGGTTGGACAAGTCCTCTGAGACGGAGAATTCCAAAGAGATCTTTCCACTCTTTACCCTGCCAAAAGTGAGGATCCAGAAGTCCAGTTAGTCTATCAATAGGTTGGAATCTCTGTTGTGACCTCCTCGTAATGTCTCGATGGTCGGTGTGAACACCGTCGTCAAAGATCTCCAGGAGACAGAGAAACAAGTGCGATTCCTGGGAAACTGTGGAATGTGTAGAGTCAAGTATGAGTACTGCCGTAGAGACACATAGATGCAGAATCTATGTAGATGTTCTCACGGAGATATCTTTGGACTCAGCCGTAGTTCCCTACTGTAGAGCATGTTGAGGGCACTTGAGACGACACGATACATATTGCGATGTCGGAACGAAAGAGTTGCAACGATATACAGTAGTTGGAACGAAACGAAGAATATAGAGATTCAAAAGAACGGTATATAGAGGCTCAAAAAACCGATATATAGCTAGTAATATAATTATAATCACATAATCACACTGTTTTTCCCCCTAGACTGGTTTACTCTTTCGAAACAGACAGAGAAGACCATTCTCTCTCCCTTAAGCCCTTCTCTCTTCTCTAAGCCATTCTCTCTTCTCTAAGCCATTCTCTCTTCTCTAAGCCATTCAATCTCCTCTAAGCCATTCAATCTCCTTAACAATACTCCTGACTAAAAACTCCACTTTTAATTGGCATCTACTGGCCTGTCCTGGACCTACCACAGTTGCAACATTTACGACGCAAATGTTGAAGAGATATACGAGAATTACAGATTCGACTGAACACCAAAAAACAACAACAAAAAGAAAACAAAATCTCCATTCGTCACCTCCATCACCATTCCACTCCACAGACCAGTCTACCAGACACATTTCACCCAACCCTAACCCTATATTTACCTCTGACGCGTATCTTTTTGTGTGTCGCGAATCTTTACGAAATACGACCAACGACCGTTTCAAGCCCCCTAAAATGAAGAGCGACCAGTTAGGCCGGGTGTTATCCGACGATGGTGAGTATTACGGGTTTTATCGCAGCGACAATTCGGAAAATGGAACAAAATGGGTCTTGTTACCATGATAAAAACGTCTAAGAACAATTTCTGGGCTGAAAGTGTTCATTAGGTGGTGGTGGAGTGCTATTTCTAGACAGTGGGTGAAGACATTTGGAAGTGGATTTCTCACTATATTGAATTGGAGTGAACAAAGACAATCTGAGGCAACGGTGACAACAGTGGTTGATGATAAGGAGATGGTGTGTTGAGTGGCAAGACAAGAAGGCTAGACGTTCAGTTCCCGTTCGGCTTTGTTCAGTTTCCGTTCAGTTTTGTTCAGTTTCTCTCAGTTTCCGTTCAGTTCTGTTCACTGGACTTGACCAATGGTAACCCTTCTTCGCTGTCCTCCATGCCCAGGTCTACTCTATCATTGATTCCTCTTCCACCAGTGTTAACCTCTGGAGAATGGATCAACGTGAGGATCTCAATGACTGAATGGAAGCTAGTCCACCAGACCAAATTCGCTCGCTTTTACACCTGGCTCGACTTCACAGTTGATCCCGACTATCATCACTACCTGCAGCCACAGTCACGTCTGAGATGACAGCAAGAACCTGCTCCTTATCGTGTGCACTCTGGGGTTTTTCTTTCATTCATGTCTTGCCAACTGACTAATCCCGCGGGTGTCGCTTCTTGACGTTCTCTACTAACCCAGACCTACCCACCAAGCTCTCCATCGCCAACGAATTCAAGGCGTTCGTCAAAAAGAACAGCGTGCCCCGTGATCTCATACACCCCTACTTTCTCACACTCTCTCGAGCCATCAAGTCACGAGAAGATCCCCAACTCACCTCCGTGTGTTTCTCGTGCTTCTGCCACCTCTTCAAACGGGTCAGTATCCAGGACAAACAGCTGCTAGATGACTCAGCAACGGTAGCCGTGGTGACAGACCTACTCATTGACCGTCTTAGCGACAGATCCACGGGAGTTCGGGCCACAGCAAACAAGGTGCTTCTAGATTACTGGGTTCTCGTCCCACAAGCCGTGGCCGTAGCAATGAGGCAGAGCGCTGTCGTGAGCTCAAGCCACGTGACCCTAGGCGAGTCTCTCAAGTGGCTGCAATCCGTCTTTGATCTTTCTTCGGCCTTCAACTTTTCAGCTTTTGTTCAGCCCGTGGTGGACATGTTACGATACCCCCAATTACAGTCTTCCGTGTGCGAGTTGCTGAAAAAGGTCTACTCTGTATCTGACAGAAGGGAGCTGGAGGAATGCCTGGCTGCTACTGGTGTCAACGAGATGCTCAAGAAGAGCATTCTCAATGGTTTGCCAGGTGGTAACAGTTCCTCAGCAGTTTCTGACCCGAAAACCACTGCACCAAGAAGCTTGAGTTCACAGAAAAGCGTTGCTTCAAAACCTGCACAACAACCTAACTCTCAAGAACCAGGAAACGAAAATGCACCTTCTTCGTCACTTGCATTTCTGAACAGCCTACCAAACTTCAGAGTTGACTCGTTAGCTCCTGAGAATGTCTACTCTGCCTCAGATCTAGAGTCCAAGATCAACAACATGCATGTAGCGTTTGCCGATAAGGAGAGTGAGAAGAACTGGAGTTTACGAGAGAAACATGTGACGCAGATTCGGAAACTACTGCGTGGAAATGCTCTCCAAGACTACCCTTCTCAGTTTGCAGCTGCCTACAAGTCTGTGATCGATGGAGTGCTGAAGTCAGCCACCTCTTTACGAACCACTCTATCTAACCAGGGTCTTCTACTGGTCAAAGAAAGTGGCCAGCTCGGTGGAAATGCGTTTGTGGATCCTGTTATGGACATTGTTTTCCCTCAGATCATCCGCCTGACCGGCCAGATGAAGAAAATCACCTCAAACAACGCCCACATTACCGTCTGTGGCCTACTCACTTCTGCTACTTTCTCTACCAAGCTCATTAACCATGTGACATCTGCTACTGTCGAAAAGAATGCCCAGCCCCGTACTTTTGCTGCCGTGTGGCTTAGAATCCTCATCTTGAGCCACTCTCAAACACACAAAAGTGCCATGCAAAACCACGGTGGCCTTGATCAGATCGAAAAGGCCATTGCTAAGGGTCTGCAAGATCCCACTCCATCAGTCAAGGAAAACATGAGAGTGACATATTGGAGTTTTGCCGAGTACTGGCCTTCTGAGGCGGACAAAATCTACCGAAAGCTGGACACAAAGGCCAAGGCCATGTTGGATAAGGTGAATCCAAGTGGTGCCAAAAATGCGCCCATCAAGAAGCCTGCACCAAGAGAAAGCCTCAAGGAAGTTATGCGGCGATCACGTGAATCGAGCGTAAACCGTGATGCAAATGCTCCCTCTGCTACTGCCCCTCCCCAAAGAGCCAAGATGGGTGCGCCTCAACGAACCTCGTCAGGTTTAGTGGGTAGATCACTCAGTGGAAGTAACTTGACTGATCGTAGTAATCGACTAAGCTCCACATCCACGTCATCACGCGATCAGCAGAGAGCTGTAAGCGATTCCACGCGACCCACACAGATGACTCGGCCTGTTAGTGGGCGGTTGTCTAGAGAACCAAGCCTAACAAGATCATCGCGTGATCAGAGTCTCACCAGATCATCCCGAGAGACTGTGTCACGTGAACCAAGCCTTACGCGTGGCTCCAGAGAGCTGCCCAAACAGCGAGTTGACCAAAACCGGCAGCGAGTCCCTTCCATTTCACGGGACTCTCGGTATGGACAGCGGCCGGTAGGATCGCGTGAATCCAGCCGACAGTCGCGGGAGTCGTCGCTTGATCCTTCGCGGGAATCTTCCCTTGCTCCGTCAGTCCACTCCTCTACAGCCATTTCACGCGAGTCGTCCCTTCCTCGAGATGATCTGCCTAGCTACGACGTTGAAATGGATGAGGACGATCCGTTTGTGACCCAGCAGTTGAAGCTGTCTCTAAAGCAGGAGGATGCTATGAGCCAACCGGAAGAAACCATGAACGAAGTGACCACAGCTGAGGCAACCGCAACAACCGCTCCCATGAAAATTCCAAAATCCACACCCCCCCGCGAGTCTACACCCCCTAATTCGTCTCCGTTTGTGCTGGCAAAGTCTCCTGCTACCCAGGGAGTCTCGACTAGTCCAGCTACGGGCAAAAGCGCCAGTCCACCTGCCACAGCCGAAGATGAGCTGTCTCGTGACTTAAACGGCGAATCAAAACATCTAAAGGAGGTGGATGACGATAACGGTAGTATGGATGCTGATGAGCGAATCGAGTCTGACGTGGTAATGGGAGATGCAGAAGAGTCTGCTGCTAACTTTGAGCCGTCTGAAGTAGAACCAGCAGGAGTTCAACTCGGACTGAAATCCCCTAAACGTGAAACTCCCACTTCTGCTCTTCAGGGAAACGAACAAGCTGAGCCAGAGTCTCATGATGCGGTTGCAGACTCTCAATCTCATGGTGCTGACTCAGCAGACCTCCAGTCAGAGCCCCGAAATGTCCCCGTGTCACCGCCCACAACTTCAGACGCCTCTAATGTGCCCATCTTGTCTCCACGGCCAATCCATCCTGCCAAATTCGAGCTGGACTCGGATGCTATGATAGTTGACGAAGTTGCGCCCGAAGTCAACACAGTGATTGATGCTCAGACCCAGGCTGAAGAGACTCCGACTGAAGAGATCCCTGCTGTGGTCAAGGTTGGTTTTGACGCTGAAGCGAAATCCGAACCCACTGAACAGACTGAAGCTGTGAAGACTTCAGACACTGCCACTGAGCCCGGTGAGCCAGTTGACATCCCCAATTCTGAACAGGGTCCCTCGACCGAACCTACCGAACTCGCCAAGTCTGCTGGCTCAGTGGAACATGTGACCGAAGCCATCCAGGAGGATCCTTTCGGGGATGCGCTTCCAGCAAAACAGGAAAATGGAGCCAAGGCAAGTGATGAGATTGAAACAGACCATACCAAATCGAACAACACTGAATCCGACGGACCAGTATCTGCCCACGACGAATCAGAGCCCATGGAAATATGCGATTCCGACAATGACGCAGTAGACAACGGAACCAACCCTGATACAAAGTGCCAAGACCAACAAGACTCTACTACTCCACCCATGGATTTCTCTTCTCACGATCTCAAAGACGAGCTCAACACGTCCTCCCCCGAGTCTCTCACTGCTCTTCTTTCAAACCCAGACCAGTACAAGGAAATTCTAGACCACGTTCCTGCCGAGCTGTTCCTTCTCTGCGTGATTCTCTTCTCAGAGTCTCATGTGATGGACGCCCAGAGTGTTATTTCCCGAGATACTAACCTGGCTCTGTCTACAGCGAGTTCAATGGTCATGGTTTGTGCTCGAGACGTCTATCCCTCTGACTCACGGTGGTCACAAGCGACAGTTGAGGAGCTCAAACATGTGACTGTTACCTGTCTGGAGTGGCTGACTAAACTCGTTAACGAGTCGTCCGAGGCCTCCACTCTTTTGGCCACCAACAAGCGCTACCGAACCTCACTTGTCCACCTTCTCTCAACCTCGGTGGAGCTTCACAAGCAGAAATTCGGCGATGTGACGCACAACTCTCTGATTCACGTGATCGAGTCGATGGACAAGCTGAGTCAACGACCTCCGGACAAGCGCACGTCTCGTGCGTTTCTCGAGGCTCCCAGTCCAAGCCCAGACTCATCTTTGGTCGAAGATGTCACCGACAAACTGAGCCATGTGACTGTCAAGGAGAATTTCAAGACAATCCGCATTTTGCCTCCACAGCTCGCATCAGGTCAGTTGATATTTCCTGGCTCTGAGGTCACCTGGTCAAAACTGGAGCTAGAAAGACTGGCTAGAAGCCCCTCTTGTTCTGACTCCAACGAAGCCATTTTGGATGCCGTGTCAAGAGACAAAGTGTCTGTCACTCAGCTGTCGACACTGGCATCTCGTATTCCTGAACTCGAAGACGTGGATCTTGTCACAGCCACAATTCTCGCCTATTTGCACATTAGCCATCCTCCCGCGCTCACAACAGCCGCTCTGGTAGCTATCAAACAGGTACTCATCAAGCCGGAGCTCAAACTAAGCATGGGACACGTGACCGAAATATTCTCGACACTCAACCACGTCAACAGCCACATTGACTCGCGGTCACCTCTCGCTGCTGCCATCGAAGAACTTGTGGCCGACCTTTTAACACACACAGACTCATCTGAAATGCTCGAGTTTCTGCTTCTGAGCAGATCACGTGACAGCAAGACACAGAACAAGCTGCTGCTGCTCAACACGGTATATCACGTGATCACCCCGGATCTTCTTCCATCCTATGAAACTCAACTTCTGGCTCTTATCACCGAGCTTATCTCCGACCCCGATCCTCTGGTGCGAAGAGTCACTGTAGGATTGGTAGTTCGAGTCTTGCGCGTGTCTCCCGAAATGGAGGGCACCATTTCGCTGGCCATCAAATCAAAAATGGATCTAGTGAGATACTACATGGGCGCATAGACATGCAATATTTAATCAATTTATTCATTCATATTTAACATAATTCGGTAGATATATATAACTAAGCCAACTCAACCTTGTAGGTGGCAACCTCAAAAGCACGTAGAGAAATGTCTACAGAAGTGACACCCTCGCTCTTGGCAACAACCTGTTTCTCCTTGGAGTACTCCAGAGCACAGGTCTTGGTCACAGACACCACGTTGGGCAAGTCGATAACGAGTTTGCCTCGAGTTCGGCCTCCGAGAGCCTCGTAAACTCGCAAGATGACATTGGTGGACTTCTTAGATCGGTCAACTTCGGCCCTCTTAACCTGGCTGAGCACCAGATTCGCAGGGCCTTTGAGAGAAAAGGCCTGCTTGGTGGAAACTTCAGAGAGACCCACATACTTGACCCGAAGAGGGTTGTTGAAGTTGTAAGCGGCCCGAACAGTTGTAGCACCAAGGGGTCCCTTGTGAGCAAGGACTCCGTACTTGAACTCATGATGACCCATATCAGCATGAGCGTCGGGAGCCTTAGGGGCCCGCAGCAGCGACAGTCGCATGAGATTACCATGGGTGGCGAATCCATACTTGCAGTCATTCAAGATGGACACGCCGTAGTCGAGTTCGGACAGATCCGCAAACTTGTGGCAGCATACCTCAAACTTGGCCACGTCCCAAGAGGTGTTGTAATGAGTGGGGCGCTTAACAACACCAAACTGAGACTCGTACGAAGCAGACTCACTGTGGACGTCCACAGGAAATTCCACCTTTAGAAACTTGCAAGTTTCATGCCAGTCGGCACGGGTGTTAAAAGTTACCAGAGGCGAGTTAGCGTCGAGAGAAATCTCGGTTGTGACAACAGATTTGTTGAATTCGTAAGTGAAGGCGACAGTTGATCGCAGAGGGCCAGAAGAGACGATGGAATGACGAGTCACATTCTCGGCACCAATGTACTGCTTCTTACCAAGAGAAAACACCTCAGTGTCCCAAGCCTGCCACGACAACGGCTGGTCGTCGAACAATACCAGTCGGTTACCTGTTCCAGACAGGACCCGACGGTCATTCTCTTTGTCGTAAATGCTGGTGAGGGTACCATCATCCTTGCAAATCGTCACCTTGACCTGGCTATTCTCAAGGATGTAGGCGTCTTCAGACTTGAACAAGTCTACAGATTGAGTGGTGACAACAGGTCCAGATTCAGACATCATGACGAGGGCATTGCCCGAGTCTTCTTGGATCTCGACACCCTCAGCAAGCTCCACGGTGGCATCCCAATGTGGCTGGGGAACAGCGACGACCTCGGTTCGCGACCAAGGCATGGTGTTGAGAGCAACAGGAGTGCAGTCGAAGGAGTCCTTGGAAGGGTGACCAGAAAGACCCAAGGCAGAAGCGGCTTTATCAATGAGGTGGGAAGCAGTATCAATAACCCGTCCATGGATCTTTTTAACATCCTTGTAGACCATCTCAATGCATGATCCAGGAAGAACATCATGGAACTGGCAAAGACACACATCCTCCCAGAGAGACTCAAGCTGTGCAAAGGGGTACTTGTAAGATGAGTCTCGAATACTGGCCAGAGTGGCCAACAACTCGACATCGTGTAGCAGGTTCTCCGACACTCGGTTACCCTTTTTAGTCTGGGCTTGACTGGTGTAGGTACCACGGTGGAACTCAAAGTACAGCTCCCCGACCCAGGTTACGAGATCCTTGCCGTTGTTAGTCTGATCAAGAAGCTCATTGTAGAAGTCGGTCACAGATTGTCCCTGGATTACAGGAGGAAGTTCCCCGACGGTGTTGGACACACCTCGGCATCGACGCAGCTTCTCCAGCATCTCAGCAGTGGGGCCTCCTCCTCCGTCTCCGTGGCCATAGAGCATGAGGGAGTTTCGAGTGGTGTCAAGATTCTTGTTCTGTTTCTGAGTTCGTGAGACGTCACCAAAGTTGGCCATAGAAGTGTAGGTGTTGTTGGGTGGCATGTGACAGAGCACCTGCGAGCCATCCAGAGCCACCCAATTAAATGTTGAATTGGGGAACGAGTTGATGTTATTCCAGGACAACTTCTGGGTCAAGAAACGGTCCATGCCAGCCAATCGACACAGCTGAGGAACCTGAGCAGAGTATCCGAAAGTGTCAGGCAGCCAGAAAGTGTCAGAAAGGGAGCCAAAGTGTTCGAGGAAGAATCGCTGACCAAGCAGGAACTGGCGCAGGAGAGACTCTCCAGAGGGCAGGTTAGTGTCACACTCGGTCCAGGCGCCTCCGACAGGAAGGAAGCGGCCCTTCTTAGCCTGCTTTTGAATCTTGGCAAACAAGTCGGGGTAGTCTTCCTTGAGCCACTTGAACTGCTGGGCCTGGGAAGCCACAAACACGTACTCGGGGTACTTGTCGATGAGCTCAAGTTGAGAAGCCCAAGATCGACCTGCCTTTCGACGAGTCTCAGCAAAGGGCCATAGCCACGCGGTATCGATGTGGCAGTTACCGAGTGCGTAAACTAGGCCATCAGCGAATGGTAGCTGTTGCTTGTAGGCCTTTGTAGTATCTCCGAGGTATTCCTTGGCAAGTTTTCGGCCCTCGGCGATACTCTCATCTGGGTTTTCAGGATCAAAGGCATCCATGATCTTGTTAGCGACATCTAGTGCCTTTCCACGTTGCCACGAATCCCCTGGGAACTCCCGGGCCGCATCTCCGATAATCCAAAAATCCACAAAGAGATGTCGGGCCTCGGAGTTGATGACAACGAGGTCTGCAGAGTCCAGTCTGAAATATCTGTTGTCGCTGGGGGGCTGGATGGAAGATCCCGTTGCGTTGCCGAACATGCCATTGCAACTGGCCTCAATGTAAAAGGTATGGCACTTTCCGTCGAACCAGTTGTCGGGAATGGGCCATTCTCGTCGTTCCTCGCCGGATAAACCAATAAGAGCTTCTCCAGACTCGCTGAACACGAGACCCTCACAGTTGAGATTCCAATTGAACACCACCAGGTCGCCCTTTTTGTAGTAGTTCTTCTTCCACTCTGGGGGCACACAGACCTGGATCTTGAACCAGTGAGTGGCCCAGGAAGGTCCGTACTCGGAGCCCTTCTTTGCTGGTTTCCAGTGGCCATCTGCCTCTTTGAGGGCGTCTTTGAACAGTGGCCGTCGTAGATCTGAAACGGCATACGTTTCAATCGCCACATGGTTCTTGCCATCCAGTCGTTCTCGCTCGTAGAAAGCTGGCAGGTTGAGAGACCGGTATTCGCCGTCGCTGGTGAACTGGCGAAGTCGGTCGGTAAACAGGTTGTTCACCCGCTTCGCCACAGGCTCGTTGTTGAAGTGCGAATACATGGTGTGCAGACAGGCGGGTAAGTGGAGAAGGGGAGTGAGTTGCAACTGACGAAACCAGGAAACACTCCTCCTGCCCAGGGCATATAGAGTTAGAGTTGAGGGTTGGGGTTGAGTGCATAATCAGTGCCTGACAACGGCATCCACAGTATAGGCTAGAATGTGGAGTAAAGAAGAGATAGGTTAGTGAGTGGTATTTATGCACAGCTGGAGACTTACAGAATACATGTGTCGGTTCAATTGGCCAGATCGGCTCTCAATTGGTGAAATTACGCCTCCCTTCTGTTATGCATCTGTCGTCTAAAACGATATCTAGAAAACCTTTTTTCTCAAGTGGGTCAACTGTGGGGTTATCCGTGCTACACACAGTACGAGCATGATACCCACAAGTCCATCGTTTCAAAGACCATGGGTGGAACGGGATCTGAGGAGTTCTGAGTGTATGTCATGGTCACGTGATGCTGCTGACGTCAGCACCGATATTTCAATTTAGAAAAACATATAAATTGACGACCGGGGGCTCGACTCACAACTTTAACTTTTGGCCACACGTTGTTTTCGGTTGAGTGTGCAGCAGCCAACAGTGCCGTTTGATAAGGGTGTCTTCATGATGAAGAATTATTGGGTGGATTGTGGAGTTTTTTATGTCGTTAGATTCGTCTCGACGAGGAGATTATTTTGCTGTTTTTTTGATTGTTTATGAGGGCAGTATTGGGGGGTTTTGTTCGGAGAGGGAGTAGAAATAAAAAGGAATTTAACGAAAGTACTTGTACCTTTTTTTAAAATTTATTTAATACACTGTACTATTTTTTTTAAGGCGTGAGTATCTGATTCTAACATCAATAATATCACCAATAATCCTTCAATCAATACCGGGGAAATCACCCTGGACTATGACTAACCCTTGGCTATTGTCCGTACATGGATATTATGATTAGGATAGCTTTAGAAAGAAGTTCGTGAACCAAGACCAGATGTTGCCGTACTTTAGATGTTGATAGTGCTAGCCTCTTTGGAGATGGCACCAGTTGGTGAACTTGGCAAACGAGAAACGGTGGAATAACAGAAAGATCGATTCGAGCAACTCACCTACACTTTTAAGATGTTTTCAAGTGTGGTTCGCTAGTTCAAAGCTCGACCGAGTTGCTACTTCTCAAGAGCACCTTGAAGAGCATCTTCCACTTCAATCTGAAAGGAAAGAATAGAATGAGCTAGATGATGCATTGAAAGCCTGAACAACTGTCCAAGCCTGGCCCAAAGCAGTCTTGGAATACAGTCACTTATAGTATAGTAACGATACATATTTGGGAGTAGATTTAGCCAGTGGTGTTTTGTCACTCAGCACCATCGCTCATGTCGCCAGTTCAGAAGCTGTCACTTGTGGTGATGGGCATATCAATGATAACGATGCATACCTGAACCTTTCCAACTCGTAGGGGTTGTCCATCCCTAGCGTCGTAATGAAGACTGTTCAATCACTTGTTTCCTGCTGTCGAGAGCTTGGCAAGTTCAAATTAATTTAATTTAATTTCAAATTAATTTCATATTTCCATTTAGCTGCAGATGAAAAACCTTCTAGCCCACAAAAGCACCGGAAAATACCGGAAAATATCGAAAAATAAAAAGTAATCAACGTGACACCGTAAAAAGATGCCCCGTTTGTCCTTTTCAGTCTTTCAATGTGTTTTATATAAGTATACCTTTTGCCCTGCTTTTCCACCCCATTCTTCATCATGTCGAATTCCTTACAGTAACTTTAATAATTAGCCGAGAATATACGAGCATGTACAAGTATGGTTCAAGTAATTGCTCACAGTGGGCCGCGCCTTTGACCTGCCACATGTTGCACCACTCGTACCGCAAATGCACGTCCGAAACATGTGTGAGAAAATAAAGTGCTTTGTGCGTACCAGGGATAGGGTAGGTAGTGAAATCTGAGTTAGTACATCAACTCTAGACGATGGGCGTCGCCTGTGTAGAAGAACAATAACTCACCCGGTAACTAACACTATTTCTCGGTGGTCAATGCGTCAGAAGATATCAAGACGGTCCGTTTTGCGTTTAAGCCGAGTGAATGTTGCCTGCCGTTAGTAAATTTATTATGAAAAACCCCACTATGAATACATCAGCCTATACTGATATACCAAGAAGTGCAAGGGAGGTGGTCCTGTTCCACCTGAACGCGGTTCCCGACAGGCGGCGGTACTGAAGGGCTTTGTGAGAGAGGTAACGCCGATTCTCTCTGCAGTCGTAAGACCCAGGTGGTGTGTCCGAGGCAGTATCGCTTTCCCAACTCTAGTAACCTCGGTAGTGTGAGACACACTACCCCTAACGGTAGGACAGCCGGACGACGATGGCGCAGCAATTGGCGAACGCTGTTATAAAACAATTCACTTACGTGCAATGAAAGTTGTTTGGGCAATAAACAATAAATGTATTAGAGCCAGACGATAGACAACAATCCAGCAGATGATGAGCAGGAAAATTGAGTAAGATCGACGTGGCAAGAAGAGTTACAGTTACGCAGAGTTAATAAGGTGTTGGGAGATTAGAGTTACCCTGTCGGATGACTAACTCTCCAGAGCGAGTGTTACACCTGCCCAGGTCTAACGGGGTTTCGTCCCGAAGCCCTGGTTAGAAGAATCAAGAATAAAGGCCCTGAGCAAGGAAGGAGCCCTGAGCAAGCCCAGAATCAACACGAGCGAGCTTCGACCGAGAAGTAACTCTAGTCGACGCAGTGGTAGCTGCAGAACGGACGGAACGAGTAGCCACTGAAGCCGGGGGAAGAACATGTGGAGAACAGGCAGAAAAGCGGCCAGGAATGGCAGGGAGAGCAGACTCGCGGGACTGATGTTCCTTCATGCGGTCCTGGAACTCAACGATGGAAGCGGGGTGGAAAACCTTGAGGCGGTTGCGGTGGATACGCCGCGGGTTCTCACCGTCAACATCGTTGACAGTGTACGTGCTGGTCTCAGGGTGACACGCGGTCACGATGGAGGGACCAGTCCAACGAGGAGTCAGCTTGTTGTGGGGACGGAGGTCGTGAACAAAAACGAAATCATTTACGGCCAAGGGATCTGTATCAGCTGTGTTGTGATGTTTGTCGTAGAACGCCTTTTGACGCTGGCGTTGCAGGGTCAGGTGGTCACGAGCAGAGCCAACTTCGAAAGTAGAAGCAGCAAGTTGCAAGGTGCGCAGAAAAGCAGCATGAGCGGGGTCGTTGTGGGCCAGGTCGGTCTTGCCACTGAGGTAATTCCAGGTCAGGAAACGACTTTCGACAGGCAAGACACCAGAGACACCATACATCAGCTCAAAAGGTGACTTACCCGTGGATGAACGACGGGTGCACCGGTCAGCCCAGAGGGCGGTGTGGAGGTATAAGATCCACTGACGACCGTATTTGCGCAGGCAGTGGAGGAGGTTTTGGTGACCGCGTTCCACAATGCCAGTCGATTGACCATGAGCAGGAGTGGTGAAAACCTGCTTGATGTGGAAATCTTCGCAGAGATGCTTAAAATCACCCTTGAACTCACTACCACCGTCAGTGTAGACCCGACGGGGAACGCCAAAACGAGCAATGATGAAATCGTAGAAGAAAGCGGCTGTGGAGAGAGAGTTGATACTTCGTAAGGGCACCGCCTCAGGCCAGCCAGAGAATTCATCACGAGCGACAAGGACATACTGGTAGGGGGCAATAGTGACATTTAGCCGTCCGCGGGGGGCAGAGGAAACATCAGTGAACTGAGGGGCAGTGGGGAGGAAGTCGGTGAGGGTGGTTTGAGCAGCGAGAGCCTTGGCGGGATCAGCCAGATCGGGGTACTCCTTGGTGGGACCATGAACAGCGGGAAGGTAGAGGATGTCCAGCTGGACTGTCTCCCAAATGAGACGGGGAACCACGAAGTGGAGACTCGCCTTGAGAAGACCATGGTTGGTGGCTTTTGCACACGTGCCGCATGATGCACGATGGGACTTCACGTGATCAGCCATGCCCGGCCAGTAATAGAGGCGACGGAGAGCATGAAGGATGGCAGCAGCACCGCGGTGGCCATATTGTTCATGGGTAGCTCGGAGAACCTCAGACACCTCCTTCTCTGTGAAGAGAACACGTCGATGGAGACCAGGTGAGCTGATCAGTAGGAGAATGTCGTCAAAAATGAAGAACTCAGAGCAGATTTGACGCAGTCTAGGCGGAATGTCAACACCATCTCGATCAAGATCGCCGGAGGCAATGGTGGTGAAAATGAGATCGAGAGAGATGCCTTTGTGGATGAAAACGGGCTCTGGACCAATGGACAGGACAGTGATGGAGGCCACAGGGGACCAAGTCGGGGGCACAAGCGGAGCAAGCTCATCAGCTTGTCGAGCTGTATCAGCAACAGGAGGGCGAAAATCGACAGGTCGGAAGTCAGAAAATTTCTCACGACTCAGCCAATCGGCCACTGGATTGTCTCGGCCTTTAACAAATCGAACCTCGTAATCAAACTGTTTGATGTAAGCAAACCACCGGGTGAACATAGCGTTAGGGAGTTCAACTCGGGATTGCTGCAGTAGGAAAACCAGGGCCTGGTTGTCAGTTTCGATCACGAAATGAACGCCAGTGACATAGTGACGGCACTTCTCCAAGGCACGTTTTACAGCAAGGCACTCAGTCTTGGTGGATGCGTAGGTACGCTCAGTGGGGTTCCACAAACCACTCTCGAAACGGACGGGGCGACGGGCAGCCGGAGGGCCAACACTGACGATGTGAGACATTACTGCGCCCCATCCGAGGGAGGACGCATCAGTGGTGATGACAATAGGTAAGGTGGGGTCGTAGCGGTGCAGAACCGCAGGGCTCACCATAGCCTTTTTTAGCGCCATAAAAGCAGACTCGGTGGCCTCGGTCTTGGTGATCTTGAGTTTGCCAGCCTTCTGCGCAGCGGAGATGCAGTCGTACAGAGGTGCAGCGATACTGCTGAAATGAGGGATCCACATGCGAAAATACACCACAGCACCGAGAAAAG